CCTAACCCTAACCCCTAACCCCTAACCCCTAACCCCTAACCCCTAACCCCTAACCCCTAACCCCTAACCCCTAAGTGAGTAGTAGCGAAAGGTACCTACAACTTACTCCCCACTTCGCAAACGCGAACGCGATCCCCTTTATACCCTACATCCTTGCTGCTACGGCGGCCCAAACAAAAGAGGAATTGCGGTACTAGCAAAGAGAGCAACTAGGACAATACTATTGCTATGGATATGGGCATATGGAGAGAGGATATTGTACAACAACAGCGGTATGGACGTCAAATCAACAACGGTCTCCTTTGTTTACACCTCCCGAACAATGAGTCGGACATGCGCCCATACGGATGTCCGCGCAAGGACAAAGAAAAGAACAACAACAAGACGCGCCCCATCGGGCCCGAAATTCGGGTGCCCTGTGAAACAGGTAGACGTGTGTGAGCGACGAACGCTTACCGGTGGGAAGGGCAAAAGGAGAGAACAAAGGTGCCTACATGAAACACGACCGGCGCTGGCCGATCTGGAATCTCGGCCTAGGGGGGGGATCCTGTTATAGTATCCGCGGTACGCGTACCAAACATCCGCGTCGGGTAGTTTTACAGGGACCTCCGATGAGAGTTCCCGTACGGAGTATATCTAGAACACCCCCTATGTGTTTACTGTAATGTAGTACTAGTTGTACTACATCCGTTATTACATCCATTCCCTTACCCTTACCTTCTAGTCCCGTGTGATACTATTCCAGGCTTGCAGGCAAGCCTAATAGATGCACTCCGGTGCACATGAGGATCAACAAGGACAAACATTTCAATTGTTGCACAAACAGTTGTCCCTCTGTCAACACACAACTATCTGCATGTGCGCAAACATGAACAGACCATTCAAGTTTGTAAGCAAACGCTTGACCACCCATGCACGCATGCTGATGCATTTGTCAACTAACAAGAACAGATATTTGCAATTTCAAACAAACGATGGTTGACCTGTGCACAGACAACAATCCACATATAAACAGGCATAAACAGGAAATGTAAGGCTGTGAACAAACAATTGTTCACCTTTGCACCAACTCTGGTGCACAGTAGAATTGACAAGAACTAACATTGAACTTGTTGCACAAACGCCAGTGCGTCCTTGACAGACATCTGTTCATCTGTGAGCAGATATGAACTGGACATACAAGGTTGTGGGCAGACAGATGATCAGTTGTGCACAATCTCCAGTGTATCCATGAATTGACAAGAACAGACATTTGTAATTCTGCACAAACACTTGTTCACTTGACAACAGGGTCCTGTTCACATATCAACAAATGTGGATAAGACATGTAAGGCTGTGCACAAACAGCCGTCCCCTCATGCACCGTCTCCGATGCACCCATGATTGAACAGCTCTTCAAGTACCAACCCGCATCAACAGGCAATCAGGACCAAGCACTAATGTCTTCCCACAACTCGACATGCAGATGTTCACATGTGCGCTGATGCAAACAGGACTTGCAAGACTGTGCACCAACATCTGTTGACAAGTGCACAGTTGTTAGTGCATGCCAGGCAGAACCTTAGTTCTCATGCCCAACAACGTAAACTGTCATGTGGAGATAAGCACCAACATTTGTTCACCAATCAACATCCGCACGTTCACGTGCAAACAAGAATGAACAGGGCATTTGATGTTGTGCTGCAATATCCGTTCTATGGTGCGCACACATCTGTGCACCTGTGATCTAACAATGGTTCATGTGAGAATTGTTGTACTCCGGAAACATGGCTTGTGCACCACCGTTAGATCACTTGCATACATCTGCGTGTGTTGTGGTGATCAGACGTGCACCAATACAAGTTGGTTGTGAACATACATCTGTTGACATGAGCACACATCTCACGTCGATGAAGACAGACATGTGTTTGCATATTCACTGATGTGCACCGACAGATAAGGCCAAGCACATCCACTTGTTCATCCGTCAACTGATGTCTGCGCACGTGTGAACAGCTGTCACATGTGATGCACAGACCCTGCCACCAATTGTGCAGTTGTAAGCAAACATGTGGTCTTATGTGAACAAGACTCGGTTCATGTGCAAGCACATGTACATTGGCAATTCAGAACAAGCACTAATGTTCGCTCACTTGTCAACAAACCTGTGTCCTACTGTGAACAGACTCTGATCACATGCACCAACGCCAACTGACGGCTGTTCATATGTGAACACACCTTCACCACACGCAAGCAAACACCCAGTCACAAGCCAACAGACAGCTGCTCACATGCACACACACCGCCAAGCACAAGAGCACAGATACCCGTTCACTGTGAACAAACCACTGTTCACCTTGCTAGCCTGTGTGAACCAACTGAGCCGCACCTAGCACCCGCGTCAGTTCTCCCTCAGCTGCGAGCACAAGCACCCACACTGCGCATCGACTCCCCTCTGATCACCAAGTCTTGCACCAAAAGCGTCATCCCTGTCACTCGGATCGATCAATGTACATACATGCTATAGGGCCCATATACGCATCCGATACCCCTCATCGTCCATTTCATCCTCAAGACGTCGAGGAACAGAGCCGTGCCGCCGTCTCAGCGAGTAGCGAGTAGACAGGATCTGTCGTCGTCCCCGAAGAATCTCGTTCCCACGCACAAAACGCGGTTATGCGGGAACGACGTGGAACGAACGAGGAAGCGTACAGCTCGACCTCCCAACGGCTCGACGGTTCGACGGTCTGATATCGTAGTCGGCGATGAGCCATACCACGGGCCACGGTACGAGGCATACTCGGGCTGCACACAAATACCCCGGTATACATATAGACAAAAACGACCACGATGTCGATGTGGACGCACCATGACATCGCACATCGACATCAGCATCCCGTCGATACGCCATCGTTGCGACTCTTTTCAATCCCTGTCGAACCACCAGCTATCATCGATAACCGCCACGTCCTCCCCTATTTAAGTCTATCGAACTATCTCAAGTCACCATGTCGCCCGTCAACACCATGTCCCATGCTAATGGACACGTCAACGGACACGTCAACGGATCCACCACCACCAGTAGTCGCACGATGAAACCGAGGAAGAACATCGCGCTCGTCACCACCCCGGATCACCAGATCTACATGAAAGAGATCCCCTTCCCCATCGCTGGACCCGACGAGGCGATCGTACACGTCAAAGCCACAGGGTGAGTCTGTACATGTCATCCACCTAGTTGTTTCGGACTCGACTCGAAGCTACCACGATCGTTCATCGCGCTGACCCAACTTTTCTCTGGGCCCAACCCCTCCGTACATTTTTCTCGCAGGATCTGCGGCTCGGACGTCAAGTTCTGGAAGACGGGCGGGATCGGGGACTACGTCGTCGACAAGGACATTGTGCTCGGTCACGAATCCAGCGGGGTGGTCATCGCCATCGGGTCGAATGTCAAGAACGTGCAGGTCGGGGACAGGGTCTCTATCGAGCCCGGGCAGAGTTGTTGGGCTTGCGGGCAGTGTAAGAGCGGGAGGTACAACTTGTGCCCGGATGTCAAGTCAGTACCTTGCATCGAGTCGGACTGCTGTTGAATCGGATTGGAGGATGCTGACATCCGTCCGTCGGCTTGGGGTGTTGAACAGGTTCGTCGGAACGCCGCCTACGGACGGCACCTTGGCGAGGTACATCGCCCACAAGGCGTCTTTCCTCTTCAAGTAAGCATCTACTCCTCATCCGGTCGTCGGCTCTGACAGACCGAGTTGCCCTTCTCGCTCGAGCTCACATATGTCACTTTCCTCTACAATTCTCCCTCTTACGCTCGGCATCATTGTACGCCCGCTCTGCGCTCTCAGGATCCCAGAGACAATGTCCTTCTCCACCGCCGCCCTCGTCGAACCCATCTCGGTCGCCTTGGGCGGTATCCAACGCTCCGGCCTCGTCTTCGGCCAACCCGTCTTGATCTGCGGAGCAGGCCCTATCGGTCTCAACGCCTTGGCTATCGCCAAAGCCGCTGGAGCCTACCCTATCTTGGTTACCGACATTGCCCAGCACAAGTTGGAGCGGGCTAGAGAGATGGGTGCGGACTTGGTACTCTGTTGTCAGACGAGTTGGGATGGCAAGGAGGTGGCTAGGAGGATAAGAGGGTTGATGGGCGAGGTCGAGGAAGGGTTGGAACCCGAGGTCGCGCTCGAGTGTACGGGAGCTCAGACGAGCTTCTATGCTGCTGGTTATGGTGAGTCTCCTGCCGACATTCCCCTACTCGCAAACACCCGTGAACTCCCCTACTAACAGCCATCTCTCCCTCGTCGCAGCCATCCGATCAGGTGGCGTCCTGATGGAGATCGGCAACGGCCACAACGAACAGATGATCCCTCTCCAAAACCTGAGCATGCGCGAGGTGGACGTCCGTTTCCTCTTCCGTTACATCAACACCTGGCCCCTGGTCCTCCGTATGCTCTCCGCTGGGAAACTCGTCGGCGTACAGGGGATGATCACGCATACGTTCAAATTGGAGGAAAGCGTCGAAGCTTTCTTGCTGGCGGCTGATCCAAAGGGAGGGAGCGTCAAGGTTCAGATCGTGGACGAGGATGAAGACGAGGATGAGGAGGAGTGATTAGATCGACGCATCGCGGCAAAAAGGCACCGTGATATGAGAGAACGTACCGTTGTATATTCCTTCTCTTCGCTATTTGATGATATGTCGACACTGGTCTATCCATGCCCATATTTCCCAGCATGGCTTGCAACTCGGGAAGGATCTGTGTTACCTTTTACGTATCTATAGAAGCCTATTCATTGAAAGTTGGCGAGCAAGTGGTGTGTCAATGAACTGATTAGCAATCTCGCGCGTGGAATTAGCAGCTCCATTAGCAAAAAATACTAATGCACTCGGATTACGGTTAGTCGCGAAATGCTAATGTGACCGGGATCTGATAAGTAATTCGCTACTAATCCTGTTTCGCTCGTGGGTCTCGGCTAAACGGGTCGAAGTGATCATCATCAACGTCACATCCACTCAATCCCTATCGATACCCAAGCATTATTGTAGATCATCAGCCCAGCCTATAGCGACACCATGTCACTCCCCAGATCCAGTCCGACGGCGGAAGACCTCCCTCTGGACCCTACCACAATCCGCAAGAAACGACGTCGAGGTCCCGTAGCCTGCTACCCGTGCAGGGAGAGGAAACGCAAGTGCGACGCCCTCCGACCCGTATGTGCGAGCTGTATAGCCGGAGACTGGCCTTGTCACTGGCCAGAGGTTGACAAGCGGAGGAGACAGTTCAAAAAGGTCAGAGCAGGGCAAGAAGCTGGGTCGGCAGGGGGCGTGGGAGGGGCAGGGCAAAAGTCGAGGTCGAGATCGAGATCGAGGTCCGGGTCGGGATCGTCGGATGGCGAACGGGAAAAGGAAACTACAATTGATCGAGATCCGACAGAGGTGCATCGAGGCTATCAAACTGGAACAGTCGGTACCAAGGGACTTGCTCGTCACGAGTCCTCGTCGTCCTCTCACCATCGAGTTCGAGATCGAGTTCGAGCCGACCCGGGAAGAGAGACCCGTTTCACCGATAACGATATAACCACCACCAGCACGACGAGATCATTCTCCTCATCGTTCGGTGTTGCCGATGACGGATCACAATCACATTCACAGCCTCACCAACTCTTCCTCCCATCGACGTCCACATCGTATTCGCATTCGCACTCGCATTCGCATTCGCATTCGCATTCGAGATCACCACCAACAGACGGGAACGGGAGATTCTCCGCTCTCTTGAATCCGATGGTCCTACAATCCTCAACCCACTTGGACGATCATCGACCAGCGTCTTATCAATCGAGATCAGAGCTTCAATCGGGTCAGCAAATACAATCGCACTCTGATCATTACAACTACCAGCATCACCATCTTCAAGCTCCTACCGGCTCGCAGCGACCTGCCTTCAACGACAACTCCAATGGCAGAGACAACGACAACGACTACCCGTTGAATTCCCACTCGGCTTTGAACCTGGATCTGAATTTGAATCTGAACATGAACTCGACGTATTCCGCTGCGGAAAAGTGAGTTCCAAAACATCAACACCCACGCTGAACGAGCCCTGAGCTTACGGTACCGTAAATCGCGTTTCCTTCTCTTCTATCTTACCGCTAGCTTGTTGAGCTTCACCAACGGTGGGTTGGGACCAGACGATGGTGGTGGTGGTGGTGGTGTTGAGAGTCTGGGTATGAACATGGAGTCGACCGACGCAGGCTTGGAAGCTGCGGGTGAGAGTACAGTGCATCCTGTGGGAGACGGAGTGTCGAGAGACGGGGACTTAAGGGAAGAGGAAGCGGAAGAGGGAGAAAGTGGGATGAGTGGGCTTTCGTACGAATATCTTCGGTGAGTTCGATTCTCCTCGTCGTACAAGGAGGTGGGGTTCGGGTGAGGGGAAACGCTTACCGTCTGAATGGTTCCGACTGGAATCGATTTGCGATACAGACCGTACGGACCTACCGCCATCAATCCGGGTTTGGGAAGAGTGCGGCTGTCGATCCGGGGCCCGACATCTCGATCTGGACTCCAGGTCGACAATCAACAACACGCTTCGACTAGCCACAATCACAACCAACCTCGCGCTCAATCGAGCACGACCACCCATACCCAAGCTCCTTCTTCCAACTCTCGGCACCTTCTGGACTTGCCCCGACTTCCCCTGGTCGACCCGCATACAAGACTACCCCGGCCTGACCTCCGTGCCCCGCTCATCGACGTCTTCTTTCAACACTTTGGCTCGATCTTCCCGTTCATCGAGAAGAAGGCGCTCGATGGCAAACTGGCGGGCGAGATGGTGGATGCGGGGACGATACTGATGGTTAGCATGATGTGCGCCTTGAGCGCTAGGTCAGTGTACAGATTCCTCGGATGTCTCCGTGCTCGGACGGCGTTATCCCGTATGGTACTGACTGGATACCTTGTCGGCTCGGGTTCACGTCGCCGTCACAGGTTCTGTCAGATGGACGAGATCGTAGGGATCAGTCAACATCCTTTCTGTCGAGGGAGCGCTTTTGCCGACAACGCGAAACAACTGCTCATCCCCCTCTTGGGAATGCCTTCGAACAACGTCGTCGCCGCGCTGTTGTTCCTCGCTTATTACGAGCTGGGCATGAACAACGAAGCTGGTGAGCAGATGTCGCCGATACCTGGCTAGACGACACGCTGACGAGAGCCTTTACGTTGCCGCTTCGATCAGGACTCTGGGCGTACACCGGGCTCGCCATGCGAATGATCACTGATCTCGGCGGGCATCGCAAGATGTCAGGCAGATTCGCGTCTCGATCGTTCCGAACGCTGTTCTGGTGGTGAGTCAAACATATCCGTCGTGACTTACACCACCTATCCCGCCTGACCAGTAAGGCTCCTTTGCTCAGCGTCTACCTGCTCGATCGATCGCTTTCCATCGGAACCGGTAGACCAGTCACCTTTCTCGACGCCCACATCGAGATTGCTCAACCAGACTCATCAAGCCAGACATTGTATGCCAGTACCCCGGATCGCCCTTCTTTGGCTTTTGCCTATACCATCCGTCTTACCCAGCTGTATGGGTCTATCGCCCAACTCGTCAACTCGTCACCGTACTGGCTACCCGGCTTCACGGGCGAGAGCATAGGGCCAACGGCACCGAGCAGTCCAAACGGGACGAGGCCCGGATCCGCGTCGAGACGAGCGTTGAACGGCGGTCGGGTCGACTGGGAAGCCTTGGTGACCGATCCCGCGTTTGCCCTGGAACTGGATGCGCTGGCTCAGCTCGAGAACTCGGTCATCACCTTGTACGAGGCCTTGCCCCCGGTCTTGACGTGGAACATTGACAAGTGAGCGTCGTACACTCTTTTTGAGCAACAAAGGCTTGCGAAAGCTGACCTCCTCGAGCTTGACGGCACTAGCCTGACGAGACATGTCCGCATCGGCGATGGAGACATGTATCTTCACCTCCATCTTTGGGTCAGTTTCGACCCGATTGCCTGGGAAAAGTCATGATACTAACCTTCGATCCTTCGACGCTGGCAGTACTACTGTATCCTGGCCATATTACACAGAGAACCTTTCATACATGCCCGAGCCGCTTTTGCTCAGATGCAAGCTTTAGAAGCGGTAGAGATACAAAAGACAGCTGCGAGGAGTATCCAGGATATCGTCGCGTCGCTCGATGTGAGTACGAGGTTCGATTCGCAATGTCATGCTGTCTCGCTTACCCTCGGCTCGATCACTTCTAGTCACAGAACCGCCGACTTCTGCTCAATAACCCATTCATCAACCAGTGCTTTTACGTGGCGGCTTCCACTTGGGCTTCGGGTGAGTGCGATAACTTGGTCGAACCGAACCCTCAGCTGATCTAGGCGTCGACCCCAGAGATCCGTTCGCAAGGACAAAGACCCACTGTTCCGCTACGTCGCGCCAAGACACTGCTCTCGACATCTGCTCTTGTCAGCTTTACGGTCTGTGCGAAAGTGTTACGAGAACAAGCCGACGTCTGGCTCGGTGTAGGATGGATCGCGGCGGCTCTAGGCAAGTCTTGCGATTCCGACCTGCTGGACTCACGTACTGACCATCGCTAACCATTATACGAACTCGATAGCCAAACGAAGCGACCGGTTGATCGTGGGCAATGTCGTCAAGGGCGGTGCGACGGATACTATACTATCTGAAGCCGAGATGGTGAGTTGGGTTCTGGTTGCGAGCAAGATGATAGAGGTCTAGTCTGATCCTTCAACGACAGCGCATCATCTCAACTTGCGACCGGTCCGAAGGCGATACAAACGTTTCAGAGATGGGACAACTACGCGATTCCGTCTTTCAATCGTTGGACGGTTTGGTGCCCGATGAGACGGGATATGAAGCTGGTGAGCGCCGGGTTGAATCGACATCTAATAGTGCCCTCTTATTGACTTGGATCCTCGACAGCGGTCCCACTTTGGGATGCCGACGGGCTGTTCGGCGATCAAGACTTCAATCAGCTCTTTTTCGATCTGACGCAATATGGGGACTTTAACTTTCAGGCATGACGAGCCATGATTATCTCATCGAAAACATATTGTCACTGTCGCTCGTCAAAATTACAATGCTACTACTTGCTCACGGTCACGATGACCCGCTTGTATCGAGTCAATGTGGGAACGCCGTCATCGGTAACCTTGAGGATCAGATGAAAGTTCTGGCTAGTCTCGTTGACGGTCCTGAAACCGATGCTCGTCGTGGTATCGGTGGGGAAGGTGACCTTGAGTTGTGCCGACCTTTCGGTCCCGTGGAAATCCAACGTCTTGACCTCGAAAACGGCCTGTGCGCCAAGGGGTCCCGTCAGCATCTGAGAACAGGCAGTCTCTGTACGAAGGCGATCTGCTCACGGGGAAGAACGTGTCGGCTTCTTTATACTGCAACCACTCGAATGACAACGAGTCTCCGTCCACGTCAAACGACTTGCTGGCGTCGATGGTGATCGTCTCGCCATGCTTGACGGTGATCGATAGGGGTTCTTGCGAATCATCCCCGTTGACCACGACGGTAGGGGGGTGGTTGGGTCGCGTCTTCGGCGTGTCCAAGGTCCATCTGACAATAATCACAGCACAGCCTTGTCAGATTCCTTTCGTCGAGTCGTCGTCCTGCGATCCCGACGCCTATACTCACTGCATCCTGGCCGCGAAATCGTTCTGGACCTCGGGCCGCCACCTCCAAACACTGGTATGCGTCGTCGAACGCTCCTTGCCATCCACGGGACTGATCACCTTGTCATTGGAGTCGTGGTAATGCCTCGAGCCAGGATCGAGGAGTTTCTTGTACCGCCCACCCCAGCCGCCCCAGTCGATCCGTTCGGGCACGTTCAGGCCGTTCTGCGATACCAATAAGTTCAGCCCATGATACCGTATCAGCTCTCCTCTTCACTAGCGTGGATCACCAAGACAATCGACTCCAAGACCATGGACTCTGCGACTCACGGGAATAATGCCCAGATAAGCAGGAGTATCTCCTTCCATGATAAACTTGTACGTAGGGTACTTGGCACCTAAGGGTCCGATCTGGATGTTCTCGGCGATCCATTCTTTGGAGACGAGCGTCTTGTCCGGTCCGTCGAAGACGTTACCGATATCGCCCGAGATGCCTGTCCATCTACAGCACGCCGGGTTTACAGTTCAGCAATCCCGATGTCAGTATGGCACAGTGCAGTGCATCTCAGCGTCAGGGTCGGGATGGAGGAGGGACTCACGTGGCGAATCCATACGCATTCTGACCGGCGACGGTGACGATATAACGTAGCATGGGGAAGTTCCGTCTGATCCAAGGCCCAGCGTCGTCCTGTGACACAGTTTCGAACGGCATTCAATCTCAGCCTCAAGTCGCCCTCAAGACGTAGAGGGAGATCACATCACAGTACAGCAAACTCACCTGATCGCTGATAGCATAGACTTGGATCTTTTCGATAAACTTGTCTAGCTCTTCCTGTGATCTGTAAGACGAAGAACGTATCGAGCAGGATCATCGTTTCAGTGCCTGATCTTATTACTTATTGATTGACATGCAAGAGATGGGACTCACCGGGTCGACCTGACTTTCCAAAGAGCTTGAGCCAGAGTGTTCGCCCCTCCCCACAGACCCAGGTGTAACATCCTTTCATCTTCCTTATCAGCGGCCTTGATGATCAGATCACTGCCAGGCGAATCATGTCCTTCCCCAATCTCCTTCATCCCATAAGTCGGGTTCCCTCCGACAATGACCGAGTCCATATACTCTGCCGTCGGGTAGTCCTTCGAATGTTTAAGGAGGTTCCCGTGGACCGCTCGGTAGCCGGTGACGATATCGTTCAGGGTCTCTGGGTGGACTTCGTTGGGAAGCCATGTCGAGGTGACGGCGATGACGCCTTCGATGTCGATGTCGTTCGAGTACAAGAGCAGTCGGACCTGCAAAGCGATTACGTCGGTACGGGACTATGTTTGAGACTTGAGATGGGCCTTACGAATGATTCTGCATCGTCAGGCTCGTTGTCGATGTCGGTCTGGGGTGGAGGTTTGAAGTCGATCAGCACGATGATGGGCGGGATAGGGGTCAAAGAGGTGCGTGATCATCAGCGCCGGCCATTGTCGCGTGGACGTTTTGGGGAGGCGCGACCTACGAGGGCGATGTACCGCGGTTTCGAGATGGCAGAGGGCATGTTCGTCTCGTCGCTTTCGTCTGTTAGCTGATCCTTGAAATCAAAGAGTGCCTCCAGATGTTCCTGCTTCGACACGGGCGGCAGGTCGTTGTCAATTTATAGACTACAACACGTCGGTCTATCGGTATAGTATCTGCTCCGTCCACTTTGATCGTCCACGCGAGGATAGCCAACCCGGTAAAGCGGCAAGCTCATCGATCTAGCACGTGACATGCTGGAGTTCCCGGCCTCGGTACAGCGGTGTGGGGGTGGTCGTGTCCGAAGGCGATGCCGTCGGGGCGTAATTAAACCCCATACGATCCCAAGATCTGCAAGTTGCAAGGTACGTTCGCAGCTCCGACCAGAGCGCGCGCGCGTGTTAATGCAAGTCAATGGTTGTTGCGATCGACAACGATCACACAATTCATACAAGCGATTCAACGGAGATCACAGCGTTACTAAAGCATCAAAGCAAGCTATGAAAGCCATGCATTCCCTGCTCTCCTGCTTCCGAGAATCGTAACATAACAAGATCTTGATTACAGCAATCCCGGACGTTCACGGAATGCCTCGCGTTCTCGACGGTGACAGAACGGGAATTGCTTAGCAACATGAACACGATTCTCGTGTGACGTCTTCCACCGTTTACTAGAATCCCTTGACAGTGAGGTGTTTTTTCAACGACAATGATGTATGTATATATAAGTATCACATCTGTGGAGATCATGGATCGCAACAAGTCGTCCTAGATTGCGCGAAGACGCATCCGCCTGACCACACTGTCTGTTCCCCAGCCGCCTTCGCTCTCATCTCCACCTGGTAAAATATGCCTTCGAACACGATGCAACAGTACAAACTCTACAAACAAGGCTCGACAGACGGTTTGTGCTTGGAGACGGTCGAAAAGCCCAGATTAAGATCCTCGACCGAAGTCCTCATCAAAGTCCACGCGATCAGTCTGAACGCTAGGGATAATCAGATCGTCAATGGGACTTATGGCGCACCCGTCCGAGAGGGGGTCGTCGTCGTCTCCGGTAAGTACATTATCAATTTCCGACTGCGATGGTGTGCTGTGGGGCTGAAGCAGCTCATTGGCGCAGATGGAGCGGGCGAGATCGTCGAAGTGGGTTCAGACGTCGATCTATTCAAGGTCGGAGATCGGGTCACCGCGATGCCCATGCCGGGACACAATGCCGTGAGTCTACCATACCAATCGTCAGGGTTTCAAATACTCCAGTTCTGATGGATGTCCAAGTGCTGATCATCTCCTTGTCGGTGCGTCATAATGCAGGGCGAGTATCCTGAACCTCGGTTGTACACGAAAGCGCTCGGTTCTGGTACCGATGGTATGGCAAGCGGTAAGCAAACGTGGCTTTCCGCTTACTGCGCTTTTCCATCTTCTTCTGCATCGAAGTGCCTCCCCTCTTCGTCACCATACGTCTCAGTTATCAGACAAGCATGCTCACCTCGCCCAAACACGATCTCGCAGAATACTTCAGGGCCAGCCAAGAGGACGTCATCCACATGCCTTCGCACATGACGTATGAGGAAGCTGCGACTCTTCCCATCGCTTGTGGGACCGCTTGGTCAGCCCTTTACGGCCGCACCAAGCAGGTCACTAGCGGTGACGTTGTCGTTTGCATGGGAACGGGGGGCGTGTCGTTCTTTACCGCTGCTGTGAGTATTGGCTGCGATCGTCATTTCGGCCAAGCACGTAGAGTCCGGTCCGTTCACGGAAACTGACGTACGAATCGTTGCGACAGCTCGCTCTTGGCGCTGGAGCTCGGGTGATCATGACATCCTCGTCTGACGAAAAGGCGGACAGGATCCGTCAATACCTCTCCCATCTCATCAAGTTCGAAGACGCATTCCAGGTCATCAACAGGAAAAAGCATTCCAAGGTCGAGACCGAGGTCGAACGCTTGACCGGTGGCAACAAGGCGGATTTCATCATCGAGATCGGGGGCGTCAAAACTCTACCTTCGTCCATCAGGTGTATGAAACCAGGAGGGCTCATCGCGCTGACGGGTATGCTCACGAGTCAGCAAGAGGGAGAAAACCCGACGGACGGCAAGTGGCAGTTATGGCAGGCTCGACCGATACCGTAGACTGGTCGGAACTGATCATACCGCCGTTCACTGTTTTATAGATATCGCTTCTCTTCTCTTATGGGGAGGCCCCATCGCTCGTGGTATCGGTCCAGGTGAGCATGGACTTGCACGATCACCCACCTGTCGCGACGCATGCCGGGCGCTAATCGTGTTTCATCTTTACTGTAGCCCCGCGCAACGAGATGAAACGCATGCACAGGGCTTTGGAGGCGTCTCAGTTCCGTCCGCTCGTGGACAAGGTGTTCGACTTTGATCAGCTCAAGGAGGCGTATGAATATTCCCTCGGATCGAATTTCTTGGGCAAGATCGTCATCAGGGTCGCCAAGGACTAAAAGTCGGCTTTGACTGGGATATGCGCGTCGCACGATTGTATGCTGGAACTCGAATTGACAAGACCAGCCTGTGACGTCCTGAATCTGGAAAGTTCGATAGATAATTCACTCATAGAGACAATCAGCGCACAAATTGTAATTTCCAATTACGGAAATGTGATATGCATGAGCCTTCCTTGGACTAGGATTAGCAGAGATCGACCAGGCGCTCCATAATCATATCAAAGATCTCTAGGTCTTTGTCGGCTGAAGGCAGTATGAGGCGAAAAGTCAGCACATCCGTTTCTATACCGGCCCACAATCAACGAGCTATATCGAGCGTTTGTTACTGACCATCTTTGGCATCCGTCTTGACGGGATCGCCATCGACAATCGCCCCATACATCGCTTCGTATTCGAGCGTGTAGGCATCTTTGAATGTCGGCCGGATGTTCTCTTCGACGTGATCGCCATTGGACTTGGTCGAGATGACGGTGGCCGTGATTGGAAGACCCTTGATATACGGGCTAGTGAAACGTGTAGAGGTTGAGTATTCATGACATCAGCAGCTAGTCCGATCAGAGAAGGGTCCTCTTTCTCAGGCATCACTCACGTATCGTAGTTTACTCGAATGTGACTATCCTGAGTAAAGATCTCGATATGCGCGTCGAATTGCTTGACCGAGTCAACACCCATCTTTATGATGCGAGGCAAAGTGAGAGGGGGATCATTCCAGGGCGGGTGACCGTCAATCACGCGCCCAGGCTCACCTCATAATGGCAACAGAACCCTTCGCTGTATGTAGTTGATGAACATGATCGGGATCAGCGATGGGTAGGATGAGAGGTGCGTGGGCCTTGGCTTACGACCCCGACTTACTACTCGAAAAGGACCGTCAGAAACAAGCCGCTCGGACTTCTCGTAGCAGCCAACACGCTCTTTGGCATCCCGATCAGTTCTCGCAGCGCAGACAGATCGTGACTCGCCAGACCTGTTAACAATGCCCAGGTCATGATATCACGGGGGCTATCGGCCTTGTCTCCTAGTGCTCGGGAGTGAATCTCTTTCGACAGTTGACGCCTCTCCTCGCTGGCGCTCTTGGGAAAGTCTAAAGTTGACGCATCAACTTGACAGAGGCTCGGTCGACGCAGGATGAATGAGCGCTCACCTGCGAATTGACGAGGAAAGGTACCGCTCTCGTCCACAAAGAAGGCATTCTGGAGAAGTGGGTGAGCTACCTCAGTTGAGAAATCACTACCCATCATCACGATGCAGCTCACCTGTCCGATGATGTCTCGCACTTTAACTGGGCATTCCACGATTTCGATGTCAATCTTGACGTAACTGGACTTGTATTAGCCATGGAGCTCACCGTAATTGATCTGCCCTTTGGTCAAGGACGTTACGATTTCTTTCACCCGAAGGAAGGCTGTAGCATACCTCCGCATGTAGCCGACAAAGACGATCCGGTCGGCATGTTCTCGAGCACTGTCGATCAGCTGTGCGTCTTGATGGGAGATGGCCATGGGTTTCTCGATGAACACGTGTTTCCCCGCCTCGAGACACTTGACAGCGTGTATAGCCTGTCGTGGTAGGTATGATGAGCGAATCACTACTTAAAGGGTTGATTCATGGTTGCTTTCCCTCGTGGCACTGACATGATATTCGCTAAGGATCAGACAGGACAAGGCAAGTCTAAGCATTCCGGCTGAGCAGACTTCCCACAAGTATGCTCACTTGGCATTCATGATCATGACAACGTCTACCTCAGGGACCTTTTGCAACATCTCGTCCACGTCCTCGAAGGTGTTGGGAATGTGAAACTTTTCGGCGCAGTGTCGAAGCGCATCTCGGCTGATGTCGACGATGGCCAGGGTCCGAAATAGATGAGAGCACAGGAGGAGGGTCGGTAGCTGCGGGTGGCGATAGAATGAAAGTCAGGTCAGTGATCTTGAAGCGGACGTACGCGCGCGGCCCGATCGATACCAACGTGAGTGGTCATGGCGACCTCGCCGACGCCGATAATCTATATAAAATGAGGACACGTCGAGTTCAGCCATCTCCGTTGCCGCTCAAGCACAGAGATACGAGACTGACTGCGACGTTCAAAATAGGTCGAGGCTGAGTGGCGGCGGGCATCTTGACGGTGTGAAGGAAGCGATGAATTGTGTGCGTTGCAATTGATAGGCTGCGCGACAAGACTGATAGTCGACCAAGAGCGGTACCAGAAGTACGTACTTTATATTCTCAGATTCGGCTGATTAACAGTCTGTCAAACCGTGGCTCGATCGAATTTACCGTGCCGCTGCGCGCGCTTGCGTGCTGCCTATGTTCTAATCAGAGACGTCATCATGTGATACATCGTTCTATCCTCTGCAGATTTCACATCTTCTGGAGTTCTGATTCCTGTCCTGCTATCCCCTATGCCATCCTGGACCAAATACACCGACCGGCTAATATCAACGCCTTTTCCTTCTTCTTGGCGTCCCCACACCCATCCAGCGGGTCCCGCGACTGGGGTAGTCGTAGAAACGCGACAGACCATACAATCATACATAAGGTGTGATCCAACAAGACTTTGATATACTTAATCGTATTCGAAACTGAAACTGACAAACACACACGCGAAGATCATCAACCCACACCACGCCGCTTTTCGCTATGAACACCGCTGCCGCTACGGGATGGGCCAGCAAGGCCAACGGAACTCATCCGAAATGGTGGAAAGATAACGGCCTTCGACGATGCAACTTCTGGATCGCTATCTGCTTCTTGTCTGTCTTTTCGGGAGGATACGATGGATCACTGTTGGGATCACTGCAGGCTATGGTCCGTTCCGTTGCGCCTTCTCACATGCCTGTGCGCGCGCGCGTATTCTCAAACTGATAGCGGGAACACTTTCTTCTCGGTTCAGCCTCAATGGATCGCGTATTTTGACAACCCTCAGGGAAGTCGTCTCGGACTCATGGCTTGCGTCCAATCTATCGGTTATATCCCTGGAGGTCCCGTTTCTGCCATCCTGGCTGACCGCTTCGGGCGGCGTTGGGCCATTATCACTGGCGCCTTGATCTTAAGTACGGGACTCAATGGAACTCGTTTGGTCAGTGAACGCCCATTTATATCCCATACGATTCTGCTAGCTTTTGGATCCTTTCTTCAAGCTTTTGCTACGAATACATCGATGTTCACAGGTTCTAGGTAAGCCCAATCGGCAGCTTTGCCATCACTTTCCTGAGCCCCATCATATGACGCGCTTGACAGGTTCTTGATCGGGTTTGGGGGCGCTGTCTGTGGCGTGAGTGATTTTCGTGATGTCCTTGTTACTATGCAAATGTGCTGACAACGATAAACTCTTCGTTCTGGGATGATGACGCAGCCCGGAGCTGTACTCGCTACCGAATTGGCCCATCCGCGACAACGAGGACCCGCAGTAGCCCTGTACAACACTACGTGAGGCTAACCCTTCTTAATCCCTCCATCTTGTCCTCTGAGTCTGAACTCAGCTGAACTTGATACCCCTGCAGCTATTATATTGGATCAACTATGGCCGCTGTGATTAGTTTTGCCACCCTTCGGATCGGTGGCGACTGGTCCTGGCGTCTCCCTTCCCTGCTGCAATGCGCCGCTGCCGTCGTTCAAGCGTTCGCTCTCGTCTGGGCCCCGGAATCACCTCGTTTCCTGGTCGCCAAAGGGAAATCTGAGCAAGCTCACAAATTGCTCGCCAAATATCATGCCAATGGCGACATGGACGATGAATTAGTCTTGTTCGAGATGGAAGAGATTCGCCTAGCGATGGAGTTAGAGAAACAAGCTTCGGCTCGAGGTTGGATGGAATTGGTCCGAGGCGCTGGCAATAGGAAGCGGACAGCCATCTGCACTTTCGTCGGGTGGACATCTCAGTTCAATGTGAGATCGTTTCAACGCCGCCTTATGAAATGGCGCAAGTGTTGACGAATCTCGCCTTTGCACGGTTCAGGGTGTCGGCATCGTCAGTTACTATTTCGCGCCTGTTCTTCGAACGGTCGGCATTACGAACAGCACCCAGATTCTGGCCATCACCATCGCTCTGGGAGTGTGGAACTACGTAGGTTCTATAGCTTCATCTCCATAACAAAACTTGTAGATGGGCTAACAAGATGAACTTCTGAGGCTTTCAGTTGGCGGCGACCGCAGGTTCGCTCTGCGTGGACAAAGTCGGCCGTCGCAAACTCTGGCTATTCTCTACCGGGGCCATGTTCGTCTGCATGTGCTTGGTAACTGGATTATCAGCGGGTTACGAGAAATCCCCTAACGCCGCTATAGGGGGCAGCGTCATCGCTTTCTTGTTCCTCTAGTGAGTCCCCATATCGACTCTTGCGATCGGACGGGAGTGAATGTTGATGAGATGTTTTGGTGATAGCTACGGAGCGTATGACTCTGCGTTCACGGGTCTGACGATCTCCTACCCTTGTGAGGTAGGTCCAGCCGTGGCAACCTGGAATCTGAGGGCAGATTGACAGGATGAAGGCGAATAGATCATGCCCTACTACCTGCGGACGAAGGGCATCGCCGTCTTGAACATGTATGTGTACCAGATCGTCCGCGTTTTGCTTAGGCAGAAAGCCGTTGAAGCCTCAACATCTCGTTCTACGTAGAAACGTTGGGGTCGCGCTCTGTGTCAATCAATACCTCAATCCTATTGCGCTCGAAGCCATCGGATGGAAGTACTATCTGGTCGTGAGTCTGGAACCTCTGTGGTTTTTGGGATATGTCACTGATCACATTGAGTCGTTCATGCCATTGCCTTTTGAGCAGTATGTCGGCATCCTCGCGCAAGTTCAGGGACATGTTGTATGACGCGAGCGGCGTTAAAGAGCTAATTGATGTCTCACTTGCCATGCGTTGCAGTGGCATATTCGTGGTACAGTTCTTTGTGAGTGTCGTCGCTTGTGAACACAGCTCCATCACAGGCAATACTGACAAGTCTTCGACACGCGCAGTACTTTCCGGAAACGCGCGGATATTCTATCGAGGAAATCGCTCAGATCTTCGATAACAAGTCACCCGGCGCTCATGAGCTATCTGAGACTGGAACGACTGTGCAGTACATCGGCGACGAAGCGATGGACTCGAAGAAGATGGACCTGGCGCACATCGAAGGGCCGGTTTTGGAATCGGCGCCTCGCAAGCATTAGCACGCGCGCGCCTAGACATTCGATCCATCACCTATCGGTGATCGGTGATCAATTGATCAGTCGAAGACCTGATCGGTATCACAATAGTCCTTATCATCTATCACCGCACCGTTCGCGGTGCAATTTCGTAGGACCGCCCCTGATCGCTTTGAGTAAAGGGGTGTTGTAGAGCCATTTCTTTGCCGTATCCATTCGTTTGTTCTGTGTAAATCGAAACCTTGCGTGTTGCTTCAAGAATGCCGTAAACTCTTTGCTTCGGGTCGATGTCGTGCGGTAATCAGCCGATCCAGTGATCCAGTGAGTGCTATCAGCCGGGGGACTGTACTGAAGGGCTACAGGTGAATAGGGGTCGATCGCATCATCATTAAGTGTTGGCTCATCGCACGGACTTAGTGGCATCGCAAATGACTAGCAATGGAATCATGGAATGGTGGAATTCCTGCATCGACACGTCTGTTCTTCTGATTCTCAGGGATACCTAATCTTCAGCATAGGAAAATCATCCTTGAATCGATCCAGAACGGCCAATTTGAAGCGATGCCTCCTGCAACATCCAATACCACCAAGGATGCCAAGAAACAACGTCTGACACAAGCGTGAGTCATTTTGGCACCTGTCACTTAATCGCCGGGAAGATACGTATATGGTGCCGGTCCGAGGGATTCGACTTTACGGCTGATGATCGTGTCACAATCTGCGAGGGATTACCAGGTGTCTTCCATGTCGTCAGCTCAAAGTGAATCATTGACTTGGCTTACATCGCTTAACGAGTGACAGCCAAATAGCTGATCGTCACCTTTTACGCTTCAGGTCCGCTGCATACAGGACTTTCCACACGATAGGGGTAGGGGAGAGCCTCAGTCGCCGTGCGAACGATGTCGGCGCCTGAGCCTGGATTGTACGTACCGATCAGAGAAGCGCGGTCGAAAGCCGAGAGCTTCGTGAGTGAGGTTTCCAGCATGAAACGCAGTTAAGATACTATACCTCAGGGCAGAATTGAGCTGATCTGCTATACTATACTGCCGGTCGTCTCCGCAGCAAGCCTTCTGGGGAAGAGAAATCGTCAAGCTTGAACACGGGACGAGGAGGGTCTTCGGAAGTCGGAGATCGCGACGACGGATCATCTGGCCTGATCGATGCCATCGATGCTGGCGACCAAGAAGGAAGAGAGACGACGGAGAGGACGAATTCGAATACGTGCACAACCAGGCAGGATGATTTAGGGGTATCCGCGCCTAATCGCCAGGGAGACTCGACTACTCAATCTGGCTACTGCCTCGGCATCCCGACCGGCATGATATTACAGGCGACAGACGATCAACCTTCCCCCAATGTCGATGTCATGCAACTCGGAGGAACACTCATGGAGACCCTCGTACAAGGACCCGTCCAGGCTGGGAACACGCCTACGGACTTTTCCCCGAGCTCGAGCTCGAGACCGGTTGCTGAACCTGAAGCGAGCGTCAACGTCATACAATACCTGGATCCGGGTCATCAACCTCAACTCGTGCTGTCGGAGTCGTCAGGCCCAGGGCACATCAGCATTTCAAGACGGTTCGGTGATCCTATCGATATAGGCCTATTGGCGGTTCACGAGGCTACGCATCTCGTTTATCTGTGGGTCCACCGACTAGAAAGCATTTGACAGGTCACGATCGGAAACAAGCTGATCGGACGACTTTGATTCACTAGCTTCCACAATCGATTACAGCCTTATATAGCTCTGCTAGATCCATCTTGTGAGTCGAGTTCATGAAGATGTCTTCCCGTGGCTTCTCGCTCATCTCTTACAAATGGCCCAGATCACACGTTCGAGTTTTTAAGATCCAGCTCAATCCTGCTGCTTACCGCCATCCTCACGGCGTCTTCCCGATTCTTCCGGCCGGACCTATGGCCTGCTCTATCAACCCAGTGCAATCAGGTCTTAACGAGGGCAATGTCCGAGGGCATGTGCAACATTCAACTAGTCCAAGCGCTCTGTATCATGGTATACTGGAAGTCGCCTACGGATAACACGGCGTTCTTGAAGATCGGTCATGCCGTACGCATGGCTTATCAACTGAACCTGCATCTGCCTAGACGATCGTCTATGCCCACAGACATTGTACAAGCAAAATCCTTCATGGTAAGTTCGAATCTTTCGCCGTCCCGCATCCGTCACCCACCCAATTCTGCGTTGCTCACACTCGTGTACAGGATAAAGAGAGAACGTGGCTGTGTAAGTGGCTGCCTCATGTAGACGTGATCAAATCAGTCCCTCGCTCATCTCATTGTGTTCAGGTCTGTGCTGTAGGTGATGTCTCTCGTTGCAGGCGAGTCGAGCTCGACTTGCTGATCTCGACCGATCATTGGTTTTGGCAAGGTTTCGACGCTTCGTATGATGGCCAAGCGATTTATACCTCGCATGACCAAGATGCTGACGCCTGTTGGTCATCTCACCTCCTTCAGCTATAGGTGAGTTTCCCATGCGCTTCCGGGAGACAGACAGATCTGAGCTGACACCCCGTCCTTGCCTCGTGTGCCGTAAGTACTCAGCATGTGGTTCGGACGGCCTCCAATCATTATTTCACGTCACATACCCGATATTGAACTCTGGTTTCAAAGGCTGCATCCGTGGGCCATCCCTCTGGACCGAAAGCTAGCGTGTAGTATCGAGTGAGTCGAGCCCAGACGGCGGAGCTTCCCCTTTGCACACGTCGCTGACTTTGGGCTCGACACGTACTTGTGCAGCGGTTTACCAATTCTGCGCAATCGATTGGCGATCTCTGAAGCTTTATTCGACATTTCCATCTCTTCTCATATTCGCGAGTCTCTGGCGCGACACCATCGAGATCTGATGAGACGGTATACGACAAGATGGATAGATGATCGAGGTGAGAGCAGCAGCTCCTTCGGCTTGTGGATACGCTCAGCCGCTGACAACGCTTGTCACTCCCTTCAAGCGCTTCAAACCTGGCCTATCCCGCCTCGAGCTTATGAAGCCTCATCGTTGGCGATCTTGAGTCAAGCAGTTCAGGCAGAAGCTACGCTTGCCGAGATCACTCTGGCGCCTAGCGACATGTCGGCACTGCTCTTGACGGCAGACAAGCTGGTCGCCAACCTGAGAATGCTGGCTCTTGACGACGGTCTGGTGAGTGAAAACAGCTCGAGCCGTCGTCCAGAGGAGAAGGAAAAGACTATGCTCATATCGAGTCGAAACTACACTAGCTGCACGTACAAGACATCCTTGCGATAGAGATCAGCACTTTCGTTCAAGTGATGAGAAAGGCAAGTCTGGAACAAGGAAGGCGCCGTCGCGAACGCTCTCTCGCTGATCACTACATCGGCAAAACATTTGCAGGCCATCGGATTCGCTCCTGACCATATCCAAGCGGCCATCGTGGGCTTGCTCTTGAGCGTGCACGAATTGTGCGATGGCGTCTCGGACCAGACATCCGCCCCATCATATGTCGCCAGATTCATCTCCCGAAGCTTGCTCGACCTGTATCAGACGTCTGCATCCCGTCAACCAACGCGCCAGCCCTCGCCCATGCATTCAGGGGCAGAGGCAGAAGGAGGGTTCCCATCTCTTCAGTCCGATCTGGACTTGGCACTACCGGAGCTGGTTAGTATCGGTTTCGCTACTTCGTCAGCCATGACGTTCCGTTGACGGTGACATCTCCTACAGCAACGGTTCTTCGAGGCCCACGACGCCCCGGCAGACTTTTTCGACCAAGACTATTGGGATACGCTTTTGGGCATGAACACGACTCGGTGAGACGGGTTATCAGAAAGTTTCTTTTCGTAGCAATCACATCCGTATGCGTCTTCTCTTCAACACTACATCTTCTCGAGGCCGGCTGGCAACTTGTATCCTCCTTGCTTCTGAACTTCGTTGATGATCTGTGGCAAAGGACGATCAGCGCTTCATGTATGATTTGCCATCATTATGATTTCGACCGGACTCACTTCCAACGCCAAGCGAGTCTCGACGTGAGGCATACGTTCGTTCTCGATCTGGCCATCTGACAAGGCACGATCGAGGGGGAGGACGTGCGAATCAGCTATGCGCCACCGCCGAGCCAGGTCTCAAGGCCAGACGACTCACCTCGGATGCTCCTCGCCACAGCGTTGGCTTCGAATATCAAGCCGAACCCACCACCGACCGGCATCTCGATCGTCTCTTCTGGCAACCATCGAGGTTGATACCAAGATTCGCCAGGTTCGTGTCTACGGATCGTGATCTTGGTCCAATTGTTGGGGCCATCGTGGACTATCACCTCGCTGGAAGAAACAGACGAGCGCGAAGGAACATCAATATGGCGCAATCACTTTTACAACGTTGATATGGACTTACCCTTTGTCGCCGACGATGGTCACCTTCGTCTCCTTCGAAGTCGCATACGCGAAACTGGTAGTACCCACGGCGACCGCTCCGAGTCGGTCGAAACTAAGCGTAACGCTCGTCGACAGGTCGACGCCGGTCCTGGCCTTGAGCATGTGTCCAGTAACTTGGCTCGGACGGGTCCGTTCGTTCTTCGGGTCCCGAAAGAGAAGCCACAAGGGGGCGAGGAGGATGTACGGTCCGAGGTCGTACAACGGACCGCCAGCGTATTCCATCGCGATAGTCCGGTGCGTGTCCGGGAGACTTGTCGAGATGAACGAACATGTATAGCGTGACAATTGAGATTGCCGATATGGGGTGGATATAGGTAGCGTCAATAATCAGGTATCAGCGGTCGTTGTAGAGAGATGCTCGACGAAATGAGCGTCTCGTCACGACTCACAGGTTATAAAACGGCATAGAGAGATCGGATTGGACGAATTTCAGATCGCCAAGGACCCGCTCATGATGAAGTTTCTGGACCAGCACGTCGGCGATGGGAAAGAACCGACTCCACATGCCTGTATTAATGTCTCAAGTCGATGCAGTCAGCTACTTGATCTCGATCAACTTCATATCATCCCAGTTCTCATCGGCCGACAAACGACCACAGCGAAAGCGGCAGCACTCACCTTCCATCAGGAACAAGTTCTTCGACTTGGCCAGCCCGCTCAGACAGTCCCACTGTTTAGCATTCAGACAAGCCGGTTTCTCCACCAAACAATGTTTCCCCGCTTCGAGGGCCGCCTTGGCATCGGAAAAATGCGCGGTGTTGGGAGTGCCTATGTAGATGATATCTACGGACTGTGGGGTCGAGGCGAATAGGGATAGGGGTCGAGGTGATCAAGGATAGGGGTCGAGGTGATCAAAAATAGGGGTCGGGGTGATCGAATTAGGGGTCGAGGTGATCAAAAATAGGGGTCGAGGCGAGGTGAGACAAAAGGTCAGACGGTTGCCATTGCAGATGCGATCGCGGGCATGTCAAAACGATGAGTGACAGGGCGGAAGACGGCTTGGCTCACCGGATGATTGTAGACATCATCGTAACTCCCACAAGCCTCAGGCCTGACGTCCGTCAAACCCTTTTGCTGGCCGTTGGCTCCGGCTGGACAGTGAGACTGCCCTCTCAAACATGCAAAATCCGACGAAAGGAAGAACCCAAAGCAATAATAGATTCAAGATGAAAAGTAGCGGTATGTCGTTATGTCAGCAAGAGATCACATCACGATCGAGATCCGAAAGACATTCATGCGTACCTCGATAAACGTCTGAGCTTTACTGACATCCCTCGAGCCGACCGCCGCGATGGCGTGATAGACATCGGTGACATCGTCTCGCTGGATCGAGATGTCCTTGACGAATTCCCCTGAAATCCAACCGCAGCCGATAATACTGATCGAGCGTATGAGACACAACGTCAGGTCGGACGAGGGAGTGGATGTTAGCTTGAGTGCGAGACTGAATCAGTGTAGGCATTGTAGGCGACTGACTTACCCCCAGTGAATGACGAAAGGTGGCATGTTTGCAAGAATCGAGGTTGATATTTCGATGTGTCTAATGTATATCGTTGCTATCGTTGAGGATCGATGATACGATGCTGGTTATCGTTCACATGCCGGATACGGTCAGGCGGGATGATCCCAAGACCTTCCTATAGCTTATAGCTTGTTCGTACTGTGACTTGGTGACCACAAAATGCCGTCGATGTCGATCTGTACAAGGTAAAACGCCTAAAAGGTGAGATGCGCCGCATCGGTGTATATCGATCGACGTCCCCCTCGATTCCAGACCTCGGTGGACACGTAATCAGCCGATGAGCGAGAATAATGAATGCCAAGGATCATGTTTTCAGCTACGGGGCACAGTAATGAGGAGGTTCACCGAGTCCAAGCTGGCTGGCGGCATGAAGGTCGAGGCGGCGGTGCAGGAGATGGAGGTTGACTCGCATTCGGGTTCGTAAAAACGGGTCCGAACACAACCGATTGTCGACCTATCCCACCTCGTTCATTCACGGCCTCCAGCAGCTACAGTGAACTATGTCGTTTGCCCTCTGTATCTTGGCGTCGGGCTCACTCTCACCTCACCGACCTTCAGCTTCAGACGGGATGGAACTGTCGTTATCGGCAGGTACTTTGTGCAGACATGCAGCTCAGCTCGGCTTGGGGATCTGAGGAGTTGAACGTGTCGAGGATCCCTGAAGTTCGGCTACTACAGTAAAAGATGATAAACAAAGGAGAAACGATGGCCGTCCGGACTGTGACTCGGGCTATATCGAACTATGCGTGTGTGGCAGTGATGAATGGCTCTTCACAGGAGATCGTGGACGGCTAGCACCAAATAACCTCGTATAGTCGAATCATGTTCGGGTCATACCAGTCCGTCCATCGCGATTCTAATCACGTCTCCCTCGTCCTAAAAAACCACGTTCTTCTTCCCCCAGATGGCCTTGATGTCCACAATCTTGCCATCTTCGTCAAACGTCATGACATCGATGGTATGGATCCGAACCTTTCGTCCGTCCATGGGAAAGACGATGGAGGACGCCATCGCCGCGGTCCTCCCAAACGACGTCCTTATGGGACCTTCCAGGTCTACCCGATCGGCCATGCCTTGATCGTAGAACGACGAGATCTGCTCGAGACCGCGGAACGGAGCGGTACCCACGGGGTCCACACCGACGATATCCCTATGATACATGTCCAACAGCGCGCCCGGGTCTTTCTTGTTGATCCCATCAATGTACTTCTGCATCGCCCTGCGCATGTCCGCTTGGAAGGCCGCTTCCCTTTCCAAATCCATCCCTGGTGGTAAGAACGCCTTGACCAACTCCTCCCGATCCCCGCTGATATTGCGCACGTTGTCCAACCCCCAGTGCGCTTCCACGGAGACGACCTTGCCACCAGGGCCGAAGGTCATCACGTCGATGATATCGATCTGCGTCTGCACCTCCCCCAGGCAGAACTCCAAGGTGAAAGGTATAGCCGCAACGCCGTCGGTACAAGTCCGGATGGACGAAACCAGCTTGGCGTTCCTACACCCATCCAGCATCTTCCCCATAAACTCTCCCAATTGCGATTTACCCACAAAAGGCTTTCCTCCTACTGGATCGCTAAAACGAACGTCCTCTGCGAACAAGTCGAGGATGGCCTCCGAGTCCTGTTTATTGAGCGCGGCAATGTATCGCTCGCAGGCCTCGTGCATATGTTCCTCCGTGACTTGTTTGTGGATGGACTTTCCCTCTCCATACGCCTTGAGGACTTGTCCTAGGTCGAGGGTGTCGGAAGTGTGGGTGTGGGTATCGGCCATGATAGGGAACAGGAACAACTACGAGAGGGATCGTTATCCAGTGTGCAAGGTAAGGTATCGAGGTTGGTAAAGGAAGGCTCCAGTCGTCCGATGAGCGAGGTTACGAAGTTGAATATAATGGCAAGTTGAACGATCGAGCGCGACGAAAAGAACGGTCATGGAGGCTCATCTCTCAGAGCAGCTGCCGGATTATAAGAAGGTTGACGGCTAGCGATGTCATCAACGGATCCAACGTTCGAGAGGTGTGTACTCACGTACTCGTTTTGTAATCAACGGGAAATCGACGGCGGCGGCACGGATACGATGTGGTGATTGCACGATGACGATGATGATATGATGATCAATCATCACTACGTACTACGCCACCTACTTATTGATCGTACAAGCGCTAAATGGGGGTCGCTCCACCAGTGGGCACTTGGGGGGGAGAAGGAGGATCTGTACCTCTCTCCCCCGGCCGATCTTGACTTGGAAGTTGCCAGAGCTGGTTAGTCGCCTTCCGTTATCGACGATATATTCACACCCATGATCGACACCTGCATGAGTGGTGGTTTGCTTGAAGCCCGGGGGAGGAACAGGCAGCTAGCGGATGTATCCTCATCACGAAGGTCAGCTCTGATCAACATTCTGGCTATTATATGGGGCAGAGGACGTCGTCGGCGGCATGCAGTCTCGTTCGTGTCTGACGACCGGAACACGCTGTACTTGCATATCGAATACATGAGAGGGCATCGAGAGTGCCTGTTGTACCGCTATCAATACTCCTCATCCCAGCAGCAGCACTAGTAGTAGTCGTACTTAGCGTTTCCTCGCTGACAATTCTGGCAACCACGGGAACCCGATCTCGAGATCGATCCTTCTTATCAGACAGAGGATCAGAAGACAGATAGACAACGCTCCACACACAAAACCTCATCTGGCGTCTAGGCTGCAGCTCGTAGCGACAGCCCATAGGAGAAATCACATAGACCTCGATCAGCTTCAAAAATGACGCCCTACACCGTTCACCTACACCGAGTCCTCCTCATCGGCATCGTTGCCATCCTCCTCCTCGTCCCCGCCGGATTCGGCCATCTGGTACATCGCTCAGATACAGACGACGATGACTCGCTCGACTGTCGACCCGTCGCTTTCGTCCGGGCTGCGGACCTTGTCCCCAACAGCGTCGTCCCAGGCGAAGCGAGACTCGTCATGCACGGTACAGGATGTCGGAACGTACAGAAATGGGAGATCGGCCTGAAGCTGAAGGAACGAGCCATCTTCCGATATTGGCAAGTACAAGCATAAGGGTTATACTACTGTATACGAGAATTGGCATCTCACCGAGGTTTTCTTCGTGTCTCGACTCCGTAACTTAGGGCAGAGAATGCGACTCTCCCAACGACCCAGCCCGAGTTTCTCTCCGAGGCCGAACCCGGTACCTGTGACGAGGACGATGAGAGCGCAGCTTACATTCATACTCCCGACATCCTGGATCGTATGGGCTTTCTGCGCAGACGAGCATGTTTGACCCCGGAGCAGACGCAGTATTGTACGTGTACCTTGCCCGATGATCACAGTACAGCGATTGGGTGCGGTTGGAAGGAAGGAAGAAGCTGATTCTACTCTGTGATCTTCGAACAACAGATCGGACGCTGGCCAACCGGACCTTGTGGGATATCAAAGGGGCGGAACGTACCGCATTCGACTCCCGGGTAGAGCTTGCCCTTCAGGAAGAGGGAACCTGTACGTCGATGATTCGAGCCTCATGCTCTTGTCCTTTATCCTGTGCTGAGAGGCGGACAATACGAATCGGAATGGATTTGTTACATAAAGCTTTGTGGGAAGGCGAGACGTTCTATGCTCAGAGGAATTTCTCCGTTCATGTGCCTAATACCAACGTACGTATCGCAGAGGGAATACAGTGATATTAATTGGCAACCGAGATTCGAATGAAAAGGCTGACCCTTATCTGACCTGTCGTACCCACACGCTCTAGTTTCCTCCTCAACTCGAAAGCGCAAGATCATGGGGCGGTCGGGGAGACGATCCACAAACAGAGGTGAGCCATAGTCATTCCAACGACACGCAGGCGCAGGCAGGATCATGCTAATCCTCTCCATTTTCCAGGCTTCTTTCACGGAGACCATGTTTGAATATTACTTTGTCTTGACCTACAAAGGCGGTTCCACCATCGAGGTCCCCGCCGGACGTGCCGCCTTCATACCAAGAGTCTTTGGCGATACATCACCTACCGATGGCATTATATACGACAACCCTAGCTCGCTCCGAGTCGATCTGCCGGATGATGAGCGGATCGTCGCCCAGCCGAGGTTCGTCTTGAAGGATTTCCAGCGAGATCTCGGCGGGTTCGATAAGGTCCCTGCATGTGTGAGTCGCTATCGCGCTCGTGACTCTGCTGAAGACTCTGCTGAAGATGATAAGGGTGTTCATGGTGGCTGGGACGGGTGGATGCAGGATGCGAACCGTTGGAGCAACTTTTCCGTGGAAATGTCGCTCCAGACGCCGGGCGTGCGTAGCGGTGAGTGGAATCTTTTCTCTTCTGACCACGAGGGGTACTGTACGCATTTGGTCTTCTCACTTGTCCGTCCTCGAATCTAGATCATACACTTCCTGTCAAGATCAAGATACATCAGAGCGGCAACTCGACCGCTTTCGTCGACAAGGCGTTGCTGACCCTGCGCACATGCCAAGTCGATACCTGGGCGCTCTCCCACGCTCGAACTCTGAACCAACGCCGGGAAGTCGATGGTTGCCGAGGCAATCCTTCTACGCAGGACGATTGGGTGGCTGCAGGTGCATCGGAGGACGTCGCAGGGATTCGGACAGGCAATCTCCTCCGGCAGAACAGTGACATGAAGGTCATCTGCATCGGTGAACCTTTCGATGAAACATACAAGAGAGAAAAGGAGGAGCTCGAGGCTCGGTATCGCCAGGTCGCTAGGAGACATCACAATAATGAGAGCTCTACCGAGTATGATGCCCTCGAGGTCGATCTGTACATGTAAGCCTACAACCTGTGTGCATACTATAACTCAGATCCGGTTAAGTCGCTGATCTGGCTCGTGCTCATCATAGCCCCAAATCGATGGTCCCTGCTTTCAACACGTCCTTCTTCGCATACGACCATCTACTAGATCTTCGACTGGTAACCAGGTTCGAATGCGATGCGCCTGAGCTCCCGACTCCGGAGGGTCAGCCTAGCTTGGCGTATCTGAAGGTGGAAGATGACTGGAGAAGGGGGTCGATGACAGACCCCACGGTTCCGAGGCATCAACGGATACTCTACGCATCGACGCCCATCCATCTGCAACCGATCAGCTCGGAGCATCCACACGTATCGCACTACACTGATCCCGGTGCCGATGCGATATATCTCACCTCTCCCACGTCGCCCAAAGGCGAGTCCTTGAAGGCCAAAGTGAATACCACTTTGCGAACGCTGAGCCAGGATCACGAACTGGTCACGAACAAGTACAACATCTGGCAACGACTCGGTGAGGATGGGTTCTCCCGGGGCACAGCGTTCGAGCTGGTCAGCGACATTTGGCAGAAAAAGGGGTGTGCCGAATGGGCGCGACTGACGGGCAATGATGGTATGATTTCCGATGATAATGACGAGGACGGCAGTCTACAGGCACAGGAGACCACTCAGCAGCTGATCTTCGAATACAGCGAACTGTTACCAACGTTGTATATATATTCACTTTCCGGATGTGCTAATCAGGATACTGACTATCCCCTCAGCCGTGTATATATCGCTGTCTGAACATGTTCGTCCGGTTCATGGGAAAATGTCGTTGGTTTATGCTGGTAGCCTGAAAGTTCACGAGAGCTAGAGTACAAAGCGCTGGACGTCCCCGATAAATAAGAGGAATCTACAATCATATTCGAACTTGGACCACGACATATGACACAACGTTACCAGCTGCCAGCTGCAGATGCAAAAGGCCAGTAATCTCTGACCAGAAGGAGCGAGCATATGGAGACTCCGTCACCACAATCGCCACCAGTAAAGAGCACCGACTATGTCTCGCCCGTCGTCCCTATGTCTGCCTTTTCTGACATACAACATACAAAGCTCATCGCCGCCTAGATCACCTACCAGACCTTGACACTAGCGTCCTTTTCCTCGGGAGTGTCGAACACGTCGATATCCCACTGAGGCGAGTACAAGTAAGGTACGTTGTATCGTACTGCGTTCTTCCGACCGAGCGCGGTGATGGTCTCGACATCTTCCTTGGAGAGCTCGATCTCCTCTGTGATGCGATGTCGTCACGCGATACGATGCTTCAGTCAGCTCGTTGTTCCACTGCGAAATGAAGAGGAGACCCACGGAAATTGCTCTCGATCCGACTCGGAGTGACGCTCTTCGGGATCACGCTGAACCCCTTCTGAGTGATCCATGCGACGAGCACTTGAGCCGGATCCACCCCTGCTGACTTGGCGATGGCTTTCACCTCGTCCGAATCGACGATCCGCGGTTTTCCGGTAATGTTGTTACCAAGGGGAGAATAGGCCGTAAAGTGGATGCCCTTTTCTTTCCCGTAAGCTGTTGGCAAAAGGGATGAAAAGATGTCAGGCATCATCAGTATATTTGTCATTGATGAGTCGACCCAGCAAACGACCTCCCTCGACGCTCGACACTCACCTTCCAACTCGTCCTGCTGCAAACCCGGATGAGCCTCGATCTGGTTGACCGCCGGTACAACCCCCGTAGCATCGATGATCATGTCCAAATGCTTCTTGCTGAAATTAGAAACCCCGATCGCCTTGACCTTGTTGCTGTTCTTGTAGATGTCGACGACGGCCTTCCAGGTCTCTACGATCCCCGGTGCTTCGCGGTCGATGACGGTCTGCGATTTATCGGAGGTCAAGGGGGAGAGGTTTTCGCCGGGTGCGAAAGGGACTGGCCAGTGCTGCCATACGTAGCAGAAAAGAATCCGTCAGATATGATTAAAGTGACGGGACGGGACACACAGGAGACGAAAATTGTATGGCCAGGCGGCTTGAACGATATGGGTGAAGTAGGAAGTAGGAAGTGGGACGTTTACGCGAGAGCGATTCGACGTACGATGAGCCAGAGGTCCAAGTAATCCGTGCCCAACTGCTTCAAAGTCGTCTCCAGATCAGCAGCAACGTTTTCAGGTCTGTGCGAGTTGTTCCAGAGCTAGAAACGAAGCCGTTGAATGACGGAACACGATGTGAACGAAGTGTTTAAGCCGGTATCGTGTCTCGATTCCGGAACACGGGTGCATACCTTGGAGACGAGGAAGATCTCTTCCCTTTTCACGCCCGAATTCTTGATCCCTTGACCGACTTCATCTTGGTTGCCGTAGATCAGGGCGGCGTCGATATGTCTGCGAGGTTTCGATGGAATCAAGCGAAAGGATGATGACCGAATCATCAACCGGATCATTAATTGATTGATCAATTGATCGAGTGATCGAGTAATCGGATCCATCAATGATCAATCGAACAATCGATCAATCGATCAATCAGATAACGATATCGTGAGGAATAATAACAGAACCGAATGAGCCTCAAAAGTGCGATGATCATGATAACTATGATAGTGGTAGATCTGGACTTACCTGTACCCACTCCTCAAAGCGTGTTCGACGGCCTTTTCGACCTGTCCCGCGGGAGATTGCCAGGTTCCCAGGCCGAGCTGCAGGTACAGGACAGGTAGTTATGTGATGGCGATGTGATGAGCGATGAGGGGAGGATGAGGAAAGGGGTGCGGAGGATGATCAGGGTCAGCTCCAAGTCGTCGACGTCCTTGCATCGAGGACTCACCCTGGGCATCTACAGTCGGCGTAAGCAGGACGTCGACAAGAAAAGATGATGAAGATGAAGAAAAGAAGAAAAGGGGCTCGTGAACACGCGCGCAAGGAGTCTGATTTTTCACTTCGATTCGGGATGACTTACCTGGACACCGTTGTTCAGGGTGATGCTCTTGTTGAACGACATTTTTCGACTGAAAGATCGAAGGTAAGGGCACTAAGCTAGTTTTTGATGAACAAATTGTCTTGGAGAAGATTCGGTCTGGAAGAACAATGTTTGATCGTTGTCTACGTGGACAGGTGGCAGGGCAGGTAGACGAGACTCGATCGTAGCAGAATATAAGAGTCCAAGGAATCTCTCGCACTCACAGTACGGAGTACGCAGTACGAATTCACACCGAGACGTTTAACCGCCTTTAGCCTAAAGAGGTCCCTGGTAGCTTACGGCACATGACGTGGCAGCGGTCGTCGTCAAAGCGTCCATGCTGTCAACGCCGACGAGTTCGGGGCGGCAGCCGACGGGGGAACCACTGATCTCTCCGGGAGACAGTGTTCCATGAGGGGGGAGGATAACCACGCATCCGCTAGAACCGGAATGAAGGCCGGCTCGTTGTTGTTCCGTGGGTCTGACTCTTCGGATGGAAGGGTTAGGGATTTCTGAATAAAGTGGTATCACAGCTCGTTCGCACGCACGCAAGCACACGTCGAATTCTTGCGATGACAATCTGCTTGAACTGCACTTTTGCACACCGCACCTCCCCTCCCACCTCTTTTTACTCGCCATGTACAAACCCCGCGTGTTCATCCTCACCGACATCTGCAACGAACCCGACGATGCCGAATCCCTCTGCCGCTACCTCGTCTACAGCAACCAATTCCACACTCGGGGGCTGGTCGCTTGTAACTCGACATGGATGAGGGACGCGGTCAGGCCGGATGCCATCCACGAGATCTTGGACGCTTACGGCAAGGTGGTCGACAATCTCAACGTCCACGTCCCCAAAGACTCGCCTTACCCGAAAGTGGAAGACCTGAAGGCGCTCGTCTCAACAGGTCCTTCGGTTTACGGCCGTAAAGCCCTCGAATATGATGTGCCCCTGAGCGAGGGTGCTAAGATGCTCATCGATAGGGTCGACGAATCTACAACGAAAGAGCCGCTCTGGGTGTTGTGTTGGGGCGGTACGAACGCCCTCGCTCAAGCGCTCCGTCAGGTTCACGATATCGAGAAGCGGTCCGAGGGCGAATGCAAGGCGTTCAGGGAGAAATTACGGGTGTACGCCATCTCGGATCAGGACGATACCGGCGCGTTGATGCGCAGGCTTTGTGAGTCGATAACCCCTATCTTCGCGATCGTGCCGAGGGGTCAAGGGATGTTCATGTTCGCTGACCGCCAGTCTTAAATAACGATTCCTTTTGCGCACCGCAGACCCCGACATCTTCTACATCGCCTCCGTACACGGCTGGAATCAGTACGGTCTGGCCGCATGGACCGGTATCTCCGGTGACAAATTCTACAAGTTCGACCGTGGCGGTCCCGATTTCAGCAAGATGACGCCCGAATGGATCAAGGAGAACATTCAGATCGGTCCTCTTGGAGCGGTCTACCCGGATTACATGTTCATCCCCGAGGGTGATACTCCGACGTTGCTCTATTTGATCCAGAACGGGTTGGGGGATCCGGAACATCCCGAGTGGGGTAGTTGGGGAGGACGGTATGCACCGTCGAGCGAAGGCGGAAGGAATCAACATTATGGCGACGTGGCCGATACCGTCATAGGTCAAGATGGAAAGGAACACGTCTCCAACCAAGCGACCGTTTGGCGTTGGAGGGACGCTTTCCAGGACGATTTTGCCGCGAGGATGAAGTGGACCGTGAGCGAGCGTTATGAGCAGGCGAACCACGCCCCGATGGTCAGCGTGAACGGGAGTGGATTCTCCAGCGAGGTCGTCCATATCACCGCCGAGGCTGGTACACGGGTCGAACTGGACGCTAGCGAGTCTTACGACCCGGATTCGGGGGACAAGTTGACGTTCACTTGGACCCAGTACAAGGAACCCACGGCGACGCAGTGGCAGGTAGCTTTCGAAGTGGCTCCTTTGGTGATCACCGACCTCTCCCCAGACCCGGCCGTCCCTAATCGAAAGATCGCCGTCGATCTCCCTTCGCCCGGCCGATGCTGTATGAGCCCCACCACTCGACAACCTGTCGCTACAGGACAATCTTTGCATTTGATCCTCCAAGTCTCCGACGACGGAGCGCCGAGGATGACCACGTACAAGCGTATCGTCATCCATTGTACGAACACTGCGCTCAGTGACAAGTTGGGAGAGGGGGAGAGGGACCCGATGGATGATTTCAAGGAGGCTATCGAGAAGATGCGAAGGGTGTAATGTGACACGGATCGATGAGTTTAGCGATAGGAGGAAGCAATCTCCGGCGCTCCTGTTGGTGATGATCTAGATACCCGTCATACAAACAGGATAGTGGAGACCGCTAGCATAGCTAGCATCATCATCGCGTCGTATTCAGATAAACACACATAGACACAAGAACGCATACGCACAGATCATCCCATCCGGCCGGCGTAGCGTGTGCATGTTGTTGAACGGATCCTCTGCCGAAAGATACAATCGAGTCACAAACCGGCTGGTCAGATCGCGGTCCATTGATGGGATCGATACGCTAAGCAAAGTTCCGATCAGGGCAAGTCCCTCGACCTCTCAAACAGACCGTAACGTAAGACCAAGTTCGTCGCCGGGACTTCGCCGAACTTCGTATCGCCAACACCCTTCACTACTCCTGATGATCTCTGTGCACTTGATAATCTACGGGGGTATCAAGAACTGATCGGGACGCGGTCGGAATCTTACGGGCGCGGTCGAAAGCGGGGCATAGGTGGAAATAACCGAGACCCACGCGTGAGAAATATTTCTGTAGACTTAAGACGGCAGTAATCGAGCGCAAGAAATATTCCAATGTGAAACGCGTAAGATATGATAGTATCAAAACATAAAATCGAACAAGTTACAACACGAGCGTACAAGTCAGAGAATTATTTCGATCGCAATATTACTCGGCTTTCGCCTTCCCCTTTCCCTTCCCCTGTTCCTTCTTTGGGAACGTCTTGAGCATCTCCACGATCGCAGGGGTTGGCGTAGCGTCGTGCGTGGGAGGGTCCTCGCCTTCGATCGCCAGGCCTTGCTGTCCGTGGCAAATTCCCTCTCGGAGAATTTCGAACGCTTTTTCGCCCTGCTCGTCCCGGGCCGCGCGAGTCGTCCATTTCGTTCCCTGCGCGAAAAGGAGAACGATTTTTGCGAGTCGAAGAACTCCGGCGACCGTGTTATCGTCGATGTTGAAGTTCCACTCGTCGCCGAGGCCTCCGTTACATTTGGTACCCGCCGACTTGCAAGGCCCGCAGGACGAAAACGCTGAACCGGGATCGAGGGGATGCGCCGACCGGCATATTCCGACGCCACCGTACGAGCAGGCGAGAATCAGGGGGTTCGAGTCGATCTGAAGCCCGGTAGCTTGATCCGGGAGCTCGTTCTGGCGGAGGTCGATGAAATTCTTCTTCGCCGGGGGAACTTGCTCCGAGAGATATTCCGGGAGAGTCAGACCGTCGCCGTCAGCCGTCCCGTATTTTTCCTTGCAAGAAGGACAAATAAGGCGCCAGCCGCCTTTCCACTTGCCCTAGAATTAGTACGAAAGAAAATCAGCGAGTGAAATCGAGCGGACGAAAAAAAGCTGAAGAAATTATACTTACAAGCCAAGCCGAAGCTTGGGTCGTGTCGAAGTCACCGCTTCGACCGGGAGTCGTCAACTCCTTCCACTCGTTGGGGGGGGGGACGGGGAGGAGCTTTCGATCCTCTTCTTGAATGAGCCAGCGGTGAACTATCGGCGAGAGAAATTAAACGTCAGAAAAATTTCCAGAGATATCTTGCGAACGATCAGGGGTGAACTCACGCGCGGCGTCATCCCCGTTCCACACGACATATGCCCCCGTCGAGCACCGCATCGCCTTCCACTCAAGGTCGAGTTCGAGCGCGGGAAACTCACCCTTGTTCTTCCCTCGCTTGCCGGCCCAGACTTTTTGCACGGACGAAATTTCCCGCCACCACGCCTGAACGGTACCGAATCGAGAATCCCAAACGTATATCTCGGGGGCGGGGACGTTGTCGGCGAGCGCGAGCAGGTTCTTCACCTGAAAGTCGGCGGGAGGAACTTCCCGGGAGGTAGTGGGCGGGGGACTGATTGCGAAAGAAATACGGCGAGAGAAAGTCAGCGTTAGAAATTTTGCGAAGGAAATGAGACTCAAGACTAACATGGCCTCGGTTGAGGGGGCCGGTCGTTTTCGAGCGCCGGATCCCGAGGCGGCGGCGTTGACGGGGGGGGCCTCGGCCTTCTTGCCCTTCTCGGTGGCGGTGTTCTTTTGTTGAGCGGCGTTCCTGCGAGCAGAAGAAATATTCCGAGTCAACATCAGCGATATGGGCTTTCGGAAGATATGTTACTTACTTAGGCATTCTTGAGGATTGTTTCGATAGATAAGTTGCGGGGGGAGTAAATTTGATAGATCGGGGACGAGTAGGTCTAAGCGTGTGTATTGTAGTAGAAGAGAGTAAGTTTGAAAGTAGGGGAAATCGCAAAATCGAGGGGGGGAGGGGGGGATATATATATGCGTTCAGGTTCTTAGCGAGAGTGGCAAATCGAGTCAAGTCGACAAGAACAAAGAGAACGAGTGAACAATGACGACTGTATCATTTCGCTACTCATGACATCATGAGTAGCGAGTCGACAGGATGATTTCGGGGCCGAATTCCCCCAATTGCCGAATCGAGACGTTTGAGAAGCTCGATTTGTTACTTAGAACAATACGTTTCGCGTAGGTTCACATGAAACGTTCCTGATCGACGATCTGTATAGAACAAATTGGTCAGCCGAGTTACAGCGGAAACAAACCCCCTCCTGCTTACGCCAGAACAAGAACGATGTCAAACAGCTCGTCGAATTTAAGCGAGAAGGATCAGCGATAGAATAGTCACGAGAGCAGAATAACAATAGGAATTTCGCAGCATGTAAAGAACCTTTACTCGCCTACGCGAGGGGTCCTTTGACGCCATTGTTCTAGTAATAATACCCCCGAGACTGCGAGGAAGGTGCGATAGGAGCGGTAGATGGTCCAGCTTGCGGTTGATAGGGAAATTGCTGTGGAAACTGAGCGACCGATTGAACAAAGTAAGGTGAAACTCCAAGAATTTGTTGCGGTTGAGATGGCGCGCGGAAGAGTGGTTGCGGAAACATTTCACGCGGAACATTCCTGAAGACAGTGGCTCCAGGAATATCGCTCACGGGAGGCGTAGCCACACGAGCTTGTGTCGCTTTGATTCTGTCGGCAGCTTGTGAAGTCTTCAACAATTCACAAGTTCTCCTGTCATGACCAGTGTCGCCACAATGTTTGCAGTGTCTGGGTTCGGTCGCCTTTTTCCTGTCGGCTTTTTCCTTAGCCAACGCGCGTTGAGTTGCCAGCTCCGCGCCAGTATGCCAGCGACCTGATCTCGCGGAACTTCTGACGATTTCTTCCCCTGGAGCTAGTCCTCTGCGGATATCGGTATGAGTTCTCTTCCTCTTCTTGGCATGTCGTCTGTTATAATGCGGGCGGTGGACAGGCTCCTGAATAATTACAGCGTCGGGAGACATCTCTCGGAGAATTTCCTGAGCATCTTGCCCGAGATATTCATTCACGGGCACGAGAGATGTGTTGGCCATTGCTGTGACAGCAATTTCGACCAGGGGATCTTCCACATAGTGGGTATAGAAGGTTCCCTCCGTGACATCCTTGATCACGAATTTTAGCGCCAGGATTTTTGCCTCGTCTTGCAACTGACGTTGTTGTTTGAGATGCCAAAACGCGTGGATTTCTCCAGGGTCGATCAATGGTCGAATCTCTCCGGGAGATAAAGTCCTCTCGAAATCATGCTGACAAACAAGCCCCATAGTCGCTCGCATGCTTCCCTTGCAAGCAGGCAGAGGTTGACGTCGAAAGTCAGCGCTTTGCCATAGACGATATGCTCCCTCGAATATTTTCCACTGAGCTCGTAGGGCAATACGCCCCCTCAGCTAAATTCCGACAGAAATATAGCTCAGTAAACATTCCGACTGCTACAGACCAGGGTATTATGAACTCACTTCAACCATCGACAGGGGGAAATCGTTCTCGATTTTGATAGAATCGATTGAATGTTGTTTGAACAACACGCGATGTGTCGCCCGCATGTGTTTGGTCGCAGCATTTACTGCGGAGAAAAGATCCGCCTGCGCACCTTTGACAGTGTTCTTCAGCGCTCGATGAAAGGATTCAATGCGCGAGGTGGCTGTCTCCCCGAAATTTCGCGTCCGGGATAACGCGTGGGCTAAGAAAAATTCCCCTTGCTGCATCTGTTCCTGTACGTACAGCCAACAGAGCTTGGTCTCTTTCTTCGCCAAATATTTGAGGCTGAGCTGTTCATAGGCCTCGTCATAGGAGGATTTCGTGGGCCGCAACACCAGGAAATCGTACGACGCCTTCAACTCCTCGAAAATCTCCTTTGGCATTTTTGCCCTGAAATTCTTCACGAGGTTTTGAGCGAGGTGCCACCGACATAACTGCTGTCGCCATCGAGGGAACACTCGACTGATAGCATTCCTCAAGGCGGCACATTGATCCGTGAGGACAATTTCGGTGGGAAGATCCTCACAGAAATCCTTCAAACAATTCATCGCCCAGAAATATTCCTCCTCTGACTCTGTCGTCATGAAGCAGAGAGCGACCGTAAAGGATTTATTCGTCGGAGAACTTCCTACGATATGTAGTAGGGGCATGCCGTATTTATTCGTCTTGTAGGTCGCGTCCATATGAAGGACATAGCCGTAATATTTCGTGAGAATTATCGCGAGAGGGTTGGTGAAGAATAACCCTTGCAGTTCATCAAGGTCGTTCAGAAAGACCGCGTGGGGAATTCCCCTGCGGATCATTTCTCTCACAACCGCGTCGGCAGGAGTTCGACCGCTCATCGCTAGTTTTCTCTGGGCTGCTTTTAGATTGTAAATTTCCTGCAGTGACACAAAACGAGGTCTGTTTTCGTCCGCTGCAGTTCTGTGGAGAGTTTCCAGAACAGCACTCGGCGACGCATTATTCCCCAGAGCTGTCAGCGCCGAGGCTTTCTCTCTGGGCGTCAATTTTCGGTGCTGAGCGAAGGCAAAGGGGGAGGTGTCGATGTCGTGATTGTGCTCAAGATTTCTGATAGAAATTTTCCAGAGATCGTTGACGGTCGGAGTTTTGCTGACGTAAAGTTTCCAAAGGCAGCCCGTCTTCTTAGTAAAACCGTTTTCACCTTTCCCTCGCATTCGACCGCTCGTGTTGAGGTACTCGTGGGTATTCCTGTGCTTTCCACTGCGAGTACAAACAACTGAGAAGTTGTTGGGCTTGCCTTGTTCCTTGCGGACAGCAAAACCTTGTTGCAGAGCGACGCTTTGAATCCTCCGCAATATTTCGGTCGCGTCGATTTCCCGAGCCCATTGTTCTAGGGTTTTCCACGGGCATAGCTCTGCGGGAGGTGGGGGGCCGTAGGTGACTATCTCAGAGTCTTTCTCCTCTTCATCAGATGAATCATAATCATCTGAGGAAAGAAATCGTGCAAGGTCTCGCGACAGAGTCTCCATGATTGAATTTGTTCGACAGGAATATTGCTAAGAGACTATTACACGATAGTTGCCTGAGGTGTGTTGATGATGTCGCGTCGGTGGCCGTTTGGCTCACGTGATTCTTCCTCAGGAATATTTCTCACGTGATATTTCTCACTTATTTCCACCCTGCCCCACTTTCGACCGCGCCCGTAAGATCTCGACCGCGTCCCGATCAGTTCTTGGGGGTATCTGCAAGCCGTGTGCGCACTAGTCTATAATTCAGTTGATCTGTCTCATCGAAGAGGCGTATCGGATGCCAGGTCCGGGAGGCGTAGATCTTCGGTCACGATTGAAATTAATGTCCGAACCGATTGAAGTCACATGCTTTGCACGATGGACTCGGATAGTGGGCACAGTGCGGCTCCGTTAAACCACTCTTCCAACGGACTTACATATACACCCACAGGCACCGGCTTCGCGAAGGAGCCCGGGCTAAGGGCGCTACAGAGATAGGTGCCGCGTATTTTCTACTTAGTACGTAACTGCAGCTGAAACATCTCATAGCTGTGTTGGGGAGCGTACACTTATCTGCAGGACCATGTACCAAACAGTAATCGTCGCCTGATGCACGATCCAAGCGAATCGGCACAAGCCACATGATGGCTTTTGTTCCCTAAGAACATAAAGCCGCGGCCCATCTCAGGGTCGCGATATACATTGGCGATGGGGCATTGAGCTATTATTTCGAGCCATTAGCAATGCCTCATCGGCATATGTATGCGAAAGGACGTTTGAGTTAAGATCCGTACGATGGTGCTGAGGCTTCGGACCTCAATCAAGCCTTTGCCTTGAGCGTTTCACAGTGCGCTAAATGGACAGCGGTAGCTAAAAGATCACAACATCGTCCCCAAAGACTTGCCACTGGTGGCCAATCTCCAGCCGACGTTCTCTTGTTTTCCCCACAATGATTGACGAAAACAAACCATGAAATGCATATAAGGCCGGAATGAGACTGCTTTCTTGAAGGCGACAGGATTATGTTTGGTCTTGAACAAACCCAAGTACAATCTCGTGCTGAACTTCCAACGATAATTTCCCCGCCACCTTCTTTCAAATGAATCTCCTCGCCTATGCGATTCTGGCTTTAGGCCTTCACATCAACTTTACCACCGCTCGGACTGGCTGCAACTGTGCCCCTCTCACTTTCTCCTCCAGCGCTGCCGTTGGAATCTATCCGGCCAATACAAACTTCGTGAGTCTGCAGGTGGTGGTCCACATCCCTTTCGCGGCGCTGATCATGCCGTTGCACACCCGGGCAGAATATGCTTTACGCTGGCCGTCCTTACTATGGCGTCGCTCCGGACAGCAAGACCAACGATGGCTAGTGAGTCGAGCCTGGCAGCCCCGAGATGGCCGCGCCTGACTCATTCTGACTTCAACTTTACAGCTGCATAGTCAACGATCAATTGACGCAGAAGACGATCACTAATATCGAGACCGGTTTCTTGAACAACCAAGATACAGCCTACGTCAACATCACCGGGGGCAACTACTGGTGTCGCAACGCCGCCGGTCAAACAACTCAACAAGGTTGTGCCAACTACGCCAAACAAAAGAAACTCGAAAACCTCAAAGCTGGGGTTTACAGTTGCACCTACCCGACGTCCAACTTTGAGCCCGTCGACTGCTTCTGCGGCTTTGTCTGTACAAACGGCTATGTTCGATGCGGAACGAACTGCATCAACCCGGCGACCCAAGTTTGCAGTTCGGGTGCGCCCGCTCCCAAAACCCGTAGGTCGCTGCGAGCCTGCTCGCCGGGATCGAAGATTTGTCCCATCGGCCGGATCGGTTGGGAATGTATCGACACTCAAAACAGTCTGGAATCTTGCGGTGGATGCCCCAACGCTGGTGGCCAGGATTGCTCCGTCCTACCGGGTGCGGACCAGGTCGCCTGCGTCGAGGGGGCCTGCAGGATCTCGAGCTGCATCAGAGGGCAATCGTTGGCTCTGGATGGCACATGTGTCCGCGATTAGTCGGGAGGCAGACACCGCCAGGACACTCTACGCGATATACAGATCTGCCAATCCCCACGGACATTTTGATATAGACTCTGCACGTTTTCATACTTCAACACATTTCAACATCTCGATATTTGGTCCCTTGTCGTCCGTCACGCTCTTTGAATAAAAAACTATCTCTTGTCATCCGTTGCGCTCTTTATGTCATGATTCCGTCTCTGTATGGTATGATCTGATTAATACTATTGAAAGGCACGTCAGATCGACATTCTCTGGCTGAGGTGTCACTGCGAAAATAGAGTATAGCGTAGTAATCAAATTTGATGTGAGCGAGTAGCGATGCTCACGGACAGCTTGTCGTCGAAAGAGTCGATAGTGCTTATAGTGAAATCGGTGATAACGAGCTCGTACGCGAGTGGGCCCTTGAAGGCAGCCGGCAAGCTGCAACTTGTTCCCATGAAAAGGTCAAGAACCAAAACACTGAGGGCGAAGCTAAGCGCAAATGCGAGCAAGTCTATCAGTTCAAAAAGATATTCCTGAGGCGATGTAGCTGGGAGGAGGAGCGAGCTGGAAGTCTTGTTTTTAGTCTAAGCTAGGACATTGCCGTCGGTCGTCCACCATTCTGGCACATACAAACACACGCATAAAGTACACTTATGCTTGTCAATCAGCCGTGTTGTTAAATGTCTCGCCGCTCGATCTCGCGATTGCTTAGGACGCGCAGGTGCCATGTGTGGACCTCTCAAGCTGACCTCGACCAGGAGGGCTTTACGCCCAGGCTGGAAATCAGGCCTGCATCTGCGTACCTTCGGCCAACTGGATGCGCATCTCTTTCGAAGCGCAGGGGAAGTGATACCGTATGGCCGCCTCCGGCGTCCGGTCCGGTCGATCGCATCCCTCCTAATGAACAGCCCCTGGCGGCAAGGGCTCCGCAATGGCGGCGCACTTGAAGAATTTGTGTGAACCGGTGTCTTTAATCCTCTACGCCAGGTTGCAAGGCAAACGGACCAGCTGATCCATCCCAAGCGCTCTGTTACAGGGCTGCGCAGGCACCTGATCTCACGCAGTCAGATATCCGCTTCCCGCACAACCGTAATACATTGTCGAAACCCCAGATACCTCGCCAACCGAAATGACATAAAACGGGGGGACGATTGTGGGGTTGTCGGTCTTGAACGTAGGTGCCCCACGATGCTCGATCATCTATCAGCTCAAACCACACGCATACGACCATGGCGCTACAGGATACCAAGCAAGATCTCACCCTTGCCGATATCGACCACGTCGAAGGCAAAGACCTGGGCACGGTCGAACACGACGAGTTTGTCGGTCAATTCGCCGAACAAGAAGCGCACGAAGAGACGCCTTGGCAAGCGCTCAAGAGTCACCCTTGGTCCTCGGTCTGGGTCGTTTACGGGATCGGTATCATCATCGCCTGCTCGTTCGACAACAATGCCGGTGGAAATGTCATCTCCATCCCAAGGTTCCGTCAAGACTATGGGTCGCCCTTTGATGGCAATTATGTGCTTCCCGCGCAGTGGCAATCGGCTTATTCGGGTGGACCCGCTGCGTCCTCCGTATTTGGAACGTTTGGAGGCAGCTGTGAGTTTCACATACCACGCGTACCAGCGCCTCTTCTTGCCATCCACAGCTGATGGAGGTCTCATCGTATCAATTACCGCAGACATCAGCGACAAGATCGGGAGGAAATGGACCATGGCCATCTGTTACGTGCTCTTGTTCGCTGGAATCACGGTCGAGGTCATCTCCCACAACCAATCCAACCCGAACGCCGTGTTCTTCGCCGGGAAACTGATCAATGGGTTCGCCATCGGAGGTTTGCTAGCCACAGCGCTGACCTATATCGGGGAGGTCAGTCTCCAGAGAGCTTCTGCTTTAGATGGTGGGGATTCCTGGCTGATCGCTTCGCATCGTGACATCTTGGCAGATCGCGCCCTTGGCTCTCCGAGGCATCTTGCTTGCCCTTTCTGCCATCGCGTTCACAGTCGGTGGGATCATCATCACCTTGATCATCAACTCGTTCGGGACCCTAGACAGTGAGTGGGCGTACAAGTCGTGTTTCGTAGCACAGTACGGGGTCACAGGGATCGTCGCTGCCTGTGAGTCGCGATCGCTATTTCGATGCAACACACGATCATCCAGAACGCTGATTCTCGCTCGTCCCCCTTGTCGCGCAGTCTGGATCTTCATGCCCGAATCCCCTACTTGGCTCTTGTCCCGAGGTCGGGACCAGCACGCTGCTCAAGCGTTGAAGCGCATGGGACATAGTCAGGTTCAAGGAGAAAAGGCTATCGCCACCATCAAGCTCACCTTGGAACGAGCTCGTGCCGAGACCGCGGGCGTGACGTACCTCGATTGGTGAGTTTAAGAACGACATCTCCTTCCCACGTATCTGTGGAAGCTGACAACCGATCTCGTCCTCACTCTAGCTTCAAGAAATCGAACTTGCGCCGAACCATCATCGCTTCGATGCCGCTCTCGATCCAGGCATTCTGCGGAGTCTTTTGGGTTGCCGGATTCAGCACTTACTATATGCAGCTCGCTGGGTACTCCACGGCCATGTCGTTCAAGTTGGGCATCGTTCAACAGGTCATCAGCATGGTTGGGAACCTTTGCGCCGTGAGTAGAGCGTCCTGCTCTTGCGCCTCGTATCAGCCCTGTCCAGCGCTCGACTATTCGTATACTAAGGCGCCTTCGCGCTTCGCTCTGCCATAAACAGTGTGTCCTGATCGAACGAGTCGGACGTCGAGCTCTCACCCTCTGGGGCATCGTCGCCCTTACCATTCTGCTCATGGTCACTGGAGGTCTAGCATGCGTCGGTACCCCGTCTGCCAACAAGGGTACGGTCGCCTTGATCCTCTTCTACTGTTGGCTCTACAACGTCACCATTGGCGCAACGGCCTACGTGGCTCTGGCCGAGATCGGGACTTCGAGGCTGAGAGCCAAGACGGCTTCGATCGCGATCGGTGTCCAAGGGTGTTTCTCCGTGAGTCCACCATCGCATCGTTTGCCTTCTCCTCCTTGTGCAGTGTTTGGCTGACATTGCGCTTCACACATCTTCTCTCGCAAAACCATTTGCAGTGCATGTGGAACTTTGTCTTGCCCTACCTGTTCAACCCGGATCAAGCCAACCTGGGAGCCAAGACGGCGTTCATCTTTGGCGGGTTCTCCATCTTCTGCTGCGTCTATCTCTATTTCTATCACCCCGAGACCAAAGGCCGCAGTTACCAAGAGCTGGACGAGCTCTTTGCAAAGGGCGTTCCGGCGAGGCAGTTTGCCAGCTACGTTACTGACGCTCAGACCGAGGCGATCCAGGTCAAGCAGCGGGTGCAGGATGGGGAGTTATCTTTGTGAGGGAGCCGGACGAGGTGGTCTCGTTTGTCGTTCCAGTGTTATTGGGAATAGGTCGCCCGCAACTGTCGGTTTACTACTCTTTTGTATCATCGGATATTGCCAAGGAAGTTCGGAGTATATCGATGGATGACTACATGAGCACCACACTCATGATACCGATGACGACGGCGCAGTGCAAGAATGCTTCGACGCCATGCTCATGTCATAGGCGCATCCCTGCATGGCGTCTCTAGATCCGCCAAGAACGCCTCGGCCCAAGCGATATCAAAAGGTACGAGCGATTGATCGACGATGGCTGGCTGAGTGGGACTGATCGATTCCGGCTGATTCCCGACCCCCGGAGGGTAGACAAAGGTATAGCGATGATCGGAGGGCGAGTTCATGGTCCCCGTAAGACCGAACCCCAACACTAACAGAGGCATTTGTGGAAACGTCAATAAGAAACGGTGCAGTGGCGCGGCGCATTCGAGGACTCACGATCCTGTGATAGCCAACCGTCTGGCGTCGCATGGTGTCCCTTTGCAGGATTGCTATTCGCTAGACGGGAGGTCTCGGTCGCAGACGCAGACAAATCGGCCAATTCTATACCATCCGCCCTTTGTGAAACAACCTGACGGATATATCGCACCCCAGACCAGGTAGTCTCGAGGTTTGCTAGGATTACGACTATACGTTGGTAGTTTGCACTGGCCGTAGAGGCGACGCGAGCTCGACTTGGGGCAGGATTCTGGCCGTTCTGCTGTTGACGAAGGGTTTGTGCAACTGTAACAAAGCGTTGATCAGGCTCCGAAATCCGTTCACACACAATCAGGCGTACTTACGAAAGACGCGGGAAGCGATGTATAGAGGATAGTTGATCCAGGGTTGAGAGATGGATTTGGGGTCGATCTAGAAAGATCACGTCAGTCGAGATCTTATGACATTAGAATGAATTCTCACTTACTAGCTCGGCAAACGACACAATGTCCAGGATGCTTTTTGCAGAGCTGATAGAGATTTCCCTGCCATCCAGATCCACGAGATCAGGTCCTGGTGTATGACGCTCCAGCAGTAGCGTGGTAGGATCATGGACGAGTATGATCAACCTGTGGATGGCATCCTGTCAGTCGCAACGACTCAGGTGGATGCAGAATCGCACTCACGCATGGAACCAAAGCTGCGGGACAACGACATCGTAAATCAGTTGGATTCTGCATTCTCGATGACCATGTTCGGCCTCACGTGGATTAGGACAAAGGCCCCTCCCTGTAATAGTGGGACGTAAGACCTGAACGTCGCCGTCTGAAAGCGTAGCTCGTCCGGTAACGCAGCATCGAAGCCGTTCAGCGCCAATTGTAGAGCGTTCAACTGCTCGCTTTGATATGCCGGTGATTCTTGAGCCAGCATGATTTGTGTTGTCGTTCCTGCTACGGCGAGGATGTTTGCGAGGTAGGGAAAAGGGTCTGGTAACATCTGTCCGTTTGCTATTGATAACGTTGGAAATGTATAGACGGGAGAGATTCGATGTTGGTACATCCCATTTCGTCCAGCTGCACGATCAGAACGTCTGGTCAGTCGCGAGATCGCCACCGACCGAGCGATTTGCACTCACTGCCGATGGTCATGATGGCGTCCATCATGCAGAGTGCGAGATGTAGCCTGAGCGACCGGTCGACCGGTCCGGACCCGTCTCTTATGGAGTCTTGACCTGCGTCCCACTGTCTGTCGAGACCTGAAAGGTTTCGGGTCTTCCCGTCTCAGATTCGATGCCGATGCTAGCAAGAGCTGTTGAGCATAGCCTCACCTAGATCTTGCGCCATCCGAAAAGCCATCCCAGAATACCTAGTGACGACGAAGGATTTGTAAGCCCTGACTGGGCGGTCTCGATATTTGACCCGAACTGCTCACATCCATAGCCCCTATACCATGACAACAGGGCAAGAAGAAGTCAATCAAACCGAGCTTTGGTGAAGATGATCGGATCGAAACCCAAGACTGACCCCATCTCGATCTGCGCTAAATTCGTACCAGCTGATCATGAGCAGAGCCTCGACCAGGTCCAGATTAGCGACCGCCAATTGCCTGTTCACCTGTTCCTTCGCTGTTGACGACCAGACGTCGGCAGCAGAGGCGAACGGTCCACGGTCCGCTGTCGTACTAGGCGAGTATGTAGGTGTGAATCTAGCTGCCAGTGCGCATGCGATGTTTTGTATGTAGCTGGGTTGACGGTCTAGGCCCGAGTTCTCGTCGAGCGATTGGCATAGAGGGAAAAAGTAGAGGAAGCCTGAGCGAAATATGGGGCAGAGGTGATCGATGGCAGTAGGATGCTAATGGCGAGAGGTTTACCAAAAGAGTATCCGTCGACGAGGTTAGAATCGTCGTATATGTATACATCGTCTGGTCATACATAGTCCACTCACCGGCCGTTCCCCATCTTCAGACATGATCGCTATAGACGACGCCGTAGTCATCCGCAAACTCGACCTCGATCTCCTACTTGGCGAGGACGGTGCCGAAACGTCCGCGGTGACTCGTTTATAACCGGGTGCGATGGCTGTAGCACCGCTACAAGAGATTTGTCGATCAGACAATTTGTTGGTGAGAAACGTCATCCGAGGTCGAGTAGATATTGCTTACAAGTAGCTGTCACCCGTCCAATCGCGAAACAAAGAGCAATCCAAGTATAACTTACTGTCATCAAGTAGTTCTGCATGGAGAATGTATCTGAGTAAAGCTCACCGGAAGTAGGGTACACGTAACCGAGTCGACCCGCCAGAGTCACGATCGGTCCCTGCAGTAGCAGACTCCTGCACACTTCGCGAATACCTGCCCCTTTCCATATGGTCCGTCTTGGAGTACTCGGAAGGTCCAGCTTGATGAGTTGAGGGCGTAGTAGTATCGTGCATCTCCCCGAAGAGAGACCAATCGTAATCACACCCTTGTACTCGTTCATGTTGTTGTTGTTGTTGTTGCTGTAACTGTAATCCCGTGTCCAGCTCGCTCGCACCGCGAGACCTCACGAAGTCTGGGGCGGGCCCTGATATCTCTATCTGTAGTTGCTGTGTCTCGACATCCTCTGTGCGAGCCTTTTTCGTAGGAGGAAGTGTCGCCGCGGATCTCAACGTCTGAAACCTGTTGCTCGACGATGATGCTGTCTGCTCGGCTGAGAGTGATGTGCCATCTCCCGACTCGCTATGGTGCCGCTGGGTCGTTCTTGTACTTGATGTATCTTCCTCATCTACCGTCCGAGCGCTCTCCATAGCGATAGCACTCCGTTTCCTCCTCTTCGCATGCCCCTGTGGATACTGGCAAGTCTCCCCAGCTCCAGACTTGGTACACGCCGAACAGACCGGTCGGTCGCCTGAGCATTTGATCTTTCTTGATCGACAGTGGTTGCACGCCAAGGAGGTTCGGGCGGACTTGGAGTCTTGTAAGTCTACGGTGAATTGAGCAAGCTGGGCCTGAAGAGCGGTGGGGAACATGGAGAGGTCGAGAGTCGTGGAGGTGGCAGAAGAGGGACCGGTGTTGGCAAGAGGAGGATCGGCAGATGCGTGAAGGACGACGGGCGAGACATTATCAATCCTCTGTCCTCGCAGCTCCGTCGATGATGACCCGTCGGTATCGCTAAGTGCGCTCATGGTATCTGTGGTCCTTTGAATCAAGGGCTGGGCCCTTTGGCGAGTAGCGACTTGTGGATCGTCACCACGTCACCACATCCATCATCATTTAGCGATCTGATCTGATCAAGTCAACCCCTAACTTATCCGCGCGGGACTTGACCCCGGTCACGTTCGGGACATCCTGGATTGATCAAGTTCGCCAGAAATTAGGCATCTCCCAACGACCGGTGAGTTATGGAATACAGCTCTGCGCCAACAGAACGGCCATTGATAATCGCAATAGCCCGCTACCCTTCTGATTGTCATGACTTTGAAATTGTACGTGGAGAATATTTATCACTGCCGCTCCTTTCCTCTCATTCCTTGTGTTGCATATACATCTTTTCAGCATCAGAAGACGGTTCAGTCTGTACTTCACCATTCTCTGCTGATCCGTATACCGTCTCGCCGTGATGACGATGACGAAGAGCCTGCTCAACCATAACACCGCAGAGCCGCCTTTTGTAGTCAGTTTTCACACGCCTCGTTGCGCTTGCTCGGCCCATTCCGCTCAACTCGACTTACCGGCGGGAGATGTAACAAAACCTTGTCGCCGTTGAACAGTAGGTCGACGTCTTCCAGTTCGAGATGTTTGGTCTCCGGGTAGAGGAAATAGATCATCGGTACGAAGCAAGCGTTGAAGACGCAGAAGTATATGTAAGTCCTGTATCCGATGTTCTTTATCGACACGGGCGTGATCTCGACGACGAGGAATGTGAACTACAAAGAGATGATGCTGGATGGTCAGTTTCGATAAGAGAGAGACACCGCTGGCAGATGACCTTACAATCCAGTTGGACGCAGAAGCCAGAGCAGCGGCCGGCGCTCTGATCGGTAGCGGCGCATATTCCGATGGCAAAAGCCAGGGGATAGCTAAGAGTCCGATGGCGAAGAAGAAGCTAGATCCTCCTCACTTCAGCACGATGATACATCTCGTTGTAAGCGCCTTTAGTCGCCCCTCGACTCACTTGAAGAGGAACAACATGGTAGCCGCGACGATCCCAGTCGCCTTGTACGTGACCGAGGTCGTCCCCGCGAGTACTGCCATGCAACAGCATTGACCCACCGCCGCAAAAATCATGAGTTTGCGCTGTGCAATACAGGGAAAGATCAAGTCCAAGTCAGATCAGCTCGGGCTAGCTCTCTGTGATTGCCCCGGTTGCAGAACTTACTCGGCCGAACCGGTCGATCAACCAGATAGGAATCAAAGACGACAAGAAGTAGGCAACACCGTTAAAGCCCGAGAGTAGCAAGGATATGTCCCGAGACAATCCGACGGATTGCTCAAAGATGACAGGTGCATCTGTATATTCCCGTGAAACACTGTGAGATATACGACCGATGTTGAAAACAGCGGATCATTGCTTACAGTATGTGATGCTAGAATTTCAGCCGGCATCGGCTGATGTTAGCTAATGCTGACTGTTTGAATGGAGGAGGGAGCCATCATACTTACAGGTTGATACCCTGTGTCAAGCCATTCGTCATGCGTCAGTCACCGGCATTCCATCTCGAGGAAAGCCTGTCGTCACTCACACAGAGCTGCTGCATGAACTGAGACCCCACACCGAGCATGACACGATGAAAGTAACGGTCTTTACCATTGGTAAAGCACGCGCGGATGTTGGAAATCTTTTCTCCCTTCTTATTCTCCAACGTCGCAGCTTCCTCTTCAACGAGGGTCTCTTTGATCTTGGTAAAGTTGCTCTCCAAGATCTCGCTACGACCTTCTGGAGGTAGTATCGATAGCTGATCCAGTACCGCACGCGCTTCTTCTTCTTTGCCGTGTTTTAATAGCCAACGAGGTGATTCCGGGCAGAACAGGATGAGGGCAACGGTGAAGATGGCAAAGACTACTTGAAGTGCCAGAGGCAACTTCCACTGAGCTGGGTTGTTGACAAAGCTCATACCGTAGTCGATCCAGTAAGCGGACATCTGGACGAAGCGCGCCATCAGCAAACGATACAGGGCGACTCAGATCAAGATGTATCTCACTCACCACACCGAAAATGTTGATGGCAAGCTCGATCCCGAGCGCTCGACCTCGGTTCTTGGGGAGTGTGCACTCGGAATGCCAAACGGGTACGGTACTTGTGTTCATCCCATTGCCCAATCCCGTAACGATACGTCCGACGATCATCTGAGGGATCCCGGTCGATGTGAATTGGAGTATCGCGCCGATGCTCAAGATGGTGCAACCGAGCATGATGGTCCGCCTCCTTCCAAATCGTTCACCGAAAAAAAAGGTAAACAAAGAACCGAACAAGCATCCTATCTCGTAGATGGCCACTACGGTCCCTTGCAGACTGGCGGACCCATTACCTTCGGGCGTCGTGTCTGATAACGAACCTATCAGCCCACGCTTCCCACTTGCGCGCCTCCGCGCCCTATGCAGGCGAACCTACCAATCTCTGGAAATTGCGAGGTGAAAGCTGTTCCGGTTAACAGACCAGACATGACCTGGTCGCGATCGTGATAATCTACTCAGTACATGCCTTCAATCGATATCGGTTCAGAAAAACTCACCCCTTGGTCATACCCGAACAAACTGTTTTTGGGCGAAAGAGAAGCGCATACATGGTCCGATGTTAGCGCGCGTCCTTGCCGCCGAGATTGACCTGGTCAAGGTCGTGTCAATCAGAATTGATACTTGCAGGAAAGCAGAACCACAGCTGTCAAAGGCGGAAAGTAGCGATCCTCAGTACGACGTCAAGGATGCGAGCGTCATCGCATGAATCGCTCACCATGCAGTGATGGCCCAGTTGGCGGCTCGGCCCCGAAGTATCTTTTGCAGGTGCATCATAAGGGTGAATATCGTTTCTCTCGTAAGTCGTCATTCTCCCCGCCTGACTGAGAGGAGATGGGTGCCCCATGGGAGGATCAAGGCATATATAGTCGAATCTGCCCGATACAGTACCAGCATCAGCGTTAGGCGATTTCACCCCATTTGACGAATTCTCGATGAGCCCCAGCTGCACGGAACCAATGTTTCTCCAGCATCCTGGAGCTAACGATCTAGGAACGACCCGAGGTTCGTGCGGCCCGCGGAATTTCTAGGCGCGTGCCATTTTTCTTAGATACGTGCCATTTGGTGTGGGGTAAGGGTGGAAATAGCGTCGCTGTAGTTTGCCCGAAGGTTTCCGCCGGAAAGTTTATCAAGAAATATTATGACGCGTAAATAAATCGTATTCGAGCTCGAGAATTAATACAAGTATTATATGAAACGTAAAGTCGAGAGTAAATAATCAGAAGAAAAAAATATATCTTAGGCGTTCCTGCTGCCCCTCGGCTTCGCCTTACTCATCCCGTCAATCGCCGCCGTCAAAATTCTCACGACTTCCTCCGAGGGGTCGGCGCCGTGTTCTTGTACGACCCCATCGATCGCCGGCAACTGGAAGTCGTGGCAACAAGCGTCGCGGAGAACTTCGAAGGCTTCCTTTGCGGCGGAGAGCTTCTCGTGCTTGAGCTCGTAATGTCCGAGGTAAAATCCCCGGATATATTTGGCGACGCGCAAGATCGCAGACTGCGAGTCGTCCTTGAGGTCGAAGTCCCAGTCGTCTTTCGCATCGCCACCGGGGTCGGTGCAGGTGTCGCCGAGAGACTTGCACCTGCCGCAGGAAGAGAACGCCGAAGATTTGGCGAGGGGAATTGCCGCGCGGCAAAGGACGAGGTCGCCGTAACTGCAAGTGAAGGCGAGGGGATCCTTCCACTTAGATTCGGCGTCGGCGGAAATCTTGAGCTCGAATTGTCGGAAACCGTCTCGAGCGCGAAAGTCCCGGTGCCCCTTGCCGACGTCGGCGTACTTCGTATCGCAATGAGTACAGGCGACTCGCCAGCCGCCGCGATACTTGGCCTGAAGAAACGCGAGATAAGTCTTCCGCCGGAAAGAAAAACGAGAGAACATGAAGAAAGATAAAAAGAACTCACCAGCCATCCGTTGATCGCCGCCTCGTCTATCCCCGTTCGACCCGGCTCGCAGAGTTCTAGGAAATCCTCCGGCGGGTCTTCAGGCAGGAACGGTCGGGCCTCCTCTTTGATGAGCATCTTCTGGACTGAACGAGAGATAAAAATGTAAGGGAAAAGATAAGAAAGAAATATTGCTGCGGAGAATAACTTACGCTCGAGATCCAAATTAATCTCGGCTAACTTCTTCCCGGTTGGGGGAATCAAATACGCCCTGGTCGAACAACGAATCGCCTTCCAATCTTTCCCGATTTTCGGCGTCGGAAAATCTTTGCGTTTACTCGCCGGCGTTTTCGTCCACCGCTTTTGATCCTCCGCCATATCCGCCCACCAATGCGCCAGCGTAGCCTTCCGGGGGTTGAAGATGTAGAGGTCGGTGTTCCCGAACTCTCGCGCGCACTCGATAATATTCTTGACCTCAAAATCGGCCGGGGGGATGTCGGAGTGAGAGTCGGGAAGTTGGCTAACGCAGGAATATAGCGAGAGAAATTCAGCGCCGGAAACTTTCTCAGATATCTTCCCGCGTTCATCAAACTTACTATACGACGTGGTCGTCGGCGGCCCTCTTCTGGGGAGCTCCAGCTCCAACGGTACCAGGACTACGTGGGAATAATTCTAGATAAATACCACGTCGGAGCAAAAAAAAGAAGACGTTGTACTTACATTCGAGGCATGTTGTTGTTGTTGTTGTTGTTGCTGTTGTTGTTGACGGCGGAGGTCTTCTGGAGAAGGTACTAGTACGGAGTGTTTATTTCGCTAAGTTTGAAAGAAGAGAGTAGAGAGTAAGTTCGAGAGGGGGGGGGGGAATCGAGAATCGTCGAGATATATATGCTTCTCGAGAAGCAATTCGGGCGAGTCTTGACGTCGTATTCAGACTGACGTGAGCCTTCTCGAGAACCGATTCGGGCGAGTCTTGACGTCGTAAAGAAGACTGACGTCAGCCTTCTTTTGTTCTTCTACCGAGTTAGTACTCGTCTTCTTTGTTCCTGCGTCAGATATCGGACCCGATATCCTACTATTACCACTTCGAGCTGTTTGTCGCGCGCGATATGCGACAGAGAACAAAAGAAAAAAAGTCCTTTAACATGAAACGTTCCTGCGCGTCGATCATCAAAGAACATGAACGTCGTCAGCTGACGGCGGTCTTTGTCGGTGTTAGAGGTATACTAGCACTTACTGTAAACGACAATAACACTGCTACTACAGGAACAGACGTAGATCGTCAGTACAATAGAAAGAAGCGATAAAACGCGCGACATGTTTCACCGCGCGCGTAAGCGACGTAATGTTTCAAAAGGTCCTTTGAGCCTATTGTCTTGAATAGGGGTAATAGCCGTTTTGGGAAGACGGCGCGATACATGAGGAAGTAACTGTGACCTGGGAATATTCCGGGCGATATACTCCGGGGGAAGAATGGGAGTAGCCACCTGGCGGAGGTCTCGCCCAAGATTGAGGAGGCGGCAGTTGTGTAGACGAGGAAGAGGCCTGCGCCGTAGGGTAGTAAGCTGGGAAGGATTGCGCTGGAAAGTCGTGAGGAAAACTTGGCGCCGGAAAATTTCCTGGGAAATTCTGCGAGAGGAATTCTCGAGGAAAAGTTGGCGCAGCTGAAGAAAATGGGGAGAGTTGAGACGGCATAATATTCTGGGTGCCAGTCAAAGGGGCAACTCTCCCGGTAGATGCTGCCAACTCTGCCGCCCTGGTACGTTGTGCGGCGAGAATTGCCGCCGCTTGGGCCTTCTTGTAGTCAGGGCACGTCTTGACGTTATGGTCGGTACCCTTGCAAAACCCGCAAGAACCCTTCTTTTGCTTAGATTTTTTCTCCGCCGCGTCCATTCGCCGGTTGACTGTTTCATTTCCTGTCTCCAGGCGATTTGTCGACGTCATATTTCCCACAATATCTTCCACCGGACCAATACCATTGAGTATCTCCCCGAGCTTTCGTTTTTTCGCCTTGTCTTTCTTCTCTTGTGCTTTTACGAACGCAGGGCGATGCAGTGGCTCCTGTATAATCGCAGCGTCGGGAGACATCTCTCGAATATTGGCGGCGGAGCGCTCACTCAAGTACTCGTTCTGGGGAACCGCGCCCCGGTTCGGCTGAGGAACGGAAGCCCGTACTTCATCTCCCTCCGGGTAATACATGAAGAAAGATCCCTCCGAAGAATATCTTTCAACATATTCCTCCGCCACCTCGTCCGCCTTTGCCTGCAGGCTGTTTTGCTGATGCAAATGCCAGAAGGCATGAATCTCGGCGGGGTTAAGAAGTGGGTGGGGGTTATCCGCCGCGAGAATTCTGGCGAAATCGTGCTGGCAGAGCAGTCCCATATTGCACTTCATCGACCCTGAACAAGGGTTCAATGGCGCCTGATTTTCTGCGGCGGCTTGATACAAACGATAGGCTCCCCTGAACATAATTCGCTGAGCCCGTTTCGCCACAACCGATTGAAGCTGAGTTTTGACGAACAAGAATATATTTTAGTTTTCTCCGGCGGAAAATTCACTCAGAAACTCACCGTCGCCATGCACATCGGGTGTTCTTTGATGCGGTCTACAGCATCAGTCGCATGCTCCTTGAAGATCGACCGGTGAGTGGTACGCATGTGCAAGATACATGCGTGTACGGCGGAGAAAAGATCCGAAGTTGCCCCCTGGATAGAGTTCTTGATGGCTCTGTGCAGAGATTCTCCTCGCGACGTAGTAAATTCCCCGAAATTTAGCACCTCCGTAAGTCGGTGCGCAAGGAAAAATTCCCCCTCTGCGTCATGCAGGTTGGTAACGTATAGCCAAGCGGCGGAAGTTTTCTCGTCGTTTAAGAACGCTTCATTGAAGTGTTCGCGAAGCTCCTCATAGGTGTCTGCGTTCTTCTGGCAACGCAGTGTAAAAGCGGCCGACTTTACCCGCAGGAAATCCTTCTGCGGCAGAAGTGGTCTGAAATTTTTATTCAGATTTTCTCCGATGTGCCAGACACACAGCTGCTGACGCCACTGTGGGTATACGATATTGAGAGCGTTCCTTAGGGCATCGCATTGGTCGGTAATAACGACTCCCGTCGGCAAATTTCCCATCAAATCTCCCAGCGATTGCAATCCCCAGATATATTCCGCCGTCGTTTCGCCGTCTAAGAAAGCTAGGCCGACAGTGAAGGTTTTGTTCGTCGGAGACATGCTGACGATATGCATCAGCGGCATTTGATATTTGTTGCTGGAGTAGGTCGCGTCGATAATAAAAACGTAGCCGTAAAGTTTCGCGAGAACAATAGCCATGGGAGAAGTAAAAAACAATGATTGCAATTCGCCCATCAAGTTTGAACGATAGCGGTGGGGGATTCCTTTCTTCTTTAGTTCCCGAATAATAGCGTCGGCAGGAGTGCGTCCTTGAAGGGCGACCGATTTAATTTGGTGTTTCAAGTTATAAATTTCCCGAGGTGACACATAAGTCTCCCTTCCCTCGGCGAAAGCTTTCTGTTGAAGTTCTTCGACGATTGCTGGCGCCGGAACATTATTGTTGATCGATACCACAGCGGCATCTTTCTCCGCTTGAGTCAATCGGCGATGGTGAGGGAAAGCGTACGCCGACCCGACTAGAGGGTGGTTATGCTCCAGATCACCACGAGGGGAAACTTTCCAGAGATTTTTCGTTCTTTTAGTCCTGGCGACGTACAGCTTCCAAGTGCAACCTGTCTTTTTAGTGGTCGCGCCGGAATTTTTCCTTATCCTTCCTGCCGCCGGGATATATGGTTGGTCATCCCTATGTTCCCCACTTTGCACACACAGAACATAGAAGCAGTTTGTTTTGACACCTTCCCGCCGGACGGCAAATCCATTTGTTCTAGCGGCGTCTTGTAAGCGAGAAAAGACTACGGCGGAATCTTCCTCTCCTGGATGGTCGAAGAGACTTTGGAAGACGCTGACAAGAGGGGTCGCCTGACGAGGGCCTTGTTCCGCCGCGGGAAGTATCTCGAAATCTTCAGAGGGAGTATCACTTGAGCTAATAGATGACATAGTGGAATTGGGTGTGTTGTCGGTCATGTAGTGAATAGCATGAATAGGATGTTTGGCGGGGGCAGCGCGACTTAGAGATATTTACTGGGAAACAACACGCGTGAGAAAACTAGAAATGTTTGCTCCGCCGGAGCAAGTATTACGCAATAATTATTTCCACCCTCTACCCCGCAATGGCACGTATCTAAGAAAAATGGCACGCGCCTAACAATTCCGTGCGGCCCGACCATTCGACTCCAGGACGTCAGTCAAGTTTCCCTACAAGCGTTGCCTCGTTCGAGCCTCCATATAGAGAGGCTTTTCGAGATCATGAACGCCGTAGCACGATGACGCGCGATGGAAGCTAGGTCACTACATAGACCTCTTTTCTGGACAGCAACATCATGACTCCCATCGCAACCGCAGACAACACTCGACTCGAACAAGGTTCCACCACGGTCGATCCTGGTATCGCTCCGATCGATCCTCAAGCCACATCAGGTTAGCTGTTATGTGTAGACCGATTAGGTGTCTCTAGCTGATGCGAGATCTGGCGATCTCTTCCAGCTACCCCTATTCGCAAAGCATACGATCTCTTTTCCCTAGCGAACCAAGGTGTCATCGTCACGGGGGGTGCTCGAGGCTTAGGACTATGCATAGCGACCTCTCTCCTTGAAGCCCACGCCTCTCATGTCTACTGCTTGGACATCCTCGACGCCCCGCTCGAAGCCGAATGGCAGCAGGCCCTGCGGACCGCTAAAGAGATGGGAGGGAGCATTTCCTACCGACAACTGGATATCACCGACCAGGCCGCTGTTCAAAGGGTCATTGGGGAGATCTATGACGGGTGCCAGGTCGAGATCACCGGGTTCTTTGGGGCGGCTGGGATACAACAGATGATCCCCGCACTGGAGTACCCGGTGGACCAGTTCCGAAAGATGATGGACGTCAACGTGACGGGTGAGTTGCCGGTTTCTTGCGCAACATCAATTACACAGGCTGAGACGTTGACTCTGGTGCTGTGAATGTCCAGGTACGTTCTTGACCATCCAAGCGGTGGCCCAACAGATGAAACGACGTGGGATCGCTGGGAGCATCGTCATGACCGCCAGCATGTCAGGGTCTATCGCGAACAAGGGTGAGCCTGGCGTTCAGATCTGTGCCGTCCTCAGCTCGATAGATGTGCTGATACCAGATTGCCTGCCTGCACCGCGAAATGTCAAAGGCTTGACATGTCTGGCTTACAACACGTCCAAATCGGCCTTGTTACAGATGTGCCGGAGCGCTGCTGCCGAATGGGGCCAGTACGGCATCCGAGTGAACGTGAGTCCAGGATCCTGTACTGTAACACGAAAATCGCTAAGAACTCTCCATTGATACAACTTGTCTCAACTTCATCGGGCCCCCGATTGTAGACCTTGTCCCCCGGCTACATCCGTACGGCCATGACAGACGGTCTCCTCGCCACCCGTCCCGACCTAGAAGAAGAATGGTTACGAGGCTCGATGCTCGACCGTCTTTCTACCCCTGATGAATATAGGGGTCCGGTCATCTTCTTGTTGAGCAAAGCTAGTAGTTTCACCACGGGCGCAGACTTGATCGTCGATGGAGGTCATACGGCTTTCTAGATAGGGGTAGACAGCTAGACAGAGGCCTTCACGCTGTTGCCGTGGAATAGTAGTAGTGATTGGCGGATTGCAATGATCTCGGTTCGCGCTTCGATAGAAATAAAGACTTGAAATCGAATATTTATTTTCTGATCTTCCATCTCGGTCTCGCCACTGACGATCTGTGGACTCCGCCCATGTCAAGTACTACTTGCTGACTTCGAATGGGAGACCCTTGAGAAGGGTAAACCTGATGTGCGCAACCTCCTCGATCACCTCCCGAAGATCAGCGTTAAGATCTCGTTGATACGCTGATGTGACGTTCGTCTTCGGAATTTTTCGCACCAAAGCCAGTGCGACGAAATGCACCACCACGGGACCGGTGTTCTTGACAACAGCGCATGGTGGTCCTGGAGCAGCGGCTCAGGCACTTCCGTGCTGCCTTACCATGTTGCCACTTAACCGTTCCCCCCGACGTGTTCTCCCCCGTCCATGAGGTTCATTCGTACTGCACACTCCTTGTCAACCGACGACACCCTTTGCGGACGGTTGACCGCTATGATCCTTCATAAGCAGCACCTCCCATACACCTCCCATACCTTCAGCTGATTCCGACATGTCTTGCGAAATGTCGTATTCTTCAATCTCTTCACTCGTCTTGACTTTCGCGCATTCATCGTCATCGTCATCACCAACAAGATGCCACACGCCATCCAAACGTCCGAGCCCGGCCACGGCGTCCTTTCTTCTGAGCCTCATACGACGGGCAAGATCGTCAAGGTCAGTGTCAAATCGATTTTGGATGCGACGATATTAGACTTGGCGCTGACGCGATGTGTGGACCTCTGTCGATCAGCCTCGAGAAGAACAAGTCGTCCTGAACACGATTCGATGCCTCGCCGCCGACTTGTGTCAACAGGTAAGCCTCTACCCCTAACCCCTATCCATCATTGATCACCGACTCATTGGCCGTTTCTGCGCTATCCTTCTACGCCACCTTCTATGATGAAACTGATCATCACGATCATTCGAATTCGCAGTACAAAGGAGGTCATCCAGGAACAGTGATGGGAGCCGCAGCGATCGGGATAGCTCTGTGGAGATACGAGATGCGGTATAACCCTCTGAACCCGGACTGGTTCAATCGGGATCGTAAGTCCAAGTTCAAGTCCACCCATGTTTGTGTTGATGACTCCCAGACCAGTATTCAATCTTCTGAAGGGAGCTGACTGTCACGACACCTATCCTCTTTCGACTTTTCCTTCTTCTCGACCTTCATCAATTCTGTGACTTTTACCTTCACAGGCTTCGTACTATCAGCCGGTCACGCCTGCTTGTTCCAATACATCTTCCTCCACTTATCAGGCTACGAAGCCTGGACGCTGGATCAGATCAAGATGTACCATTCGCCGGCTACCACGGGGTCTATGGCAGCTGGACATCCAGAGATTGAATACCCAGGTAAGACTCTCTCCCTCATCCACTCATTGCCCCCCTTACTCTTAATGAGCCGAACAGCTCGTCCATTTGCACTCGACCGCTGATATTTAAACTCGACCCCTATCAAATCGATCCGACCAGGCATCGAAGTGACCACCGGGCCTCTCGGTCAAGGGATCTCCAATGCCGTAGGGATGGCCATCGCTGCGAAACAGCTCGCGACGACGTATAACAAGGATGATTTGAAGGTCGTCGATAACAAGATCTGGTGTTTCACGGGTGATGGTTGTCTGCAGGAAGGAGTCGGGCAGGAATGTGAGTTTGATGAGTCGAGGAGTTGCGGCTGTTTGATGTGTTGGGAAAGTGGCTAAGGTCTTCAACACGCTTGTGCTGTAGCCATCTCGCTTGCAGGACATTTGGGATTGGACAACCTGATCTTGATCTACGACAACAATCGGGTCACTGTGGATGGATCCATCGACAACTGTTTCACCGAGGATACATCTGCCAAACTCGTCGCTCAGGGTTGGCATGTTATCGACGTGTACGACGGTTCGAACGATGTGAGCCGCCTCGTAGCGTTCGTATAGCGTCGAGGTCGCTAACACGCAAGATAATCTCAGCTCGCTGCCATCCTCGACGGATTCGATCGAGCCAAGAAGCTCAAGGGCAAGCCGGTCTTCTTGAACATCCGTACCATCATCGGCTTCTCCTCTCGTAAAGCCAACACCGGCCCAGCTCACGGTCAAGCTCTTGGCGACGACGAAGTCGCATACGTGAAATCCCAGCTCGGGTTCGATCCCAGTCAAAAGTTCTGCATCCCAGACAAGGTGTACGACTACTTTTCTGGTTGCAAGGACAAGGGCGCCAAGGCGGAACAAGAGTGGAACGCCACTATGGAGCAGTACGCCTCGAAATACCCGGACGAATACAAAGAGCTCGAATTCCGACGATCGGGCAAGTTCGCGCCGGACGGGTGGGAAGAACTCCTACCTGCCAAGGACAAGCTCCCACAAGCCGCGCAACCTACTCGAAAGTCGAGCGGGTTGGCCGTTCAAGCGCTCGTACCCAAATATAACAGCTTTATCGCTGGGTCGGCCGACTTGCTCGAATCGACGTTTGTCAATTTCGATGGCCAGGTCGAGTTCCAGAACGTGAGCACGGTGGTCGATGGATTCCGTTTGAACATGGTAGCTGATCACTTTTGGCTGTGTGTACTCCATAGCCCGCCTCTGGTTTGGGAGACTATTCCGGTCGACAGCTACGATACGGGATCAGAGAATTTGCCATGGTCGGTCTAGGCAACGGTATGGCGGCATATCAAAAGGGGGCATTCATCCCGTGAGCAAGGTTGCTCGGACAGCAATGACGTTTCCAAGCTGACTAGTAGGCCACATATACTATAGCATCATGTCGACGTTCTTCATGTTCTGGATCTATGCTGCACCCGCCGCTAGGATGGCCGCTTTGCAAGGTCTGAGGTTCATCGGGATCGCCACCCACGACTCGATCGGTATCGGCGAGGATGGTGGGTGCGACGTTTCCGATTCCTGATCCCGATCCTCAACTGACGTTCCGATCCCACAGGTCCTACACACCAGCCCATCGCATTGGCAAGCTTTTACCGAGCTCTTCCCAACATCAACCTGATACGTCCTGCCGACGCCGAAGAATGCATGGGAATGTGGACTCTCGCACTGTCCGAGCAGTCGGCGGATACACCTAGCATCTTCGCCCTCAGTCGCCAGCCGGTCCCCTTGCTCGCCGGAAGCGACCGTACCAAGGTCTACCGAGGAGCCTATGTCATCTGGTCGCGAGGCGACGAGGCCGAACCCGAACTGACGATCATCGGTACCGGCGCCGAGGTCTCCAGGGCGATCGCTACAGCCGAAGCCTTGACGAGCGTCAAGAACGTCCGAGTGGTCTCGATGCCCTCACAAAGGCACTTCGACGCCCAAGATGCCGCCTATCGCCGCCAAGTCATCCCGTCAGGAAAGAGCTTGGTCGTCGCGATCGAGGCGTGGGCATCGTACGGTTGGGCAAAATATGCGCACGCTTCGTTGTCAATGCAGTCGTTTGTGAGTCGGTAGCCTCGCCCGCTTCAAGTGGTGTCATTTCACTCATCATCGCTTGCGCCGATGCTGTACAGGGACACTCTGCGCCTCAAGAACAGTTGTACGATTACTTCGGTTTCAACCCGAAGGATATGGCGAACAGGATCGACGTATGGGCGAAGCGTTGGCAGGGCGAGTCTAGGTTGCCGGGCGTTGGAGAATTCGAGGAGCTTTTGCTCGGTGTACAAGGTCACTGAGAAAGATGTCTACAGTATCGTAGTCCGTTGTAATGTAACGATCACAGATCTAGATCAATCACGTCTTATCGTCTCTCCCTAACAGGAACGTGTTTGCGCACTGTCACCTCGCTGTCACTGCAATCTCTTAACGATGCAGCCGATGGTATCAAAGACTCTGATACAACCCCTGCGACCACGTCTTCGAGAGCGTCAACGTCTTAGGGATTATCACAAGTTCCGTTTGACAGGTGCGTGAAAGAATACGACATCTTATAAATAGTCTTGTTCCCCTCGGACTGATCTTCTGTCTGCCTCAGTCGTCACAAAATGAGCGGGAATGCTATCGTAGGTAGAGGCGGTCGTATGTGATAAAGGCGCATGTGCTACCTCGGTACCCATTTACCGCCGCTTTGTGTGGATCTCTTTGAAAGATGAGAACGCTTTCTTTTTTTGTAGCCTTAGACGACATCTATTTCCAGCGGCTCTCAAGATCGGATTGAAACCGATTTTGTGATATTCAGGAGTGGTAGCGCAGTGCAGGATTTACGAATCGCTATGAGACTACATGAGGACCACACCGGGCAGGTCAAGATGCATGTTCAGCTCTCCAGCATCCATCTGGACTGACGGCAGTTGAAGCGCCAGCGTTCATACTTTCCACGATTGATAATCAGATGGTGTATACCTTTCCACTTCCAAGAAGCGAGCGCGGCGTTTCAAAATCGGCGATTACGAAAGGAAAGTTCCGATTGTTTCCGTTCTGTCAAGTAACAAGTCCAATCATCCTTGACACCTGTTTTCTTGCTCAGAGCTCTCCCCGACTTTTTGATCGCATTTCTCACAATGCCGTCGAAGGTCACTCATCGCAATAACGTTGTGAAGGTCGACCATCTTATCTGCTTAGCGACCTTCCTCTTGTCCTACATCGCGCTACGTTTCACGTCGGTCGTAAGAAGCCCTATAGACCTCAAACATCGATGACTCACACCACTATGGCCGAATCTCACACTCAAAATCACGGACTCGAGTTCTCCATGGTCATGGAAGAACCCGACCGAAAGCTGGACTGGGAAAAGGACACTCGTCACGTCAATCTCGCCCCTTGGGGTTGTTACCACTATCCGCTCGTGTACAAACGCTGGCCGAAACACCCCAAACCGTTCAAGCGGACTATATATCAAAGCGAGCCTTGGTACGGTAATCCCTTAGACTACGCTTTTGTAGACGAGGAACGCTACGCTGAGGGCGACGACAGACCATACTGGAATTCCTCTGACGCTCGGTCCGAATTGGAAGGAGAGTTCAAGTGGCCTGATCCAGCTGGCGCCGAGAAGACTGACGAAGACGGATGGATGGGAGAACGAGATCCCCCTCGACATGACCAGACGGATAAATATATCAGTACTGGTCTTGGACAACGTTTCATGACGTCTTTCTTGAAGCTACAAGGTAGCCACGGACCAGAGACCGAGAGTATCCTCTCACATCTAGCTGGCGAGTTTGTCGAGAGGACGAAACCCATACTTGCTGCCGGTGTCATAGCTCAACAGACCTGGACCAACAAACATCAAACCACCGCTTCCACCATCAGTCTGGCTGAAACCTTCGTCGACTATGCCGGACATGTCGGTCGAGCGCTATTTGGACCCGATTTCGTCAACCCCATGCTCTCCACATCGACAAGCGGATCACCTTTGCAAATGCAAATGAATCCAGCCCTTGCTTTCCCGACCGGACATGGTGTCATCCACCAACACTCACGGCCCACGTATACCCCACAGATCGTCGTACTGCATGAGAACAAGGATTCCGACTTTGACCAGCACCGGGCAATAGATAAGTTTCAAAAGAAGCCATCTTGGGATCAAGTCGGATTCGTCGTCGACGTGATGGACCATCCCAGAAAAGACATGAAGACTCATTCAGGGTTGAAGTTTGAAAGTGCCGGGGTTTCTATCTTCAGATCATTGGTGAGTCGCTGAGAGGATTGTCGAAGCGCTCGCAGCTAGAACCATAACGACTTTTGGCTATACAGACCTGCCTCACTCAGAACAATTTAGCCAGCGGCCGGACGTTCGGCCTATCCTTGTGCGCGACCAGTATCCGGCTCTGGTGGTGTGACGCAGAGCAATTCGGAACATCTCGTCGATACGACTTTGACGATCCCTCCGATGCCCGGTCCATCGTCGACCTGATCGCGTTCGCCTTGATACGCGGTGGCAAACTGTCCCAACGGTGGACCCCTCCAGAACAATTGGTCACGAAGAGATCAGAAGACGTCTTGTCCACCTGGAATGTGAGAGATTGGACGCTCATCGAAGCCAGGTCGAATGTCTTTGGGTCTCGTACTACCGTCTGGTCCGGCATGGCAACACCCGCCAACGCAAAGTCTTCAAGCAATGCTGTCGAACCACAACCCGTCATTCTCAAATCACAGTGGCTCGTTCCCGAACTGGCGCGACACGAACACGACGTGCTATGCAGGCTGCATGACGAAAACGTAGCTAGCACAAGTTCGACTCTGCTCGACGACGATACAGCCAAGGAAATTCAATCGCGCCTAGTTCGGTCATTAGGGAGCGTGCACGATAGTACTTTGGAATCCTGGATCACGATTGGCGCGTCTGACGGGATTCGGTTGCAATTTACCGCTCTCCTCATGTCCAGTTCGAACCCGCTCCCTCGGGCTCTGTTTCAATCCAACGAGACCACATTCGGCATGCGAGGCTGGATTCAGATCATGAGGGATATCGTCCAATCTTTCTGGTTCGCCGCCAGTCGAGGTGTACATCATCGCGATATGAACGGTGGCAACGTCCTATACAGCGCGCAGCCCGATGGATCAATCGCCGGTCATCTCGTCGACTTTGGCAACGCCCGGATCCTGGACCGACCTCGTCTGCCTGCGAAATACACGAGAGCCAAAAGATACCCGGAGATACACCTCCTCGCGGACGATAGCCGATGTGCCAACCCGAAGTTCATGAGCCTGGCAGCCATGGAGTCCGATCGTGCATTCGAGTCTTACATCACCAGCTTGGAGAACGTAGAATTCCTCCTTAAGAGAACTGAAAAGGCAGAATCGACTGGGCCCTCAGACTCCCCACTTTTCTGGCGGGAATATCTAGAGGAAGCGAAGGCAGAGGTACCTTTAGAGTTGGACAAGGCGAGGAAGCTGTTACATAGATACATCGATGATCTCGAAGCTCTTGCACATCTGATCGAGCACTCTGTAAGCCCCTTCTAGTCTATGTGTTACGCACTGACAATGCTAACAGACTATGCTTAGCTTGATCACGTTATAAACCGGAAGCTGAACTTCTCTTGGCATGAAAAGCGGCGTAAAGAACGATTTGAGCTGAACGCGAAGCGTCGTGTTCGGGAAGCTATAAAAAGTTCTAAAGCCGTAGTACGTCGCATCACCCTTCCAACACTTTACTATGACTGCATTCCAAGATGTAATCCCCGACTCACATCTCCCCGCCTCGACGCAGTGGATAATATTCTTCGACTCAGATTTGCTTCGAGGGCTGTTGTGGAAAACATACCAGATCGTAGGACGGGCTCGGCAGCAGCTCGACGCATCTGCCCCGTCTGCGTCTGGCGAGATGGATCCCATCGAGGATCAATGCTTCCACGACCTCGTCAGCGCGCTCGACGAAGCTCTGCCTCGAGCGCCGATAGAGGGTTTCGTAGAAGAGGCTGCAAAGCCAGAGACCAGCACTGTAGATGCAACTCCCGACCATGTTGTCGAAGCCGGACCCGCCGGTGTGACGCCGACCGCTGTGCCAGCGCCAGCGGATCCGTGATTGCGATAGCAGTCCACGAGAGAATCCTGTTGTGACCATATCATAGCGTACGTTCTAGGATGTGGCCATTCGTAGAGACACAAAGTCTTTTGCATTACATCTTACAACGTTCATCTAGTTACTAGCTCAGCTCTTGATGGTACCGTACGAGACGAGACGGGCAGAGGCCGCTAGTTCGCCCGAGTCATCGTTGAACACAGTGATGACCAATTCGATGTCGTCCTCATGAACCTGATGCCATATCTCCCTTCAGCGAAAACGGGCGCTCTCCATATCAAAGGTGAGGTCTTGTTTTAAGGCCTCGATAGATGCCTACACCAAAGCGACGGAATACTACGTCAGCCAAACAGCTAGCAAATCCGTCCGATCTCCCTGAGGATGCGGGAGAAGCTTGAATCTGTGATTGCTCGAGATCAAGCCTGTCAAGTTTCGTCGCCCACTACTACTGTCGGTCGACCCGTCCCAGCTCGGCCAGCTCTTCTCCGCTCATGGCTTGTGTCCGACGTCGAGTTATAACAACGGACTTCTAAGCTTCTAACCGAGAGTAGAACGTCGATTAACTTTCTTTTGCGCCACTGATGGTCAGCGATCATCGATTGATTGATCGGCTAGATTCTTGTTAACCGACAACCTTCTTTGGTTTGACACGTCATCACGGGGTTGAAACAGGGACCGAGATGCCGAGGCGTTCTGGCCGATGCCGAGGGATGCCGAGAGACATCGCCGCGTGCCAAGGGGATGACTTTCGGCACCGAAAGAAGGTTGAGGATCGGGATGACGACATGGGTACAATTGCCCGATCAGCTTTCAGATATCAGATAAATAGGAGCAAGGTTACCCTTCGTACACCCTCGACCGGTCCTCTTCGCCTCCTCCTTTGCTTTCAACACTAACAATACACAATACGACATACGAACAATGCAAACTCAGTACCAACAACAACCACCCACTCCCTTCGGTGCCTACCCCCAACCACCTCCAAATGGTGCACCTTACCACGGTGCCGGCGGATCATCGATGGCGATGATGGGCGACGACGGGACGGGTCCCAAGATCGATCCGTTCATGGGTACTTCATCATCAAACCCGATCGGATCTAGCGATACAAAAGGCGGTCAGATGAGTATGGACTCTAAACGCCAATCCACCGTGCCCCCCAATAACAACAACAACTACGATAACAACAACGGGATGGCCTCGACGACGACACCATCCGCCCCGTACCTCCCTCCCCCCGCCTCGAACCCTCCGACCGGTCCTCCTGCCGCACCTCCCGTCTATATTAAAGACGTCAGCATGCTCGATACCTCTCAATACAACTCGGACGCCCACCTCCTCGCCGCCTGTCGAGCCAAGGGTATCTCTCCTTACTTTGCCACCCAAATAACCCGGCTACGTGAATACTCTTCCGTCCGCCTCGTGCTCGACGACAGCGGGTCGATGAAGGCCATGCAACAAGTCTACGGACAAGGTCCTACGATCAGGTGGAAGATCTTGCAAGAGATGGTCAAGGAGATTTTCGACCTGATGACCATCGCCCGCGGGCGAGAACCGTTGGATGTTTATTTCTTGAACATGTTGCCTCAGGGGATGAAGGCTGATACCGTCGAGGCGCTCTACCCGTTCTTCCAACGGACGCCTCAGGGGACTACGCCGACTTTGGAAGTGATGAGAGAGATTATGACGCCGGAGTATATGGTCGTGAGTCCCACAATCCTGCATCGCGTTCTTCATTCGCTTTTCCGCACGAGCCGACCTGACCCGGATCATCCCTACCTCTCGTTTATTTATATTACAGCGAGAAGAAGGCGTCCTCACCCTGCTCATCACCGACGGAGCCCCCAACTGCGGGCACCAAGCCTTCCGCACCTTCCTCCTAGACGTCCAACGTCGTTTCCCCGCATCCTACCTGACCGTCGGGTTATGCACTGACGACCCGGCAACGATTGACGAGTACGAATCTTCCCTCGACAACGGCGTCCCTCACCTGGACGTCATGTCCGCATACGAAGACGAACGCCGAGAGATCCGCAAGATCCAGGGGAGGAAGTTCGGGTTCACCTATGCGGATTGGACGGTCAAGTTCCTCCTCGGCAGTCGGGTGACCGAGTGGGACAGCTTGGACGAGCGGAGGTTGACCAAGCAACAACTGGCGATGATACAGAAGTTTGGGAATAGTTATCTTGGGATCGGCGGGGGTGCGGCTGCGGGTGCCGGAGGAGGCGGGGCGGGTGTGATAGGAGGAGGTGGTGCTGGTGGGAGGGGCAAGGACAAGGACAAGAAGTGCACGATCATGTGATGAGCGAGGGTGCATGCCGGGCTGGCCGTCAGGATAGGGAATCACTTGGAATTCGTTTTTGGTTGTCATTTTGTTGCCGCAAGGCTGTTCAGCTTCGTTCAGGGTCTGTCTTGGTATAATATCATCCGACGACTGTATCGCTAATGTCAATGTACATCAGCTTGTGAGCCCGTATGATAATCGTTGAATCGCAATTCATAGGGCTCCTTCGAACTTGAATGATCGCATGGTGACCCAATGTAGTACCGCCACCACCTCCAGGGCGCGACTCCGGACTGTCATGGAACTTCGTAACTTCATATTCAATATTCAAAGTATCGAACTCTTGGTATAAGGTATATCGCTCTGTATCTCTCGCGAAAACACACACAAGCGCTTTTTCTGAACCACCCGAATCCGCTTCTTCTCTGTCTATCGTCTCACCCTGTACAGCTCGTACAGCATCATGTCCCCCCAGAGGTAACCTCCAGGAAGCGCAGCCGGGTGTAGCCTGCTCGAATCAGCAACAGCGTCAGCGGAAGTGTCGCTGATCCGTCGCAGGCGTGGCGATCTCGAAACGCCGGAAGTATCGACTCACGCATCCAACATGTACCTCTCCATTCCCAGCATATGATCCCCCCAACGTCCGATACTGACGCTCTTGGCCGATTCGTACTGTTCCCGAACGCAGTCGGCGTCACACCATTCCGTCGGCTCGGCTGGAGGACCACGCAAGGCCGCCTCGAGCGTCTGCCGGAGTTGGACGAAACGGACCAGCGAGTTGGCGCGAGGCAGCTGGTTGTCCGGTTGATTCGTCTTGGGAATATCCTGGGTGAACCAGTCCAAGTTGCCGCTGATGGCTGCACACTCAATCCACACGAAAAGCTATATTAGTGAGGGTCAGGGCATCGAGATGTAGGAACACGTCCGACTGACGGTAATGATGCGTGACCCATTGAATCGGGACATCCGGATAAGCCTTGCGCAAGACGTTCGCTACGCCTCTCACTCGACGTTTCCACCACGTGAGTCGGTCGCTGTAATGAAGTTCGCAATCCTGTCAGCTACGTGTTCAGAAGATTCACCGCGGATGAGTTCCACATCAGACCGACCTAGACAACCCGTCTATCGTCGACCTATCGTTCTCGAGGTCCAATCTCAACCACCTCGCCGTATCCCACAAAGCCGTGTTCACCTGGATCAGATCCGGCGCCTGTCGACCCTGTCTGAGGTCAGTCGTGACCGGCCCGACGACGTTCGATTTTGGATTGGAGGCGTTCCTCGCGATCGATGCCATGATCGATTTGACAACAGGGCGTAGCAGCCGATCGACCCGGAGGTCGGTCGATGTCGGGGGGATGATGCCGTTCTATATAAAAGATTCCAACGGCGATAAGCGTACAAATCCAACAACGAGACCGCCTGACTAGACAAGACCATCACGGCGGAAGACTCACCTTGAACGTCCAATACTACAGTATGGTAATGCCACCGCGCCCGAACACCGTCGATAGTGTATCACATCAACATCTTGCTACGATACGACCGCCTCCAAGCGCAGCACTGCTCCGACCCAAAATCGACTCACATCCGTCAAATCCATCCCATACTGATGAACGTGTACGACCAAAAAGTCCACTTCTTCCACATAACAGATATGCGGCCAATGATTCCCATTCCCCGGCGGGTCCGGTTTCGAGTCTTTCCACCCACTCCCATCTTGTTCGGAACTGTCGTCGGGGTCGAAAGGTCTATGCGGGGTGGAGTAGGGGTTGACGTTCTCCGGCCAGGGAACGCCAGCGGGAGAGTTCCAGGGGATGGGTTTGATCTCGGATCCTACGAACTGCGAGAGGAACCGAACGGGAGAGCGGAAATCGTTTCCTTACAGTAGTATCAGCTGCTGCAGTCTGCTCCGTTGTTTGATCTTTCCACCTGGACGTGGATGTGTGGACACGGCATAATGATACGATATGACCTAGGGAAGAAAGGGGGAAGAGGATAATACTACCCACGGCTTACCTTGCAAAAATGATCCATATTATACCTCAAAACGCTATCCCCATAGAGGACCACCGTCTTCCCTTTCAACCAGTCCCACCCTGAATCCCGATCCTCACCACCGCCTTCTCGGTCATGATTCTCAGTAAGGACTTCCATCTTCTCGTCACCCTCCCTATCATCGCCTTTGATCCGGGAGTCATCTCCCGCAGCTAACCCGGTTCCAGTCCGGTTTCCTCTAATTCGTCTTCGATGTTGGACCTCGTACATGACCAGCTTCATCAACCCCGGAACCTCCCTCTCCGACCGATTTTGATTCCCATCTTCGTCTTCCGCTTTGTGTGCGAGGGCGAAAGGCACCCAACGATTTTCATGCGGATCTTGTTTGTCGACCAGGAGGTGTCCTGGGAGGTCGTAAGGGCTTTAGAGATCGAGAATGGGATGGCGGATTGACGGATTGACGATTGATGGTGGTTGAGTCGAGGTGACAGAAACGATAGGTAATCAGTCGATATACTCATCTGCTCAACTCGGCAGCGATACCACGAAAAAAAAAACACCTAAAGGACCCCCGTCTTTGCTCGGACGACAAACTCACTTGACATGACCTCCCCCGATTCTCCGCTGCCCACCCCCACCTCCAAAACGTCCTCCTTGCATGACCATCACCTTCGTCGCCCACGACTCCGGTTCCATATTCCAGTACCACAACCCTGTACTCATCATCACGAGCAGGACTACTAGACCGTACCATGCTCGTTTGTTTCCCGGACCTGCCGGTCTTTGATGTCGTTGTAGTTGTCGAGTTGGGGTGTGGGGGAGCATCGTCTCGCCTGCGGACTAAGGAGCTGATTCGCCTATGTACCCTTTGACCTCTAGATCTATCGAGGTGCGAGGTGTTGATGATGCTGTTGATACTTGGTCGTCATCGTCGATGACGTCAAAGATGATGATATGATGATGATGGTGATGACGACGATGGACGAAGATGAAACGCGGAGAAGCAAGGTTCGAGGGATGACATGATCACGTGATCCGGGAAGCTGCCGTTTCATGTCTCATCGACCTAGTCACCTCGAGGTCGTTCTTGAGTATTCTTAACATGGATCTCGCCTGAAAACCAGAACCAGTCAGAGCGTAGAGCGTGTCATCGGACGGAGATTCCCTAGGGACCTGATCGGCAGTACAAGAACGACATCGGAACAACGCCATGGAGTCACAAGATTGAACAGCCTGATTATTGCCCATGCCTTGGCAGATATGAGGGTATGATCGTCGTGCCAGTCGTGTTCTCTCATCAAACAGCTATAAATGCGTCATCCTCCTTGCCTGCCTTCAACAAGGCCCGGTATCGTTATTATCGCCGCCTCCTACTGTGCCATTGTACTCATACACCCGCCTGGGAACGACCTCAACGGCGATCACCCTTGACCGCATCTTCGGGCAACTTTTCCAAAGCTCGCTTGATCACCTCGATGCAGGCCGCGAAACACTGATTCTCGATCTTTGTCAACCCGACCAGAGGGGGGATCCCTGGCTCCGGGGGGAATCTCCTCGCAGATCTCCTCGCAGTATTTTCTTGTTGTTGTTGTTGTTGAGGTCTAGTAAGGTCCTCTCGAGCGTTCCTGATGGTATAAGCTAGGTTCCATTTCATTTCGCTCCAATCATATCCACAGCCTAGCCCATAGACGACCTATATTGTAATGTAATGCAACGTAATGCGTCCGAGTCAAAACCGAGCGAGCGAGCGATCAGTTCGCGTCATGTTGTTTATTCTCAGAAGAGCGTGTGCGGGACATGAAAGACGAGGGATCGGGATCCGAAAATATATGAAACCTACGCTCATGGATCTCCACAATGTCTCCTTGTCGGCCTTGTCCTTTAAGCCTTCCAACACGGAGGCCTTGTCGTCGTCGATGCCGGAAATCCAGCTCATCTGCATGGTCGGGTGACGGTCACGGTCACGGAATTTTCCAAAAGGAGGGAGAGAGAGAGAGAGAGAGAGAAACTCGCTACTCAGTCGGCCGCTCGGTTGTTTGGTCCCGAAAACGGCGTTCCTTCGTTCGGGCTCACCTGTAGGAGAAAGACATACACCACCGATTCCAGGTCGTCGATATACCGATGCGAATCCACTTTTAATCCTAGAAGGGTCTGCTGGTAATTTTCCTTGGATATCGTTTTCCGGAGCTCGTAATCGGACTTGGCCGCGTCCACGAGGCTCTTCTTGTCTCCTGGGTACCACTCAACAAAGGCCTTCGTTCTCACCGTATGAACGCTGGAGAAGACCGGAGTTCCCGACCGACTGTCGTCTAGTGTCAAGACGTACGAGTCCCAGTCGTCCTGCATATCAAATTCAAGGTTGCCCTGGTTATCAATCTCGTTCTCGTCCTCGTATTCGTACTTGAACCGAGGGTTGTCACGGTACCGCGCGATTCCGTAATCGACGAGATACCCGACAGCTCGGCCGGAACTAGGATCCCCTGGGACTTCTTCGATCCAGGTCCACATGATATTCCCTAGACTGATATCTCGATGATGAACACCCTTGATCGCCGCGTACCACAATGACTCGCACACGCCGAGCAAGATCTGACCGTAGTGCCGAAGCCCTAGGACGACCTCTCTTCCGTTGCAAGAAAAGACGGTATCCGCTTCAGTCGGCATGTTCCAGCCCAACGGTCCGCTTGTTGCCATGATGCAGAGTGAACGAGGTGTCCCACGCGTCCGCGTCTTCCAAACTTCAGGATCGACCTGTTCGACCTGTACGACACCGAGCGCTCTGGGGAGACAGGCTATGACCTTTGGGTCGATGATATCCATAGGAACCGGGTCGGTATGACTCGGATCGAATTCCAACTGCGGTTCCCCGTTGTGTAGATGGTCGAGCATCTTCAACTCGTAGTCTTCCACCTCGCGATATGTCCACCAGGCTTTGACGATGACGTCCGTCGGCTCGTCGTCCGAGTCCTCTCGTTTAGCTTTCCCCGCGAAAACCACCGTCCTGGAATCGAAAAGAGCTTGACGTATGCACAGGTATTTGTAAGGCGATTCACGGTCGGTCCAGGTCCAGCTCTGCGTAGCTTCTTGATCAAAAGGCCTGATCATAACACCGCCGCGATCGGGAATCCAACGATCATGAAACGGAGCCTCCGGATCGGTGAGGAAAGCGACAATGTCCACTATATCCTTGGCGTGTTCAGGGTCGTCCAGACGGTACATCCGCGAGGAGGCAAAAGTCTTAGGGTCGAATTCCCAAAAACGGAGACATGGACCAGCGAGGGTAAACGTATACGTCGTTCTCGTTACCGGGCGGTGTCGAAGGAGAAACCTCTACGTGCAGGAACAGGAAAAGTCCGTCAGCCAAAAACAGAAAGTCCGGGGTTGATACAGTTCCCGAGGACACTCACCTGATCATCGAGCATTTGGGGTACGATATCCCACTGCATTTCAAACTCGGCCTCCGCCCGCATGTCGTCCTGTTTGTCGAGCCTTACCTGTGCCGCTAGGACGACGTGTTCCCACGTCTCGTAGCTATCATCTTCGGAATCGGGCTTCGGAGGTTCGTCGTTGGTCTTGATCATGACGATATCAGGCTTGGAAAGATATCCGTCGAATCCGTCGTCTCGTCCTTCATGAAAGACCGTGCTCACATTCGGCCGGATCGGTCGACGCCTGTTCGAACGGATATCCAAGGTGGTATTCCCCTTCGTGCCATGCACCCGGTCGCGGATGGCTTTCATCAGGTTGACAAACTTTCCCGTCAAGAGATCTCTATCTTCCAAGTGTTGTTCATAGCTTTGGTACTCGATGTGAGGCTTCACGTCCCCGTAGAGACGATCGTAATGTTCGGTCCTCTTGCGAGGATCCGATGCGACGCGTGCCAAAAAGTCGATGATGTCTTTCAGTTCACACGGTCTTCCAGCGAGCCATTCGGCCGTATCTTGAACCTTTTTCACGAGCTCCTCGGACTGGGATACGAATTCGAGCTTGAGAAAGTTGTCCCGGTATCGAGCCGCACTGTCTCGCATCAAACGTCTCCGTTCACCATCCTCGACCTGTTCAGAGACCCATTGGCGTGTATGTAGACTCCAACCGGGAGAATGCACGTCCTCGATATCATGGTACTTGTTCCTCTGATTGAACCTTCTCTGGATGAGCGGTTTCACTGTTGCCCATCTCCGGCCGACTTCGATGTACTGGTCGGGCGACCGATTGCGAGCGCCAATATCCCTGGCGAGTTCGCTGTTCAGCGTGTCGTCGTCCCAGTCGGTGTGATCTACCAGCGTGACCTTGTACATCTTGAAAGGGGAGAACGGCCGGGCATGTGATGCCAGAAGATCCATGCTTCGGGATGGGCCAACGGATGTCTGTTCATCAGGGTTAGGAGTATCTCGAGTTCTTCTTGTTGTCTCGCGGTCAAGCTCGGTCGGACATCGCTTTCGAGCGATTTGCTTTCTGGAGCGCTCCGAGTAAAATTCTAGCGTTTCCCAGGAATTTAGAAGTCACGGCCAAGATGAAGTCAGGCAAGAGGTATCATAGTTACCAACCGCCCCACGGAAGTACATTAAATTTCTCCCTACACCCTGGACACATGGAGCTTTTTGCCTTGTGAAGATGGGTAAAGATGATCTGTCAATCTTGGAACTTGGCGTCCTCATAATCACCTGAACTCTGCTTTGGCTACTGTTGGTATGTCTTGAGAATCGATAATGTGAGACCAGAGAGGATGATATAGAGCTTGAGGGTGAAGTAGTGGAAGACCTGGCCGTTATTGGCCATGTAACGCTCTTCGATTTTGAGTCATCCAAAATCCCTCCATGCATCCATGTCTTCCTCATTTCATGTTGCCAGAAATGCCTACAGCTTGCTGAGTGCAACATCAAACTCCTCCAGACTAGCGCTTACATCAACATCAAAGTACCTCTTGCCCTGCGCCTTATGTGCCAAGGGGATATCTGAGCATTAGCAAGTAGGTCTTCAACCAGCTCTCATGACAGATGTGTGATGTCACTATAGACATCAGACAAACTTGTAGCCTTGAGGAGATACAGGCTTATGATAAGACTTTTGAATCCCACAGAGTTCTGTACTTTTTGGATCTGAATTGCAGAAAGGCAGCGGTAAATATTTAAATCAATAGAGTGTGTGGCTCTTGTTGTTCTATTTTCGCATATTCATTATTCAAGTCACACCTTTGGGCGGACATGTACGAACACAAGATCAGGTATAGTTGTAGTTCACAACCATCACCTGGACGACCCCCAACTGCAGAACACCTCGTAGCAAGGCCTTGAATACCCGATACCCAGATCCGTACAAACCAACTGTGGACGCCGACAGAGCAAGGATGTTCAAAAAACGAACCCGAACGGCCAACCCGCGAGTCAAGGAGGACTATTCGACACCACCACCACCCCGACCGACATCATCATCAACAGCAATAGCAGCAATAGAAGGAGAGTCAGGGTTAACGGCCGCAGATACTGAGAATAGACCCGTCGAAGATGAAGAGGACGAAGCACCTACGTGAGCCATCTCCAGAACCCATCTCATACTGACCCGGTCGAATAGACACTCTAGCTAAACCTCTTTGCCTGCGCTTCTCCCTCTCTATCTCTCTACCTTTCCACCTCTTTGCCTACTTCCCAACTTTTTTCTATCTGGGACCCCACAGCGGCACCCTCCAAGAAATCCTTCTCCTCCGCCGCCTAACCCAATCCAAATCCCGGACGTCCGGTATAGACCTCGTCCGCTTGAACAAGGGGGAAGAGAAAAAGAAACGCCGCAAGAAGCCTTCTGGTCAGCGGAAAGACGGCGATGACCAAGGCGGGGAAGAGGAAGGAGAAGAGGGAGAGGGAAATGGAGGAGAGACTTATGGGTTGAAGCAGAGTCGGGCTGGGAGAGGGGAGGGAGGAGGAGGGGAGGGGGAAGAGTGAGTCTTGGTTCGTGCCAGATACAGATACAGATACAGATCAGACAGAATAGACCCTCCATTACCCTCCACTCCACTCCGGGAAAACATCTCCATGCAAAAAGTATGGCAGTTGCAGTGTAGGCTGATATATTCGTTTGATGTGTTGTGTTGTGTTGTGTTGGTGATTGGTACGGGGCGGATGGACAGCGCCGAAAACGACGACGCCTCCAAAGCCCGTCGACTCGTCCGATCGAACAATTTCACTCAACAGACCAACGCGTTGGACGTTGATAAACACATGTGAGTCGGGGTCATCTTCCCCTTCTCTCACAAAATCAATGTACATGTCGATCTGACGACACGGACACGGACACGGACGTGATGCTTTCATTCTTCTTACCCTGGTATTTAGGATGGCGTATATCGAAGCGGAACTCGCTAAACGTCGTCAAGGCCCCACCACCACCACCCCCAACCCCAACCCGGACACCTCCAACTCCAACAAGCCGGAGGTCGACCCACAAGAAGAACTATACGCCATCGCCGAAAAGTACCGGCTCGAAAAGTACAAGCCCAATAAATCTCGCGGCGGGGTAGATGATGAAGAGGGTGGGAACGTGACGACGAGTTTGGGGATGTTGACTAGTATCCCCGAGGTGGATTTGGGTATGGAGTGAGTAGGGTCGTCGTCGTCGTCTCTCTTTTTAACCCTTTATCGATGGGATGGGTAAAAATCCTCGCGTTGATGCTGACCAGACAATCGATGATGATGAAACTAGCATCCGACTGAAAAACATCGAAGAGACCGAACGTGCCAAACGGGCCATGATGGAGAACCGGAATCGGAACCGCGGCCAAGGACAGAAGCGTAACGAGGCCGACGAGAGTTTCGCTGCGGCGCGGTGTGAGTTTGGAGTCTCTCTCTTTCCCTCTTTCTCTCTTTTTTTTCTACAACGTTTTTCTTCTTCTTTGCGGGTGTCACTAACTATTAACCTCTTCTATCTCTATCTCTATTCCTATTCCTGCACCTATGTAATCCCCACGACCCGCTTTACAGTCTACCGACCACACCACACCATCCAATCCGATGCCGAAGCCCTGGAAGACGCCAAGAGGGAAGCCGCCGGCTTACCCCCCTTGAACCGGGGTAATAACAGGCAGAGGGATCGGAACGAGACGGCGACGGATGATCAGGTTTATGAGCGGTTCAAGAAGAGGTGAGAGTCTTGAGTTTGACTTTGGGATTTGACCTGGGGGGTGGTGAGGAGTGTTGTTTCCTTGTCTTATCGAACCCCAGTTTCGGGAGGAACGAGAGAGGAGACAAGGGTGATTCCGTGCTGATTCTGCTGCTTTTTTTTTTTCAACTTGTGTGCCTCGTTTTATAGGGTACGGAAGAATTGAAAAGTCGGATCGTCGTCAGGTTCAACCTGGTCTGTGATTCAAACCTTCATGATCCTAAGGAGAGATGATCCATGTTGTACGAAACATTACACCACATTGGCATTACGGAATATGGTCCCGACTTCAGACCGTGACGACGATATCGCCATTGAACCGTGAGATTGCGGCGTCTCTCGCGAAATCGTGCATTTCGACGGTCGTGATAAACTCCCATCTCGACTTCGTCCGGCTCCCACAACTCAGAGCGACTGGCGTACCATTGTACAAGGACTCTATCTTGGTCAGAGAATGCTGATTGCGGTTGTCAATTGACGTTACCATCGATCGATCTCGCCATGACCACCTTCCGACTTTGTTGGTTTGTGGCTCGGAGAGCGCGAGGATCACGCTCAGTTACCTACACTCGAAGTTTGCAATGTTCGACATATTTCTTCTTCTGACATCCTCGTCGTTGCCTATTCCACATCCACTCCCCCATAACAATACCCTGACGACCCAAATCTACTCTCAGAACAGCCGAGTAGTACACAAGATCATATAGCATCCATCCACTTTCGCCAGGCCCAAGCTCGATGGACCCAACATCATCTCAATCGACACCGAACGGGGGATTACCAGGTCCAGGACCTATTCCACCACCTCCTCCTCCCCAAGTTATGAATATGAACCCTCCACTCCCACCTAATTGGTCTGAACACAAGGGTGAGTCAATTCATCCCCCCACTCAATTGTTGGCGTGAAACGAACGGGTAGCTGACTTTTCGTCGAGGCCAAACTGGATTTTACGACACGGAACTACAGCCCCGAACGGGACCTCGTATTATTACAACAACCTGACCAAACAATCGACCTATACCCGACCTCTTCCTACTGGGATCGCCCCTTCTTTCCCACCGCCTTCCGTGCCCCAGACGCTCAATGTCGGCGTTGGCCCTTCTCCTTATTCTCATACTCAACCTTTCGGCCAGCCTTTCAACCCTCATGGTCATCTCGTTAATCCTCATGGCCTCGCACCACAATTCCCCGCCCCCGTCCTAGCCCCAGGTCTAGCCTCAACGCAAAACAAGCCCAACACCAACACCAACAGCACCGAGGAAAAGAACAAGAAGAAGAAAGAAAAACCCAAACAAAAAAACCCCATCCCCGGAACCTCCTGGCTCAAAGTAACCACCAACCTCAATAACGTCTTCTACACCGACCCTTCTACCAAGGTGTCTTCCTGGGTAATCCCCGATGAGATCAAAGATGCCGTCGAAGCGTTCGAAGCCTCCTTAAAAGCCCAGGCGAAGAAAGAGAAGGAAGAGAAGGCCGAAGAAGAACGAGCGAGGGCGGAAGAGAGACGGTTAGCCGACTTGCGGGAACGGGAAAGAATTAGGTTGGAGTTAGAGGAAGAGAAGAGGAAAGGGGTTGAGGTGGAGAAGAGGAGGAAGAGGGAGGCTGATCGGGAGAGGGAGAGGAAAAGGAAAGAACGGGATGGGGAGGGCGATGATGATGCCGGTGAAGAAGAGCAGGAAGAGGGGGAGGATGGACGGCGGGCTAAGAAGATGGTCAAGCTGGACGAGCAGGAGGGAGACGTCGAGATGAACAACACCGAAAACAACGGCAACAACGACGAAGACGACCCCGAAGCCAGGCCAGAACTCGACTCCGAAGACGAAGAAGCCATGGCCATAGGTCCTATCGACGAATCCGACGAAGAAGCCTGGCAACGCGCCGTCGCCGCCGAGATCGCCCGTGAGACCAAGATCAAGGATCGACAGAAGAAAGAGAACAAGGCGGCCAAGAAGGCTCGGGAGGAGGAAGCTTTGGGGCGGGTGTTCCAGCTTCCTCCTCCACCTCAAGCTGAGGGTCAGGGTCAAGATCAAGTTCGAGATCAAATTCAGGGTCAGGGTCAGGGTCAGGGACTTCCTACGGGGGTGGCTAGGGTTCAGGTGGATTTGAACCCTGATGAGGGAAAGGCGTTGTTCAAGGTGAGCTTTTCGGCCTAGTCTCGTTGTTCGAGGTTGACACTAACACGATCCTAATGTGTGGCGTCGTTGTTACCTCGCAGTCCCTGTTGTACGAAAAAGACATCTCCCCGTTCGCACCTTGGGAAACCTCTCTCCCTCTGTTCATCAACGACCCTCGGTACGTCCTCTTGCCCTCGGAAAAGCTCCGTCAAGAAGTCTACGAAGACTATTGCCGCGAGGTCGCTCGTAATCGTCGGTTGGGCAAGACCAAGCCCGCCGGTACTAGCAGCAGTCCGAGCACCACCGCGGGAGAGACATCGGGAAAGAAGGACCCGGAGAGGGAATACAAGTCACTCCTCCGAGCCGAAGTCAAGAGCACCCGGACGATCTGGGAGGATTTCCGTCGAGCCTGGAGGAAAGATCGGAGGTTCTTCGATTATGGCAAGGACGACAAGCAGAGGGAAAAGGTCTTTCGGGATCACCTGCGCGAACTAGGGGAGAGGAAACGGGCCGATGCGAAGCGGGCGGAGAGGGATTTCATGGACCTGCTCAGGGAGCACGATGAGATCAAGCCGGATTCGGACTGGCTGCAGGTGCGTTTCGGCCTCGGTCTTATTTTCGTTCGACAATCGTTCTGTTTGGAGCTTTCGGCTCATGTTGGTCGGTTTCATCATCTGCAGGTCAAGCGTGGGATGACATCCGATCCGAGGTACGACGCCGTCGGTTCTTCCTCGTTGCGTGCAGAACTGTTCCAGCGTCACGTCAAGTCGCTCGGTGCTCAGGCCGAATCGTCCCGGACCGAGACGCCCGAAGAGGTGGCCGCCAGAAAGGCGAGGGAGAGGAAAGAAAAGGCTCAAGCTAGTCTGCGTGAACGTCAACAGCAGGTGCAGGGTGAAAAGATGCGGTTGGAGCGGGACGTACAGAAGAGCAAGCTCGGTGCGGGACGGGAGGACGGGGAGCGAGAGTTTGGTAGTCTGCTCATTCAGGCCGTTCGTGAACACAACGTATGTCGAAGTGCTCGAGGTGTGTGGGAAACGTAGCTGATACGACGTGCGCACCTCGCAGGCTTCTTGGCAAGAGACAATACCGCAGCTGGAAAAGGATCCTCGTTGGGAACATCCGGCGTTAACGCTCGCCGACAAGCACGGCATGTTCATCGCCCACCTCCAGTCTCTGGCACACAAACGGCTCGACGCGCTGCATAAATTGTTCCTCGCCCACGCTCCTTCCCTCGATACGCCGTTCGAAGACGTCTACCCCGAAATCGTCAACGACTTTGCGGTGACGCGGCTCGGCCTGACGCCGGAAAAGCTGCAGAGTCGGTACGAAGAGTGGCAGAGGGTACGCTTCCAACAGAGCAAGGCCGAGTTCCAAGCTCTCCTCAAGGAGAGCAGCTTTGTCGACTTTTGGGGACGGATGAAGAACAAGGCTCTGGCCAGTCAGGGGGTCATCCCGAATGAAGATTCCGATGAAGAGGATGACGGCGGGGATGAGACGGGTGGGAAAGCCAACCTGGAGATAATGGCCAAACAGATCGATCTCAAGGAGATGCACGACGTGTTACAGGTCAGTGCCTTGCCCGTCGCTTTCAAGGCGTCCGGACTATCGTACTGATTCTCTTCTTCGCTCGGACTCAGCACGACAAGCGGTATCTCGTTTTCGATCACGTCCCGGAAGAAAGAGAGGCTTGGCTTCGAGTGAGTCGGAATTCCCGTGCGCTCTCGGTTACCGAGTTCTACCTGACTCGGTCCTCTCTGCTTTCAAAATGTTTAGGAATACCTCGCCGGTCTCGACAATGCACTGGCAAATTTGCACGTTCAGGCACAGCATTCGGCATAAACTTCCTGTGAATGACGAGAGAATTGTAAAAGGCGCATACACATGATATTCGACATCACAACAGAAAGATGAACATAAAGACCGCAAGCTTTGATCGACCACGCAATACGCCTGCCTCATCTGGTGGCGAACTTGTGGTATACAAACTCGCCGCAGACTCGCCCGATTCCGTACAGCAGCCCTTGCAAACGTTTCAACGGTCCCAGCCGCCTTGCGGCGTTCGAGGAATGAACGAGGCCCGATATCGAACCAGCGGAAAGATCCTGCATTGGCGTGACTGATGTCCCATACCATAATTCCTAAGCCTCCGAGCGGCCTCCGGGGATCAAGATGACACCGCAAGTTCTGCCTGCTGCTTGACATATCTTCGGACTTCTTGACCTTGATCGGGAAGATCGATAGATAGCGAGATCCACCCCCGGTCTCCCATCTGTTGCTCTTGTTAGGTCGTGGCTTGCCTAACAATACGGCTAAGTGGTTTTCGTTCTGAGTCTGCGTGTTTACCTTGATATCCCCAGGACCATCGAAAAGATCTCGATGAACAAGTTCAACCCGAAGAACCAATCGATAGTCTCTCAGGAAACAACACCACCCAGCCAACAACAAGGGTAGGATGTGAGCGGCCGGGGGACCGGTGGTATTGACAGTGAGAAGCAACGCTTCAGCGGCCTCTGCCTGCAGAGAGTGAAACGATAGTCAGCCTTGACTGATGGGAATAAAAGGTCGGGGTTCAGACTTACCATTTCTCCCTGGAGTCTGGACTTCACCTTTAAAACCTTGAGGTCATTCTCGTTCGCAACCCAGATTGGCCTTGTCGTTTCCCGGCTCCCACTCATACCCTGCCTCTCGTCCGTACCCTGATGGATTGGTATCTCAATCGTAGTGAGGAAGTAGATGAGGGCTTCCTCTACCCAGGCGTCTGTCAATTACTTTGACGGTTGCCGTAAGGCCTGGAGGTGCTTGAGCTTGATGACCATCCTTATCGAGGGGACAGGTCCGATCCAAGGCAGCTTAACCCATGCTCCCGGCTCTCCATCATGAGTGCCGCTTGCTGTTGAGCCTCTAGTGCCGTTTGCTGGTAAGCCTGAAACGTATGCGGTTCGGCTCCAAAGGCCACTTGTTGTGGAGCCTGAAGCACCTACAATCTTCCGGCTGATTTGCATCTGCCTCTTCCAGTCTGGTTGAACATGTCCTAGGGGCCGTACCCCGAGCTCCTCCCTCTCTGCCTCCTGCCTTTGCATTTCCCGCTTCATGCTGCAGATGATTGACAATCTGTTGCGGATGAGGCTGTTGGATGTCTAAAACCTCTCCCGCCCGATGCCCGTCGTTCCCAAGTCTTCAACATTTTAGGCTTCTTGCTCCGGTTCAGGTCATTCCCTGTAACCCCCAAACATGTACCATCTATCGTATGTCATACGGTCATTCATTCCACCATCCCAATGATCCAACCGCTCCTGATGTCCTAAGATACTGATTGCCTCGTATTCATCAATAGGCAATTGCTGCCAGATTGACCTGTACTCTTCAATTGGCCCTTGGACCAAGTAGAATTGGACTTTGAGCGCGTCCTTGATGTTATGGTGGGACCGGTAGTCGAATAACTTTTCTTCTGCTCCGGGAACCCTCATAACTTCAAGGTGTGTCATGTATGCACCGAAGTGCTTGCCATTCGAGTCCAGTTCAATTTGGCCTTCCAAACAGAAGTGCCAGAGACAGTCAGAGTCAAGGCAATAGCTCTCTTTAAACAGACGAGGTGAGTCGATTGGTGTTTATTGCCCAACTCTCGGTCGCTCCATATCACGTTCTTTTCTACAGGTACGAGCCCAAGAGCCGCAAGACCATCTCCAATTTTATCAGGCTGGCTCAGGATGTAGAGACGACAACTGTACATGGAGAACAAGGCAAAATTCAACTTTGCCAACGGCTTCTCTGGTTTCCATCCTTGCTGTTGTCATCCTCCTCCATGCTATCATCCTCATCCACCTCGTCTTCCGCCCAACCAACCTCGTCCTGCATCTTGTCGGCCTCTGCCCTCCCATCCTCATCCGCTATCTCGCCATCCACCGCTCCACCCTCCTTGACCCCTGCCCTGCCGTCTTCATCGCCGTCCACCAAACCTATCGCCAGTTCGACACCGCCTACGGCTACCGGCTCTGTGATCGCAACCTTGCCTATCAGCAGTCCGACTCCCGTCACACTTCATCTCCGACTCAATTTCTTAGTAGCATCGTGTCAGTTGATGAAGAGGATCTGGGAACCTTCAGGAAAATCCCCATCGGCAATCTTGAGCTTGAGTGGTCCCTGGATTCGATCCCGATCCCGATCCAGACCCAACAATCCCTGCTTCAACACTCAAACCTGACGCCACGAGAATAGGGAAGAGGTGTATGAGTAGACCGTTGGATGACTATGACATAGATCAATCTACGCGGGCCGGTAGATTCAGACCGTGATCACCATCATAATACCATTCGATGATCCCGATAACCATCCTCAAGCCAGGCCGAACCCCCCCAAGATCTAATTCCTAATCCCAATTCCCCTTCCTCCTACTCTCCTTCTTCCCACCCCTCTTGACCTTCTCCTCCCTCCTCCTCCTTTCTTCCCGCTGTACCAGCCTAGCTACTTTTTCCTTCTGCTCCTCGCTCGTCGGGGTGACGATACAGTTCTCCGCGGAAGAGACGATCAGTTGATAGAGTTTCTCTATGGCTAAGAGTTTGTTTTGGGCGGCTGAGCGGGTTGTTGAGGATGTTAGGAGGATGGAGGGGGGCGACGAGGTGTATTGAGGCTAAAATGTAGAGAAGAAGGTACAAGTGTCAGATGTAACGAACCGCTGATCCGTTGACGGCGGTCTAAGGTGCAAGGAGGAAAGGGCAGGATGGGACTTACCGATGCACGCAAAGGGCTGACGATGAAATCCGGTAACCACTTGTTCCCCGCCGGATCGGGTTTCGGTGGAACGTCCATCCTCAACATCGCCTTTGTACTGAGCTTATTAACATTCTGCCCTCGAACAGACCACGCAAAAGATGGATTGATTCAGCAGGATGCTACGGAGCGACAACCCGTCCCTCCACGAAGCGGACTGACCTGTCCTCCAGGTCCCGAAGACCTAGTCATCTGAATCTCAAAAGCAGTCCTTGGAATCCTGTCCGATCCATCCTGCTTGAACTTTTCGAGCCACCGAGCTGCTTCTCGATGATCTTGGTCGGACGTCAACCGATCGAGGTTCAAGGCGGTGTTGGAGTTGAATCGACGAGCTAGGTGTGGAAGGGAGCCGTATGCATGTCTTGCTTTGATGCCAGCGATCCCTAGACCGGCGAGATTGAGCATGGGATCATGAGAGGGATGCTCTGAACCGTACGATCATTCTGACATGGTCGACGAGCGATATAAGATGAGTTCGATTCGTTGTGTGAGAACTTCGAGATCGTCCAGTCCATACGTCGACGGAGATGACCGAAAAGACAACCAGGGTACTCGTACCGACCGATACAACAGGCTCTGTCATTATAGACGACGAAACTGATGACTATGAGTTGTTGTTGCTGTTGTGGTAACAAGGCGTGCTACAGGTATATACTATACAACAAGGCTTCGTGCCTCGCGCCCATACGTATGTCAGGCGGAATCTCGCACTCCACCGAATCTCCCAACCGTTTCTTGTCTTAGCAGATAAATCTCCCCGAGCGGTATCGTCTTCATCTTCTGTCTCCCTGTCCAGTCGTATTCCGACCGAGTATCACGATGACCTTCCTACGCCTTAGGTGACTGGGAACCAAGCTCATGGACAGAGCCTCTCCCGACCCGCTTCTTAAAACCCATCTACCCATTCCCACCCGCTCCATCTTCCCCCAACCTCGCTCCGGTTCATACCCTCATCCCCTCCCGCTAAACGACATCCCCCAGATCCACCCTCCACCCTCCACCTCATCCCTCTTGACTTCAAGCTCAAGCCCACCTATCCCCCGTCCTCCCCACATTATCCACATCAACCCCAGCCCTATACTGCTTTCCTTTGAAGAACGGTAATCTGAACATGGCGAACTGTTCCTCGGCGGTATAGTTGCCTGTGGTGCCCTTGTTGATATCGTTCCCTGTGGGGGTGGTGTAGACTTTGAAGGGGGAAGAACTCGGGGCCCTATTCAGGCTCGAGTTCGTCGAAGAAAGAGGCAAGGAAGAAGCATTCCCCGGATCGTAATCCGGATCAACGGATCCGAAGAGCGGCGGCATAGCATCCGACGGTCTCGACGTATTGCTCTCTGCAGGCAAGGCGTGTGTCAGGGGAAGGGATTGTGCAGATCGTTTTTCCGCTAATTCTTCTTCGATCGTCTTCATCGTCGCTCTTTGAGAGGCGGGCGGGAGGAGGTCTTCGACATCACCCTATTCGATTAACACACGGAAGGACAATCGCAATTGCGCAAATCAGCATGACATGCATTCCCCGCCGCAAGAACACAATCACATCACACGATCCATTGTGTTGTAGGAGAAGTAGGAGTATTGTCATCAATCTGATTTTACTCACGAAATCTTCCTGCTTGACAGCCTGGATCGAGTAAAAGTACACCCCTCCTATGAACGCTACCACGGCGGCTCCGGTAAATGCGTTCCTGTACAAGAACGGATTCCGGGCTCGGCGAAGCGCTGCCGATGTTTTCTAAGGTGGCAGGTAGGTGGTTGATACGAGCAGAAGTAACAGAGAGTAGTGAAGAGGAGTCGAGAGGAGTAAAGAGGTCAGCCTCGATCGTAAAGTTGACATGAGGGCTGTAGAGTTGAGGTTGTGCTCACGTAACCGTCCGGGTGGTACGAGGCCGCTGCTGATGTTTTCGATGACGCGGGAGTAGACATGGCTTAGATTTGTGTTGGCTAGTGTGCTTTGTTTTTATGATATCAGGGTCTATAGCAAGTAACATCATCATTCAAATCATCGTTCAGATCGTCGAAATCGTCATCGACATCATCGTCGATCATCATCTCAGCTTCATACGCGCGCTTACCGGGGCGTCACGCGCTTCTAGTTGGCAAAGAGGGGCCTCGCCTCGTTTTGGATCTGAAACACCTTCACCTCTCGTCTTCCTTTCAGCTGAATGTCGACATCGAACGCCATCAGGCTACAACAAGGGGTCATCTTCCGACCTCCTTGACAAGCAGGGGAAAGTTTCGGTGCGGTTTCAACTTCCTGGTAGAGTATAAAGTGTGGTCGATCTGTAGGGATATGGTTGTCTTTTGTATATCCCGATTGATTTAGGATCTTCAAACTTCGCTCATCCCCTTCCTTCACCCCCGTCCCTCATCTCCTCCTCACCTCCCGTACTTGAACCTTCCTCTGTCCTCATTTATGACATACTCGGACGCAGCCTTCCTCGGCGCGCCGCTGCCAAACTCGACCGCGCTCAACTCGACCTTGAACTCAAGCTTGAATGCCACCCTCAACGAGTCGAGCAATGCGCTGGACATTCCTCTCTTTGTGGCCACCTGGAACCCTTTCGCGTTGATTTACCACTTGTTAAATCACCCGAAGATCAAGGTCAGTCGGGCTCTTCCTACTCTGACTTGTCGCTATCTACTCCTATACGAGCTTCCCTACCCGCTTACTGTGCTTACCACAACTCACCTCTCAACCCCTCCACTGCGCTCCTAACTCATACGTCTTGACCCCTAGGACTACGTCGGCCTAATAGCCCTCGGTCTCGTCGCCGAATTCACCCGGCGTCTCTCCAAATACCTCTTCCCTTACCTCGAAACTCTTATTTGCGTCAAGGCCACCTCGGCCGCCCTGGACCCTAGTCACGATTACTTGTTGTCTTATTGGATCGCTAGGCCGGAATGGATCGATCATGCTAAGCGATTGTGAGTACACAAGAGAGAGAACAAGATCTGATCACAGGAGGGTTGGATGTGTGGAGGTTAAGAGGGGATGAGGTGACTGAGGTTTGGTTTGGTTTGGATTTGTGTGATATCCTAGCGAGGCGGAGACGTCGAATATCGATGGATCGGCTCGAGCGATGCCATGTAAGCCATGCATGTCTCCAACGCAGAAGTATGGTTGATTGATCGATCTTATCTCTCATTTCAGGGCTACAACACTTTAAGAAGAGAGACGCAAAGGGTAAAGGGAAAGGTAAGTCACCGCCGAATTTGATCGGCTCGATTGAGCCTACCTGTTCGATACACTTTCACGACTCTGATCTCGTTCTACCTTGGGCTTTTACTTGCGTCGATGTCTCTGCGTCTGTACGTACCCCTGGGGATAGGTGCCATCCTGGAGAAACGCGCACCTCCCCAAGTCAGGGCGATGCCCAAGTTAGGCGAGTCTATCAGCTTTTGGTGGAGAAAAAGGCTGGTCAGGCTTTCGAGGGAGAACAGGGATGATGCCAGGCAGGAAGAGTTGACGCAATGGATCACTTGCCGGTGAGTCTTGGTGCGCCCGGCTAGCAGCGCTTGTCATTGATCTTGATCGGTCGACCTAACCCGATCATGTGAATCTATTTCTTCTTGCCAATTCGCGCTTGATCAGGATCTTCGGTGGCGACCTACAGATGTACAAAGACTTCCTGGCGGAATGCAAGCAGGGTTTCCAGGAAGACGATGCCGAACTGCTTCCCATCAAGATGATAGACTCCAAAGACGGTGGCAAATGGACCCAGGTCGCGCTTCGTTCCAAGCGGCCCATCGCCAGTGTCATCACCTCGAACAACATCGCTGAGGACGTTGCCAAGGACATGCGAGAGTTTCTCGATTCTGAGAGTTGGTACACCAACCGAGGTATCCCTTGGCGACGTGGTTACTTGCTCTATGGTAAGCGTCGAGTGTGTTCGTCGTCATTTCATTGCAGAGCGTTGATCGACTGTCCGTCCACCTGCTATCAGGCGCTGCTGGGGCGGGAAAGACCAGTCTCATCCACGCCTGTGCCAGCGCCCTCGATCTCGAAGTCTACTGCATCACCTTGGCCACCGAGGGATTGACCGATGCTATCCTCTTGAAAGCGATGACGCTGATCCCTCCCGGCGGAGTAGTCGTGATGGAAGACGTCGACGTCGCCATTCCCAAGACTTCGAACGAGGGTCTCAACCGGGACGATGCGCCTGTCAAAAAGGAAGAAGAGAACCGCAAGAAAGGAGACCGAGGAAGCTCGGGTGGTCACATTACTCTTTCTGGTAAGTCCGGGCTCCTTGTATCGATCTCGCAATTGAAGTCGCTAAGCTGACACCGCAATTCGCAGGATTGCTAAACGCCATCGACGGTATCTCTGGAAGCGACGGCCGACTGCTCTTCATGACCACGTAGGCGTAACATGCTTCAACAATCTCACAACCCTGCTGATTTATGTCCACCTTTTCGGCTTTCAGCAACAAGAAGGAGATGCTCGACGAGGCTCTCATCCGGCCGGGTCGAGCGGATCTCAGCTTCGAATTCTTCAAGGCCACCTCTGACCAGATCGAGCGCATGTTCAAGGCATTCTTCCCCGTCGACGAGATCATCAAGGCAAACTCGTCTCATGCCGATACCGACTCTGGCGACGAGGAGGATGAAAAGTCAATCTGGACCGACGAGTACATCGAGGAACTCGCCAAGCTGTATTCTGCCAAGGTTCCCAAAGATTTCCTGTCTACCGCCGCCGTTCAAGGTGAGTATAGGCTTTCCCACACATCGCTCAATACGTGTGTCTGATGTTTCGTCCATCGCTCGCAGGTCACCTGATGGTTCACAAAAACTCTCCCCGTACTGCCGTCGGTACCATCGGCGAGTACATCGAGAAGAAACATGCCGAAATCGCCAAGGCCGAAGAAGAAAAGGCCAAAAAGGAGGCCGAGGAAAAGGGGGACGAGACCAAGGAGGACAAGGAAAAGGCAGAGGAAAAGAAAAAAGACGACAGCGAAGATAGGCAGGTCAAGGAAGAGGCCATCAAGCTCGCTGCTGCCGCCATCATCGGGCTCGTCACCAAGGCCCTGGAAAAGCCCGAAGAGACTGAAAAGTCAGAAGAAGAGGCAAAGATCGAGGTCGAAAAGGCCGACGGCAAGCGGGTCGAGGAGGAGCGCAAGGCAGACGATCTCGCAGTAGAGGTCGAGGGATGTTGATGATGCCTTTGTAGGAGAAATAGGTATTGGGGAAGCGTGTCGACACGTACACCTCGCATGACATGTCATCACGATTCTTCGCCGTAATGCTCCTTCATGATCCGTTCCGTGAATTGACCGAACGTCTCGCCGTCCTTGCCGATGACCTCGTCGACGTTCGGCTGCAGGAAGAACGCAAACGTCTCTCTTGACACGTTACCACCCTCCTTACCTGCGGTGACGTAGTGCGGCGTGGCCGCGAGCCTTCCCTCGGTAAGGACTTGCAGTGCTTCCCCTGTTTGGAAGGCTGTGTTCGGACGAAACAGCTATTTCAGCTTGCGTGTGGCTTCTCATAGGTTGTGTGAGCGAGACTGACCTAGGCAATCGGCCGGGATCGAGACCTTGACAGGTTCGGCTCCCTTGCGTCGAGGACAGATCCAGAGACCAGCGTTGGCATCAGGAGGTGGGACGACCTTGGGTTCCCCCACCTCTTCATGTGAGAGGTACATGGCCGAGCCTAACGTCAACCACAGCATCCCATTTACCATCAGTCCCTGTCGCTTTCCACACATCGCATAACATCCAGGTGATGACTCACACAGCCCCGTCAGGATACTATGATCCAAATGCATCCCACACGCATCGTCATCCGCGACAACCTCATCGCCGTTCTTCGTCGACGGCGGGAAATAATGCAAGAGTCTCGCCTTGTTGCATTGCGAGTTGGCGATCAGGTCGGCGATCGAGGCTGTTCTCGAAGAAGCTTGCGAGGAGACTAGGTCACGCCATGTTTCGCTTTTCTCAGTTCGACAGTCCGATGGTACCAGGACGACAGAACAGATCAGGATAAGACTTACCGAAACCTTCGCAAGCCTTGGCGACGAGCTTGCCGACCTCGAAGATGAACCTCCCCAACCTAAGGTCATCCGATAGCGGTTGCAAATCAAATCAGCAACGCTACATACATAACCACTTGACCTGCTCACATATGACACATCATACTCACTCTTTGAAAGCGACCTCGAACCCCTCCAACCCCTCTTCCGTCTTCTCAGGCCATACGTTTTCCCCGTAATACCTGCACATCAAAAACTCCGATCAGTTCTCGATTGCACATCCAGTATGTTTTGGTTTGAAGACCGGGACATACACATGATGTTCCGCCCGTTGTTCTTCGGTCACATCAGGTCGATCTACTAGGGGGTTGGCGTAATAAGAACCTGGTCGTTGCAGAGTGTACGAAAGGGGGGATTTAGCAAGACTATCTTTCTGGTTTGATTCTGGCAGGGTCGGGTATTGGGTTTACCTTTCAAGAGGTCAGGTCGCTATACATATCGTCAATCCATGGGCAGGAGTGGATGGAAAAAGCTGTCAGCCTGGAGGTCTCCTTGAGCGTGGAAGTGGTGGAGACTAGAGTAGCTTTACTTACGCCGTTCATGACCTCCTTGCCGTGGGACCAGCCGAACCTACCAACCGAGACGCCAAGATCGCCGTGTCAGCCATATATAACCACAAGAAACATGATAACGATACACAAGACAGTGTGTATCCGACTGGCTCACATGTACTGTTGCTCCTTCCTAGCGTACTTTTCCCGGACATCCTCCGGCAAACTGGCAAACTTGTCGGCGAGCCGTAAGAGACGTTCCCTCAGAGCCGGGAACTCGGCTGGTAATCCTATGAAACCGAGGAAAAGTCCGCTTCATCCGCATCAACGACCATGACACTTCTATGACGGTCTTATTTTTCGGACTGACCCTTGATGATGATGGCACCGAGCGCATCGTTGCCGTTCCCGAAAGCTGCCTTGAAGTCGGCTTCGAGCGATGCGGGGTCGCTCTTGAGCGCGTTATAGTCGATCGTGACGGCGGAGGACATGTTCGATGCAGGGCAGGTCGAGCGTAGCAGTCTGCTTTTGTATGGCAAAGCAGTAAGATGACAGTTGCACAGTTAATATGCCTAAACGACCGGTGAGGTATAACATCGAGTTCAGGCTCGAGCCACATTCCGATGTTGTCGGCGTTGTTACCCGGCCCGGGCGAGTTGCGAGAGACTCGGCCGACTCGGGGTTGACCGAGATGGAATCATGCACACCACCAACAGCCTGTGCCAGGACCCTGCCAGCCAAAGGCTAAAGGCAAGAGGTACCTGAGCCATGAGAGCTATAATCATGCAATCATCAGAGTAAATTCCATCCTTTGACACCAAGACACCACCTTTTAAACGCGAATTGACCGGCAAATCCCTTCCAAAAAGACTGACAAACAAGCAGGCAAGACCAGCAACCTATACATAAGCTAAAATGCAGTGAAAGACAGCAAAAAGGCAAGCCCATTGTGGGGATCGAACCCACGACCTGTATCTTAAAATGGCGGCTTGCCGCCCAGATAGGGCTGCCGGGACGGCACCGCGCTAGCGGGCCCTGTCAAGTAGCTTCCGCGCGCGTCCGCGCGGTCCAGTAGCTTCCGCGCCCGCACGGGCGCGGTTAGAGTATTTCCCGCGCCCACGGGGGCGCGGCCTGCGCCGAGCAAGCAATAGCCGATACGTCATTTTCGAGTCGACACGAAAATGACGTATCGGCGTTTAGTAGTGTAGGCAAACCTAGTCGCCGACTACTAGTCGCGCGATTAGTCGCGACTGATTCTCCGTCCGCGGTGCGTGTTTTGGTCGCGTCGGCTAGTCGCGCGTCGTCTAGTCGCCTCTAGTCGCCGACTAGTCGGTCGGTCACGTGACAGTCGACACGAAAATGACGTATCGGCATTCAGGCGACGTGCACCTGCACCGGATGATTATTTCCAGCGCGCTAAAGTTGTTTTTAGCGCGCTGAAAATAATCATCCGGTGCGCGTCGCCGATGACGATTGTTTGTGACCCAAAGAAAATTGGGTCACAAAAAAACGTCATCGGAAATTCCAACGGGGGTGCGGGGACTGTGCGCTCACGCGTCGAGATCACAAGGCTGGGCCCCTCGGAAAGTGGCTCGACGCGTGAGCGACCCAGGCCTCCTTTCGAACGAGATCCATCACGATATCAAGGTCATATCCATTTGCCATTTGAGATCTCGAGAGGCCGAGAGGCGAGAGGACGTGAGGACCTGCGTGGCAGACGTGCAGGAGACGACACTCGAATCGAAATCACGAGCTCACGATCACGAAATGTCCGATAGCGAGGACGAGTTCGAAGCTATATTTGCAGATGATGGTGGTGCCTCCCACTTCAGCGGAATCACCATCGAACACAAGAAGGCGAAACGGTTGACATATGACGATATCGTGGTGCAAGCGAAAGGAGATCCTGCCAACTGGTTTCGCAGCTTCTGGCAGACTGAGGTGAGTCGGACTTGACTTCGTCTCCGTTCTTGGCAGTTGCTCCTTTCCCAGATTGGCACAAGCTGACTCTCTCTACTCACGATTGCGACTATAATGCAACAATCTGATACCGTAAAATACAGGTGAACAACACCATCGTCTGGCCTGTTTCACCACAACGACAGGACCGATTGGCTGCTCTCTGCAAGAATCTCACTGATTTCCATGCCACCGCTTACCCTCAACTGGTCGACAAGGTATTCTCGTCACGTTCTCGCCTACCTACCCTCGACTCGTACTGACCGAGTTTCCTCATAGGTTCTCAATACCGACACAAAACCGTCGCTCGTCGAACGGCTCGTCCACTTCATGGTAGCGACGGTCGTTAAATCAGGCCGCAAGAAGAAGCCAGAGGAGCTCGAACGATCCTCGGTTCAACAACAGGACGACGATGATGATGTTGATGATGAAGAAGCCGCCGGGAACGATTCCCAAGTAGATCTGCCCACGACATACGCCTATGACCCTACTCTCCAGTATATGAAATACTCTTCGTACGTATCGGTTCAGTCGTCATGAATAGGGCAGGGTTGAAATCTGAAGAATTTGCTCTGCCCGCAGCCTTACGACCATCCGATGGGACCTCCTTTGCCTCGTCAAATATTCAGCAACTCCCCGTTTGACGTCTTCGGCCAAGCTTCAAACGGATCTCTATGACGCGGCTGTCAAGATCAAGGTTCGCTGGCACCTGAGAAGGAAAACCGCCAAGTCACTACTTCTCGGCAGGCATGAGATCCGGTTATTGATCGAGGATATGGTAGCGCACGGTGATCATCCTGGTGAGTTGTGTCGATGAAGCCGATGATATTCTAGACGGTCACCACAGCCTATCATGTGGAACCCTGGCTGACATGTCCCATCCTCGCGTGCGTTTGCCAGACCTTCTCTGTCAGGACCAGCTCCTTTACCTCATCTACCACTATACAATGGCCCGGCCGGGTTCGCTCCTCACCACTCGGTCGTACCCAAGCAACTACATACGCTGGCGTGATATCGAAGTCTACAGACGTCTTTCGAAGACAGAGGGAGGAGCAGAGGGAGAGGGACTTACTGCGTTCCTGGGTGAGTTTCCTTTTTGTGAATGCGGCACGCGATCTTGCCCTTACACAAGAACAATCAACCTTTCTTTTCCTGTTCAGGTTGGGACGTCGTTGTAACCCTTTGTCACCTCAAAGGTCATCAGTTTGTGGACGACTTGAATTTGAGGATGTCGTACCGACCTACCGGAGAAGTCCTCACCGATCTCGGTGTTGCCGTCCTCTCGCACGCCTATAGAAGCGGTCAAATAGACGACCTGGAAAGTTTGCTCGCATCGCCCGCGGATCAAGCAAATTCCCCCCTGAAACTCACTTGGAAGAATCCAGACGAACCGGTCTTCCTTGCTCGGAAGAGTCGAGCAGGCTTGAACATCGAGAGCATTGCGTTGAGCGATCACGCGGCACGTGTACGGTTGATCCAACAATGCGTTCGAGCTGGGTTGGTTGCCAAAGGAGAGGTAGGTCGGCTCGTGTTGTTCCTGGCCAACTTTGATACTGATCTTTGACTCGGCAGAGAATCACTTCTTATGGGTTCCGCAAGTCCACTGCCACCGAGTTGTCGACTTGTAAATATATAGGCAGTGATCAGACCCGTCGGGCGATGGGGCATGGAACCCTCACAGACACTCTGGAACGTATCTATGATCAATCGCTTGAAACGCGAGATTTCGCTGGGGCGATAGTTGGCGAAGAAGCTCTGGAAATGGGCATCTACAGGTACAGTCATACTCGGACGCAATGGCGAGCTTGGTAAATTGCTGACAGCGTATCCTGGCACCGCGCGGATCTCACTATGCAGTGCTCCTTACATCTCTGCCGGGTTCAAAGTCGCTTCTCTATCCGACATCATCAAACTGGACCCACAGTGCATCAACTTGGGGAAGTGAGTATCTGTTGTTAAACGTCGGTTATGATTTGGCCGAGAGGCTGAATTGTTGGAGACAACAGGTACATAGCTGCTTGCAAACACGCGCTTGCTACTGGTGATATCAAACCGTTAAAGGCCCTGCCGATGTACAAGGATGGACGATCCTTCGATCCAGCTCACGAGTTAGCCTCGTTTGCGACTACTCTCAAAGCAAGGATTTCGGATCTCCAAAGGAATCCACCTATCGACACGGAAACGATGAAAACCTGGGCAGAACATCGGGACATTTACGAGAAATTCAGGAAGCCGTCTCCTGTTCCAGAGCGACTGGCAAAGAAGTGAGTTACGATAGTGATTACTATCGCGAAAGTTTGCTAACCTAGTCGTTCAGGCTGAAACAGCATGAAGACCAAATGATCAAAGATCGCACACGTCAAGGGGTCAGGCACTTGCCCACCATCATCACCATCGAGATGGAAATCCCAGGAGAGGAAGAGGAAGTGGAAGAGGGAGAGGTTGTGCAGGAGACCGATGCCGATGGTGACACCCAGGTAAGGGCGGAATTTATCCGTCGGCACACAACGAAGGAAATGCTAACATCAATGGCATTCATCAGGGACCTGTGAGCGCAGGCGAGAACCTTGTAGGAGAGGTCGGTGCAAAGAACACGTCTAAGATCTCTACTTCCGGGAAATCCTCGACCGGGGATATTCGTGTCGATGGCAAGGCGGACACCGTGGCGATTACTGCGCTCAAAGCCCTCTCGCGTAACACCGAAGCGAAGTTGGTCGAGGTGTTACCGGAGAAGCTGATGATGTTAAAAGGACTGGCTACCATGCCCACAAAGATCTTGGACGAGACATGCCCCCGCTGCATGGAGGAGGAAAACATCAGTCAAGAAATGAGGGAAAAGCTTTACAACAACAAGGCCCTCCGCAAGCACATCGTCGAGACGGCCTTCCACACCCCTGGGTCCAGGTATTGGCGATGGTTGGAAGCGAACTACCCCGAGGCTATAAGAGCAGACGGAGCGGGAAAGACGAAGGTCAGATGTCCATTCTGCGCAAAGGGAAGCAAGCTCCTCAAGCCCGGTGAAATGGAGGAGCACGTCGCGACGCGTCATTATGAGACAATTCCGCATGAGCATGAACTCTTCTTCAAGGTAAGCCTTCATTCGTCCAGATGACTTGCTGGGGATAGTGATCCTGATCGATCCCTCATCAACAGATGAAGTACTTTGCCTATCAGCCTACGAGGGCCGAGAGGCAAGTCCTGGGACGCGACGCTTACAAACCCAGGGGTGGGCAGGTGCAGCGCGACCTTCGCGAGGACACCTCTTTGGAGGTCGATTACGGCACGTCGGTGTTGAAGCGATTTGTCAAGGACGAGGCTGAAGACGGTAATAGGGAAGCCATGGAGTATAAGCTGGAAGCGAGTGCCAATCGCAGGGGAGCGGGATGGGTCGGTCAAATTGACTCGTGGTGGTAGCCGTATCACATTTTATGTCTTTCTCCGGGCTCTTTTATGTCTGCTTTATATCATACCCATATACCCATATCTGCGTGCTCGCGGACTTGATCATGTCGCAGATCGCAGAACTGCCGGCATCGCCCGTTCGACATGGAATTTGCAAAGACATGGACGACGTGATGATGTCCCGGTGTACAATATACAAGTGCGTAATGGTATGCTCTTTCTGGGCGGGACGACATGCTGGGATAATCTCCCGGTGTACAACTGCGTAGGTTTTTGTTTCCCCGGATTTAAAACTTGGTGCTAGGTAGTGCCGGCTACTACCCTAAAACTTCTCCAACGACTTGCCCGATAACTCGACCCGACTTGAGTCACGGGACTTGACCTATTATGAGCGGATTGAGATCAGTCAGGAGACTCTTGAAGGTCAGGAGACTCTTGAAGGCGATCACACTACACTCACCCCGATCATGTTCAACGTCTGATATATCCTAAGACTTCTCCAACGTTAACAACTTCGTCAACAACGCGACCTGATTCGGTTTCGATTGATCTGTTATGAGACGGATTGCGACAGACAAATCACTTCCGGTCAGGCAAATCACTTCCGGGCAGACAAATCACTACAAGCTCAACTCGACTCACTTTCGATCATGTCCAGCAACCTTGACCTATTCGTTCGCGGCCTCTCTCTTTCAGCACTAAATCTCTTGGCAATCGCATACTGGTCATCTCACCTGTTCGCAGCCTCTGTCTTTCGGCATTCAATTTCTTGCAGTCGCATAGCAGTCATCTCTGGGGTATAGAGCTTCTCAAGCACGGCAACCTGTTTGTCAGCCTGGTACCCGGACGTGCGAAAAGTCACCACTGAAAAGTCAGCACTTCATTCAATCCCACACTGACATTCTCAATCGAGTGGCATTCTCGATCGACCCTTACCGTTTTGATCCAGAGCTCGGTGTTCCTCAGCGTAGCACCGGCAAACGCCCTCTCCACCATACCCTGGGTCCAGTTCAGTTCGCATTCGTTCAAGCTCCCGCCCGTACCAAGCAGCCTCAGATCCGTCAACCTGATCGCAGACTGCTCCTCGGGGGTGAGTTCAGCTTTCTTCTGAGTCTTTGCCTTCTCGTCCTTTTTCTTCTTGGCTTCGGCTTTCTTTTTCTCCTTTTCCGCATCGGCATCATCACTGTATTGAATGTGTCAACGACCCTGAACTGGAAGAGACTAGCGGGACGAGACCTACTCTTCGTAATCCTGATCGTCATCCTGAACCTGCTTCCTGGTCGTCACCGACCTCCTCGCTCGCTTATTGGCCTCGTCTTGCTCCCTATCAGCAGCCCTCCTTCTGGCTCCAGCAGCAATAGCAGTATTCGCGAGCTCGGCGGTAGATCCGTTGCGGTTCGAGACGTCAAAATCGTCGACCATGGTAACATCTTCTTCCAAAGCGTTCCTTGTACTTCCGCTGGCACGGCCGCTCATGTTTGATGACTTTGAGCAAGGATATTAAGCGATCAATCGCTAAACATCGATCGTTTCATACGTTTCATACTCACATCCAGTTCGGTAGATGACTTCGAGCAAGGATATTAAGTGATCAATCGCTAAACATCGATCGTTTCATACGTTTCATACTCACATCCAGTACGGTATCGATCTCGTCTTTTTGATGTGTTGACAATCCTTGGTCGAGTCAGTGATCAGTGATCAGTGATCGGTGATGTGGTGTGATCCTGAGAGCCAGTGCGGTTTGTATAAAATCGGTCGAGGTCGAGGTTGAGGTTGCTCGATGTGATGATTGGTGTTGAACACTACATGTTGATATCAATCATGACATGTCGATTTGATGATGATTCGACTTTTATTGATGGCCATCAGTGGCGAGCGATGCCTGCCAGACCTCGCTCACACATCGAACACTCGCTCACAAGCTAGGAATCTCGCTTCGACGACTTCAAAGGTGGTTCAAGTAGTGTTTTAGCACCTCCTACCGGAAGCAGTTGAACCGGAAGCAGATAGCGACCCCCTGTCGAGCGTAGGCATATGACCTCGGCGCTCTATCGGTTCGCTAGCTATCAATAATAGATCGGTCAATCTTTGTATCTGCAGCCAGCGATTCAACGACTCAAATATAGCACATAAGTAGGACACAGTATCTAGTCTGTACGCTGAGGACTCGAGACCCGGTGTGATCTCTTGTGGTCGGCCCCGTTCTCGGTTGACAGCATGACCCCGTCGACGAGGTGGGTGAGTTTGACGAGAATGACATTTCAGGTGCACCGTGGACGTCTCCGATCTGACGTACTTTCTACCCCTTCGTAGAGCCCTCTGGTCATCGCCATCATCGTCAGAGCAGCGTCCCTCTTCTACCTGCTGGTCGTCCATCCCTTGACAGTATCTCCCCAAGGTGCATTCGACACATCCACATCGATCCTACTCGCACTCTCCCCTACCGGAACGTCAGACACCTCGGACAAGCTCGCTAAAGCTCTCGAACCGTTTGTGAAATGGGACAACCTCTACTTTGCCCAGATCGCCGTCCGGGGGTATCAACATGAACAAGAACTGGCGTTCATGCCCATCTGGCCGCTGGTCATGCGGTGGAGCGGGATGGCCGTTCAGAAACTCAGGCTCCTACTAGCTGTAGGCTCATCAACGCAATATGGATCATCGCAAACCGGTGCATTACTGGGGATCAACGATGTCGTATTGGGAGGGGTCATTGTTACCAATATCGTGAGCGTCCTGAACGTGGTCGCCTTTCAGAAGTAGGTCAATCTCAGATCGGTACGTCCCTTGACGGTCTCTTACGAAACAATATCACTAACCCAATCCTTACCACAGGCTCACGTACCGGATCACCAAGAACCACCGCTACACCACCCTCTGCGCCATCCTCTACGCCCTCCACCCAGCTCCTGCTATCAGCTCGGTCCCATACACCGAACCGTTTTATACGCTGTGCACGTTTCTGGGGAGTCGGTTGGTCCTCCTCACATCCGGCTCGAACTCAAGCTCGTCCCCGAACTCGTCGGATCTTGGGCACCTCGATGGGCCCACCTTCACCTCTGGTGTAAATCTGAGATCGAGGTTGAAGCGAGGCCGATACGGGCCCACCATCACACGTCGAAGGACCAAGCACCTCCTCCTCCGAACGCTAGGAATCACCTGTCTAATGCTCTCCAGCGGTACCCGAAGCTTAGGGGTCCTAAACAGTGTGCTCATCGTCTGGCCACTCCTAGTACGGTTATATGAATACCGTCTTCGGAGGGGTATTTTCGTGAGTTCTCTTCTGCATACAGCTTGTAGTATGAAGCATGAAAATCGGATCAGATTGAAGCTGATCAACCCCAATCCGACTCGTAACTATGATTTTGTGCATCTACAGACCACGCTCCGCCTAGCTCTCTGGGCAGGGATCGAATGCATACTGGTCGGCTCGCCCTTTGCGGCGTTGCAGTATTACGCCTATCGAGCGTTTTGCACGCCTTTCACAACCAGCCAGATGTTGGGACATCTACACGGAGATGGAAAGCGAAATCCAAGTTCAGATCTGAATTCAAATCTGATGCTGGCGAGGCGACCGTGGTGCGAAAAGAGAATACCTTTGGCGTACAATTACGTCCAGGAGCATTATTGGTCAGTCCGGTCTCTTCCCACCCCGGCCGAATCGGAAGCATGCTTTTTCCCGTACTGAGGCTCTTTCATTATCTTGTAATTCGAATACAACACGAAATAGGGACGTCGGGTTCTTACGATATTGGACTCCAGCGCAGTTACCTAATTTCGTATTGGTCGTTCCGATCTTGGTAGCGTCCATCTACGGGATCTACCGGTACTGGCAGTTGGTCTTCCGTCGATTTACACGCTCGAAGACAACCACGACAGTCTCCAGCTCCTCACAGTCCCGCCCAGCCTCATCAAGATCGAGATCAAGATCAAAGTCAGACATAGACCTGGACCTGGACTTGGACTTGCAACTCCGCCAGACACTTTGGGAGAACCCCCAAACCGCCCCCTTTTTCCTGATTCACACCCTCACGACCCTGATCTTGGTATTCGCTTCGCACACCCAGATCGCGTTACGGGTGTCGATGGGGAATCCGGTCTTGTTCTGGATCGTCGGGGCGTTCGTCTCCAGTTCAAGTTCAAATTCTAGTCGCAAGTACAGAAGAGGAGGTGGAGGAGGTGGAGGAGGTGGAGGAAGAGGTCGGACGGCCAGATGGGCTCGACGAGGGATCGTATGGAGCTGTACATGGGGAGCCGTCAGCTTGGTCCTCTGGGCGGGGTTTTATCCTCCTGCTTGACCGCTGTATGGTCTAGCAGATTCGATGCATAGATGGATTGATAGATGAATGGACAGATAGTTACTCTTTGATCACGTGACTCTACCCTTGCTACTCGTCTCTCGTCTCTCGTTGACGCGTCATTTGGCCCGGGACCTCCTCGATAGACCAGATCACTTTGACACTTTACAACATCATACAGACCTTTACAACCTCTTCATCCTGCCCGATCACTCGACAACAACATCGCTCCGAAGAGCGGTTCAAGCTAGCAATATGACTCTCCTCCACCTGCTATCCTACGTCGGTAGCGTGGTCGCTTTCCTGTTCGTCACGCTATCACTAGGTGAGTCAATCGAGCGTCATCTGAACAACCTGAACAAACCCAGGTAACAGTGATACTGAAAAGCTATTCGACTGTGACATACGATATGTACAGCGAGCGGTCTGTTATGGCTGGCCGAGCTGATAGAAGAACACTCGAAGACGGCGAAAGCGATTGGGATGCGGACGGTCTACGTGAGTCTGAATCAGAAAGAGGTGGACCCAGCCCGAACCGCGAACACAGTCTCAACTCTACTTTCTTCTTGTTGGCCTCGCATCCTGCAGGGCATCATGGCAGTCCATGTCCTCCTATTCATCTTCGACCACCTCCCCTTCACCCTCATCGCCTTCTCCCTCGCCGCCCACGCCGTCTACCTAACAAACTTCACCCCCCAATGGCCCTTCATCTCCCTAACCTCCCCGCGGTTCCTCTTGTCCTGCGTGATGGTCGTCGCAGACCACTTCCTCTGGTTCTTCCATTTCGCGGAAAAAGCACAAGAGGCGAAAGCCAAGAGACAGCCTAGGTATAGGTACGGAGCCAAGGCTACAACGACGAAAGGGTCGGAGGATGCGCCTAGTTTTATGGACGTGGCGGCCTTTTTCGCGATCTGTGTTTGGTTGGTGCCGTTGTTCTTGTTCTTGAGCTTGAGCGCGAATGATAATGTCTTGCCCTCGCAAGGTGAGTCCAGAAAATCTCATTGTCTGTCCTATGTCGATGTTCCAGAAGAAGCTGATTCGTTGGCGAATGTGACGTGATGACCTGCTCGCAGATACGATCCCCGGCACGCCCTCCTCCATACCTGGCCAACTCGACCTCGGAACCCCCAAAGAATTCCCCCATCCCACCTCCAAATCGTTCACATACACCGTCCCCCGAACATCCCTAGTCAAGTCCATCCTGGCCCCCTTACTCTCCCTCTTACCCAGGATCGGGACCAGGACCAAACGTAACGACGAGGGTATCATCGCTCCTCGAACACCTATCCGGGGCTCTCCAATGCCTTCCCCGATCATCCAACCTCAAGGGTATTCACCCTGGGGCGCTGTACCGGACTCTCTCGGCCTAGGAGGATCATCGAACACATCGACATTAACCCCCGGAGGAGGAGGTGTTGGAGGGTCGTCTTCATCTTTATCCCCGCAGTCCGGGTTTCAGAACTCGGTCTCTAACCGAGCTATGCTCTCGCCATTGAAGATGAACGCGCCTCCTCCTCGACGGACGGCTAGCGAGGTGAACGTGAGCGGGTCTACGGGGAGCAGCGTGATGCCTCGACGGAGCGTCAGTCCAGGAGGGGTTTCGATGTCGCTCAGTCCGGATCATTCGGCTTCTTTGGCATCACATTCATCACATTACGGGAACTCGAATGTGAACGCCAATGGGATTGGGAACTCGAATGGGAATGGGATGACGACGACGTATATGAGCGAAGAGCCCGGATCGATGTCCACAGGTCGGTCCGTGTCACCCGGTCCTGTTATGATGATGGCGGGTAGTAATCCTAGTGGGGCGGGGTTGACGGCGAGAAGAGCTGGGAGGAAGGACGATTGATGATCGACGATACATCATCTCCGGAAATACGGGACGATCGCGCATACAAATGTCCGAAAGAGCCTCTTGTCTACGGAGATGAAGATGAAGATGAAGATGAAGAAGATCGAAGGTACCGATACTGAGCAGAGCAAAAGGTGCATAATAATATATCTACCAGGCAAGCGGGCGACGAGAGTGAGAGGGTCTCTGCTTGATCGAACTTAATATGTATCAAATTGGAAATGAGCATGGCATTACATGTGTTTTTAGCGGGATGTGATTTGTGTCCTCGGTCGGCGTAACTGAGTCGCACCAGAAACATGCGGTTCAGATCCCTATTTTTTGCTAACGAAGTCGAGGTCAGGGACGATTCCGCTTGCCGAGGTCAGAATCCAGTCGTTTCGTGGCTTGTTCCGAGAGTTTGTTGCCAATACAGGGCTGCTACCTCAAGCTCATCTCGTATATGTCAGATCGAACGTTGAATTGACAGTTCCGCCACGGAAACGACTATTTGAACAACTCCCATCGTTACCATTCTACCGATCATCATGACTGTCAAACAAAGTACAAATCACCACCATGTAGAATCCTATCCATCCCTGGCCTCAGTCTCGCGACGGCTGTGGCAGACGCCGGTCCCGATCTAAGGTCTTGCTCATCCCTGCGGACCATTTTTCTCGGCCCTTACCTGGTCTCTCAGGACTTGCACGTAACGCACCGCATAGACAATTTTCGCGAGCATTTCGTTCCGGCCTCTACCTGGACGCATCTGCGACGACCAGAAGTCATACTGCTCGTCCCACAGCTCCTCTATGATCTCGTCCCAATTTTCCTGCCAATCGATACATGACTCAAACTTGTTGTTGACCTCTCTGAAGATTCCCTAACGCTTGCCGGCGGGAGTCTCCTCCACTTGGAACTCAAAGTCACTATGCTTTTTCCAGTAGTCTCCGCAGCCCATGCCCAGGATACGTCCAGCTTCTTGTAAAGACATCGGCTTGCGCGAGAGCGCCTTCCACATGCGCGCAACCCTTGCATTGTCATACTTAGGCTGAGTATGCTGGGAGGAACCACCTGCGGAACCTGTGTGGACACTGTTGCTGGGTTCCTTCCCAGCGGTCGAATCTGGTCTAGTTCCGTCTGTCTCGAACGTTTGAGCAGGTTGGTTGGTGGATGCTGGCGGCGACGGCATTGAGGAAGAGTGTGAGCTGAGGTTGTGAGATCTGTTGAACGGGGATGACCGGTTGTGTATACTGATATATCTCCCCTGGTCCTCGATTGAGAAACAGAACGACACGCCTGCCCCATATATAATGATCTGCTTACTGTCATTGTGCATCGAAACGGAAGGAGGTAATCATCAAAGGAAAATATGCTGAGAAGGTTGAAGTGGTAGAATGAGATAGAGGGAGCTGGAGAGGGCTCGAGGGAGCTTGAGGGAGCTGGAGGACGCTCAAGATACTAACGATATCGATAATCAAAGGATCGCAACAGCATGATCACCTGATCTGCCTGTTCCAGAAGCCAGAGTGCCGGGCTCGGCAGGCTTGTTTGAGTTACGGGACGCAGCGTTGTGGAACCCGAAAAGGCCTCATCAGTAACTCCTAAATCGACGGGCATGTTTGCGACCACAGACTGGAGCCTCTATGATCGCTTGGAAATGGAGCTGTTGATATCAAAGTTGATATTTCAGTCGTAACGCCATTGGTGGCGTAAGGTGCGGCTTTCCCAGCGCAACCGCTGTAAGCGCATTCCGCGAGTTTCCGGATTTTCACTCTTGGAAGTGCGACCACACTGATCTGTATATCCTTCCTGTACGTTTCTTAGGAAAGTATATGATCTGTTGGAACTGAGTGTGGACAACATTGCAGTGAAGTGGTCTATGCGGATCGAGCGCCGATGCAGGTGCAGCTTCAATTTCGTGATGACAGTCGACGAGTGTTTCTGACACATTCTCCCGCATCTGATTTACGGGTCAGGTCAGGCCTCAAGGTCAGGATTGGGCCCCTTACATGACAAAGTCACTCCACGGCTCACCTTGACATTCGCTTCGACACTGGCCTTTGTAGCCAGCTCTTCAAGGTCATCCTGTTTAGGTCTGACCCATCAGAGATGGTCTCAATAACAGAGAAAGCCGTCAAGTTGCGACTTGCCTTTGTCGCCAGGTCTTTGATCAAGTGGGCTAGCCGAGTGAGGGTGGTGTTGAGCTGATTGAACTCGGCTCGAGTTGGACCTCTTGCTGCGAGCCATATTTTTCGCCAGGTCATCATATGTAGGAGGAGCGGGTCTGGCAGATTCAGCCATGATATCTGTTGGCAGCCGTGCCTGGCAGTTACAAAGGAGCAAGCAATTACTCGCATGCCGCAAGAGGATCATGAACGCCGTTAACCTCTACATATGCCTCTGGACATGCTCCACCACCGGGCATGTTCGACAATGAACCGATAACCCCTGACCGCAACTGCTCACTGCTCAAGACTTACAGTACTGCCACCAATAATCACCAAGCTCAACAACAATCCGAGACCCGCAGAGACAATATGCCTCTGCTCCATCGCGAGATCTCTGCAGGGGATATGCACTAGGATCCAAGAGAAGCCGACATAAACCAGAGGTGGATCTGCTGGGATTGCGTGACCATACAAACCTGTCAGACCAACTCTACTGAGACACTTGAATCTGACATTTACCAAGCGATAAGAGCCAAACACTGGAAGACAATTGCTGTATTGGAGAACATCCCGGCCCCTTATTTTGCGGTCATGAAAAATGTCTGCAAGATCGACGCAGGACAGTGTCTCACGCTTGACGAAGCTTGGGCCTTGTCTCTGCAACCGCTCTCGGTTGTCTTGACCATCTTCACCACCTATGCCTAACATAGCTTCAAGACTATGGACAGTCAAATCTACGAGTACGTTCGGCACGTAGTAGAGCCCGGCGCTCCATCCGGCAAGAAGGGCACAGTGAGATTTACAAAACGAAGATTCATGTCGATATGCGATGCAACGATGCTAACAATGTGCTAATGGTACAACCAATCCCAACCAAGAGAAACTCACCTCCCTACACTCTGTCCATAACCCCCCGCGCCGCTACAACTTCCATCGTCTTCCCAACCAGACCATCCCGACCGCCGCCAACAAGCACGAGACCGTCGATACCCAGAAGGTCAACTCGAAGCACGTCGTCCCCTGACACCGCGGTCGACCGTCGTCATCGTCCTCTCCCGTGCCAGCGCCAGGCGTGCGATGTCGGGACTGATGGCCGCCTTGGTATTCGGAGATGAAGGCGTAAAAGTACTGCGAGGTTCGAGGTCGGGTTGTCAGCTCGAGGTGGATCGCGGCTGATTCATCTTGAAAACATTGGACTTACGGAGAAAAAGATGGCTCCCGCAGCGACAAAGTACTATTTCGCAAGCGCACAACAAAATCAGCATCAGCTTCAAATATCATGCAAGTAGGGGTGGACAAACATCGACAACTCACCGAGACCATACCCCAAGCCAACCCAAAATGACCCGGTCCAAAGTGTCTCGACGTGACCGCCGGCCTGTTACAAACAATCAAACGGTCCAGCGCTTCCATAACATTCCAGACTCTGGGACGAATCACGAAGCCTGCAAAAACTCACGTGATGGTAAACACCGCCCCATACATCCCCCCTACCCCAATACTGAGCAGATCCAACCCCTTGACAGACCGGACTCCCAATGCGCCCCAGAGTAACGCTCCGGAGAGAACGACGAGACACCCTGCGGCCAAGACCGACCGATCGATCGTCCGACGTCGGCTCCCGGGCTGGGGCGAGACGGGCGAGAGGTAATCCACAAGTACGCCCGTGACGAGCCTCGCCACCGTCGAGGAGACCGAGAGCAAGAGGACGAGGTGAGACCTCAACGCGAGGGAATTATCGGCATCGTCATGATCCGTGGACAATGAGTTGGCGATCGAGCCAATGTTGGACAAGACCATCTCGGCCGGACCCATCCCGAGGAGCATGACCGTCCCAAACGCCCACAACCCGCGGTCCATCCCGAGGCTCTTGAAATCCCAATCGACCTGTCCTTCGGGGATCGACTTGGCCTCGAGGTCGACGTTCACATTATCCGCTTCTGTTACTCCACCACGCAACGTCGGCGGTCGACTAGCCAACCTCGCTCTGACGGAAGCCGTCTCCTCGACGACCGAGGCGTACAGCGCTTCGGGCCCACCGATGAGCAAAGGCGTGTGTTCGTTCGGATCGACGATCTTGACGGACGAAGCGATCGACGCCACACGGGGGTTCGGAGCGGACAGTCTGCCTACGGAGAGGTGTTGTTGAGCGCGACGTCGGCCGTGGTCCTCTAGCTCGCGGTGCAGCGAGGCCGAAAGGTCAGGACCAGGACCCCCCGAGGTGGAATCCGCAAACGCGACCTCGCCGGCGTCTTCATCAAAGTCATCATCTGCCGGACTCAACAACGGCTCCCTCTCAGCCTCGGTATCCTGGACCTGCGTCGGGTCGTCCGGGTACGTCTCCACAGCCGCTGACGAGACGAACAACCAGATCGCCGCAAACACGTTGATGCACGGAACGAGCACCCCCAAAAACCTTGTCAACCGGATCGGATCGAGTTGACTCGAACGGTCCAAGAAGAACCTCGACCGGGCGATACTGCTCAGTGTCAAGCTGCTCAGTCCGTAACAACTCAGCGGCAAACTGAGCGCCAGGGTGGGGTATCGAGGAAATTGGAGGGCGGCGGTGGTCAAGCTGGAAAAGTAGGCTCCGATGGCAGCTCCTCCCAGGCAAAAGTAGGAGAGCGCTAGGAGGAACGGGAGTGGGGATGAACCGCCTGACGTGTTGTCCGAGCCCAAGTATGGGTCCGAGTAGGGATCCGGATCCCGGTCATCGAATGCGACCTCGAACCGGTCCTTGTAAGTCAAGATCAGGGCGAACGATTGATACCCCACAAACGACAATACGGCGGATAAAAGCGACGCCCTGTAAGGCGACCTCCCCGCAATAACCATCATCATTAGCACTCCTCTCCTTCCCACACTGTACTGTACACCTTTTCAAACGCTGAGACTCACGCCCTAGGCCCCTTCTTATCAGAAAACCTCCCCAAAGGCGCCGCTCCCAAATAAGTCCCCAACACGCCTCCTAACGCGATCGTCGACCCTTGGGTGACGGAGAGTCCGAGACGCTCGATGACGATCGGTCCGTAGGTCGGCCATACGTACGGTCCGTTTGCCGTTAATGCGTTGAGAGCTGGTCAGGGAGAAAATTGTTGGTGTCGTTGTTGTTACCGTGACATGTTTCATATAATCGATTCAAGATGATGAAACAGAGAGTTGTAAAGAAAATGAAATCAGCTGGATCTTCACCAATCTCGAGGTACACTGAGGACACGTCGGAGCTGACCGATGGATAGGCAAGTCAACGGCAAAGTGACGGAAGCCGGGTAATGGTGGACGTGCGTGATCCTCTTCCATACGGATCGGTTCGGTGCGATTCTTGAGGGTGGGGGGAGTGCCATGAGGGAGTCTAACCCTCGATATGTATCGTAATGTGATGTAAGAACAAGGCGATAATGCCGTTGTTAGCATATTATGCTCGCCCGCGGACACGAGCGAGATATCCAGGGATGGTCCCGTGAGCTCACCTCGATCGTCCGCAAAAGTCAACGTCGGCCTGACGAGTTCTTCCTGACTGAACCCGGACGCTCTCGAAGAGATGGAGATGGATCGGGTCCGTCCGTGTACGTGGAGTTGTCCTGGTCGATGATGGCTAGGCAGGACGTCACGGGACGATGAGCCTTGACGACGAGTTGGTGATGCTGATGTCACCGGCGAAGGGGACGAGGAGGACGAGCTGGATGGGGGCGGTAGTTGGCGGATAGCCCTGTCTATGTTCGAGTCGCTCGCCATCGTGGCATAGCCAGTCCTCTGATGTTGCCTGTGTGCAGAGTGTCGGCAGACTATGAGATGTACGACGACATAGGGGGATGTCAACAACCTCTAGTCGATGGGATTGGTCGACGAAGAGTCTCGGCTCATGTCTTCAAGTTGCGACCTCTTCGACTGATGACGACGATGATGATGGATCTGATGATCCTGATCATGTTCTCGTACAACGACGACACAAACCAGACTCCACAACCATCATCAACCAGAAAGCTAGCCAAAACCTCTACCTCACTACAACACCGCCCCCACCCGCAAGATGCCATCCGACGCCGCCTACTGGCTCGTATCAGCCCCACTCAAGAACGGCGACGACAACGACCTCTTTCGGTCCATAAAGACGGTCGTTACCGATAACACCCTCATCGGGGGGCTCGAGTTGCCCAGTCTCAAGGTGAGCAGCGAACTGAATGGGAGAGATGACCTGGTGATGGGATTACCGGACGATCGGTTGGCTGATACAATGTTCCTATAATTCACGATCGATTATATCTTGTCACGCCCCCTTTCTCCCTCCTCTCCTCTCTCTCTCTTGCTTCACGCTGGAACACGACCTGTACCTATTCACCCTGATTCTTGGATGGCAGGCCGGGACACTCTCCTCCCTCTTGACACTCAGCGACGCTTTACCTAAACACGACGCCTACTTCACCTCGGTCGTCGCCAAGCTACTCGATACCATCAAATCCCTCGCAGCCGGTTCCGCCCAATCCCAATCCCAATCCGCATCCCAATCCCAATCTCAATCCGACAAGGACAAACTAGAATCCTACGCCCGTATCAACGACCTCCCCCCGACTCAATACCTCATCCCGCACTCCGGAGCTCGTCAAGGGTGGACCTGGGACGCCGCGAGGTGGGGCCAGGATGGGAAAGTGATCGATGTCGTCGAGGCGCTCGTCAAGGAGATGAACAGTATAGATTCGATCCAGAAGCAAAAGGTCCAGGGGTATAATCTGGCCAAGGGGAGTTTGGCGGGGATGCAGAGGAAGAAGATGTAAGCCCCGAGTTCCGCGCAGTACGGGGGATTCCGTGAGCTTGAGGTTTACCGGCTGAATGAACCTTTTTGCCAACCTCGAAACCTCGAATCGCAGGGGAAACTTGTCGACGAAATCCCTCGTCGGGATAGTTTCCAAGGAAGACGTCGTCGTCGATAGTGAATACCTCGAGACTCTGCTCGTCGCCGTGCCCAAGTACGTCGCTCGGCCTTCCCGTATCAAAAATCTCCCTCTCTCCCTTTGAGGTATCGATCTATGCCTATGTGCTGATCACTCACGTTGGATTTGCACTTGCACGGCGATTGTTTTTTTGTAGCAACCTCGTACGGGATTGGAAGGAAAAGTATGAAAGGCTTACTACGATGGTCGTACCTAGGAGTAGCTCGTACGTATCTTGGACCCACTCTTGTCGCCCATGAGCCGGAGCGTTCTTCAACTCAATTGCCTGACCACCCGTTCTTTTGACGTTGTAGGGAGATCACCAAGGACGACGAGTACACCCTCTTCAACGTGACCGTCTTTAAAAAGGTCAAGGACGAATACCTGCACAAGTGCCGTGAACACAAGTGGGTCCCCGGTGGAGATCTTGTCATCTGTGTTCGTCTGTGCGCCGGCTGATTCGTTGTTTTTTGCGGGATACTTAGGTTCTTGGCGAGAGAGTTTGCGTTTGATGACGAGGCTGAACAGCGTCAACAGCAAGAGATGGAAGAGGCGTCGGCGGAGGAGAAGGAACTTTGGGTGGGTTCATTCCTCACGTCGTGCCAATTTACGGCTCGGGCTGATTTGACGTGAACGTCTCTATCGCCTCCGCACAGACCGACCTCCTGCGACTGTCGAGGACCAACTTTTCCGAGGCGTACCAGCTGCTCGTACACTTGAAGGTCGTCCGGCTGTACGTCGAGAGCGTATTGCGGTACGGTCTACCGGCAGACTATTCCGCCATCGTGTTACAGGTGAGTCACAGCATGGGGTGGATCTCTTCTTCAGCTCGTCACGATAGCTGACCAATTGATGCGCCGCCTTGACGCCCCGGCAGCCCGATTCGAAGACCTCGTTGAAGACCCTGAAATCGCTCTCGTCCTACTTCCAATTCCTCGCATCAAAAGAACGCGGGACCGGGAAAAAGGCGTCGGGAACGGGTGGCAACAACGACGAGGTCGCTGGCGAGTGGGGTGCGGTGATGGAGCAAGAGTATTACGATTTCGTCCTGTTCGAAGTGCCCAAGGTGGTCACATGATCGAGCGATATTTTCTTGCTTTTTGTGATGACGATAGAAGGACGGATGGTTTGTTGTAACGTCATGGGAGTTTGGCATCTCTCGGTCTCTAGTTTTACCTTCTTAGCCGAAGATTTTGTTTGGTTTGTTGCTTGCCGTGAAAGCGTATGACATCTCGATATATACCTCGAATTTGACATTGCCACTTATATCAAACCAAAGTTCCTGTCGATTGTCGGACGCGTTGATTCTCTCGAAGGGCTTTGGACCCAGGAAGTACCGCAATCATGGAGCCAATCGACTTGACCTCTGGCGCAGCCCCCTTAATCGGAAATATGCGCTCGACACAACGGGCGGACTCATGCCTTATGCCCAATTCTGTGGTCTCATTCCGATAAAAGAGAAGTTTTGGGCCTCAGGCCAGTATCCCTCGAAGGAAAAGCTACTGACTCGGCACTGGTTGCATCCAAAGAGACGCCTGAGCTAATCGAGCTGATTCGGATACTACGATCAGGTGTGACTTTCGGATGTAAAACAAGAGTAAGAAGACCCAATTCAAAAAAGAGGGTGTCGAGGAATGAAGTGTTGAAGGCAAACATGTTTTGTCATTTGTTTGATGGGGGGTATGTTTTTGTTTCATGTTCAAGTCGGTAAAGTTCAAGATGAAGACGGGTGATAGAGAAGAAGGGTGTAGAGTAGAAGAGTCGCAGAGTCGAGACCAGATTGAACCGATATTTATATTTCCGGTTGGGGGAGAGAGAGAGTGTGTGTATACGATATACGACCCAGGCGCCAGGCGGGGAGGGTGTCGGGATCTGTGTTTCTGTGATCAGACAACATCCTCTTGCGCGCTTGCGACGCCTGAACGCTGGCGCTCGAGATGAACAGGCAGGAACCGATGAAAGATATCATTTTGTTCGTTCAACATAAGGTGTGACAGGTGACAAGCAGACATTCCCTTCCCTCTTTTCTCGCTTCTTCTTCCCGTTGTAACCTGTAGATACTGAACAATTCGAAAGCAATCCCCCCTTCCTTGCCCTGACGCGACGCTGCTGGACGGCATGATCAGGTGCTGACATTTGCCAGTCGCGATCTGAGACTGGCTCTCTCATATGTCTTGTTACTTTGGCCGTTGTAGCCAATGGCAGAAATGCATGAGGCCGTATGCCTGTCATTGAAGACGCCGCCTCCGTCTGTAGGCGACTTGAGGAGGCGCAGGAAACACCCCGAAATCCGTTCAGACGACAGCTGAGCATCAAAGCCCGAAAAGGTCTGAGCCTGAGCGATCAGTGAGTAGATCTGATTGTGATATATAGGAGCAGCCGGCGAAGAGAGCTTCTGATGCAGGAGTGCTCATCCATTTGGGGTCTATCGCGTCGATAAGTGTTCCGCGCTGCCTTCACGGCTTGCCCCGTTCGACAGACAACTCTATCGTCGAGGGGCCGGGTTACCAATTAGTTCTCAAGGAGTATTCCTCGATATGTGAAAGGCGGGCAGCGTTGTGGAGCCATGCGGCGGGGCGGGAAGGGTGAGATTCATCGCGAGGATCGCTAAGCAGCGGGAAAGAACGAGCAGGTAAGTATTCGCGATTATATATGTACAAACCGCATCGGCTAACAACAAGCGCGGTTGGGACAGTGGTAGTCCATAAGACTTCGATGGTCTTATCCACCAGTAATCTTGGCGTCGTCGGTTCGATCCCGGCACTGCGCTCGCTTTTTGCCCTTTTTGTTGACGCGTCATAACCGAGTCGACCGAGCCTGACCGAGGTGACGGAACCTCTGCGTTGGGCGGCGTCGATCCCATCGATAACGTTCCCCTTTCTCATGCTCGAAAGACCGGCTTACCATCTCATGATTGACATTGACATTTCTTACGTTCTTAGCTTACATCCACGATACCATGAGCAATCTAGAGAGTAAGCAGGCTACCAGACTCGTCGAGACGGGCTGGAGTTTAGGGCACTGAACGAATTGTCTCGTCTCCGTAGAATCGCTGTTCCAGCTAAAGGTGGGTTACGGTCGCTCCTACCCTATGTTGTACAGTCATACTGATGACTACAGTGCTGGGTCTGTACAGTTCACGGCCAAGTCTCTGCAAAGGCAGGCCAAGAAGGCAACGAAGGACGAAGGTCTCGAGAAGGCGAAGCTGAAGAAGGTGGGCAGTTTTGCATCCTCTTTTACCGAAGGAAAGCGATATCCGACTGACATTCCTTCTCTTTCCCTCTGGTCAGGCTCTTCAACAAGGAAACACTGAAGGAGCACGCATATACGCATCTAACGCCATCAGGAAGAAGACCGAATCGCTCAATCTGCTACGTCTATCTTCCCGACTCGATGCCGTTGCCAGCCGGGTGGAGACCGCAGTGACGATGCGTCAAGTAACAGGGAGCATGGGACAGGTCGTAAAGGGGATGGACAAGGCTATGGAGAGCATGAATCTCGAGAGAGTCAGTTCGAGCTGTGTCCTGAGATACTGGTGTGTTGTGTTGTGTGTGTGTCGCTGACTGACCTGGGAGATCTCGTAGATCTCGGCCGTGATGGACAAGTTCGAAACGCAGTTCTCCGACCTGGACGTCCAAACTTCTTACATGGAGGGAGCAATGTCCAGCACCACCGCCGTGGCAACGCCTCAGGATCAGGTGGACCTCCTCATCAATCAGGTTGCAGACGAGGCCGGGCTAGAGAAACAGCAAGAGCTTGGCAACAGCGTGCCTGCGGGTAGCATTAAAGAAGCGGAACCTGTTGCAGCGACACCAGTCGGTGAAGAAGATGGACGACTGGCACAGAGACTCAGGGCGCTGAGGGTGAGTATTCTAGAGCTAGGGTTTACGAGCTAGTCTGCTGGGCACGAACTGAACCTCCCTTTATCATCTGCAGCCCGCAACATGAAATAACCCTTACATACAAGCTCGGTCTCGATATCCTCGGTTGTAAACACTACGCATCATTCGCTCGTCTGGATCCGTATGACATGAAATACCTTTTTGCGTAAAACCCGCATCTTGCTACAACCAACTCGCTAGACATAAATTACGGTGAGAATTACAACGCACGAAATAAAGCACACACCGCCGAAGCGTAAACATTAGTCATAACTAGATCCTGAACCTGCGAGCTCCACAGTCAGTTACCATTCGTCGGGGAAAACACCAAGCCGAAGGTGACTGACTCGTAAGTGAAAGACGATCAATCGATATCCTCCTGAACCGGAGGCGAATGTCTGGGTCGCAGAGATTTGCCTTGCGACAGCCATCGCAAGTCGAGACCGGACTTCCTTTCTTCTTCCATCTATATGGAGCGGCTGTTCCAGTAAGTGTCTCGTTGACGCTGAGTCTTATTATTTTGTGGGCTCACCGCTCCCATCGGCTCTTCAGGGATTCCATCTGGCATGGCGAAGAGAGTCGCAGCACCGGGCACACCGGGCAGCATGGCTCGACTCGGGGACGGGGACATGGCCTGACCCGACGAGTTTGCAGGAATGACGGAATCCCTCGTAGCGTTCTCCAAGACCGCTTCGGCGTACAAGACGATGAGCGCGGTCCCATCCTCGGGCGTGATGGCGATCGATCGGGTCGTCATCAAGCCTCGGATCTTGCCAAAGTTGACCTTTTCCTGTTCCTTTCTGCTCAGCTCGCGTTCGATCTGCGCCAATTGTTCGGACGAGATGGGTTCGCGCAGCCGGGGATGCTTGAAACAGCAGTACTTGCCGTAAGGACAGGACAGCTCGCCAAGGTGAGCTCGGCAAAAGGTAAAGTTGTAGGATCGCGAGGGAGCTTGTGCTTTGAGTTCGACGCCTGTGACCTGTGCTGTCGGTCCAGAATTTTGAGCAGGGACGGTATGACCGCGATTGTGTATTTGCGATCGCGCTGACGGTGTAGGTGAATTCCCGCTAGCCATGGGGGAGTTTCCCAGCGTTGCGGTCGTCAGGTCTACACAGTCACTCCCGCTGTTTTGTCGGGGAACGAATACAGGCGCTTTGACATTCGCTCGCATCGGTCCGCTCCCGCCAAACACGTCCTGAAGCTGCTCGGGCGAACTCATCAGGCTCGAGGGTGTGGGGCTAGCCGGCTTGGGGGATGGAGATCGCATCGGGGATATTCGCTCGGCGACATCGAGGCCTGGAGAATCATCGTCCGGGTCTCCAGACTGTCTTTCGTCGCTCTCGAGCTGAAGCTCTAGACCTCTGACGACTCTCTCCCCGGTGACTCCGGTCAGCCCGTCCGAATCGGCACGCTCTCGATATGATCTTGATGCGACGGGATAGAACGGATCCTCGTCGCTATCATAGTCATCCTCGTAAGGCAGCGCGATCCTGGCTTTCACGAGCGAGTTCGTGGCGGAACCAGCTTTGACTTTGGAAGGCGTCTCTGGCGATTGTACAGGAGGCGAGGATGTTGGTGGGCGGATCGAGACGACCTTTTGTGCCCTTGGTGCAAAGAGTGGGATGTCGGACGGAGAAGGAGAAGCGATCGGGTGCGAGGTGGTCACGGGAGGCTGAACCGGTAATACTGCAGAGGGAGGAGCCGGTCGTGACGAGAGCTGGTTTCCATGGACTTGCGGAATCGAGTACGGGGCTCTGATGGGCGGCGGAAACTTGAAGATGGATTGTGATACCTGGCTAGCGGGACGATGAACCGTAGTATAATCTTGCGAATCGTATCGCCGATGTACGGGTAGAGCTTGACCTAGCGATCGATGAGATACGTGACCATCTTCCCTGCGCGGGTTGAAAGGCTTTGACCAAGGGCTCAAGGCGGTATTGGCCGATGTGGGTTTCTTGTCGGCGGATGGTATCTCAGTACCAGCTTTGGCGACCGGTTTGACGGTAACGACAAAGTGATCGAGATCTTTGACCGTGTTTCGTTCCCAACTGTCGCTCAGGTCGATCAAGGGTTCCAGATTCTCCGTTTCCTCTTCCTGAATTTCGACAGCCAAGTGATTGTGCTTCTGACGCTCCGGGGTGACCTTTTCATTGCTCCTGAACGCACCTCGTAGGGCGATATGAAAGGCTCGGTTGTTGGCCGGGCTCGCTTTGGATCGTTTGGCTAGCTCTACCTCGGGCGAGGACGGCATTGTGGTAGAGGTGGACAGAGGAGTCGTCGGCAGCGAAGGACTAGAGGCGAGGCTCTTGCTTTCGGAGAGTGCTGGCGTAGCCTTGACATTGCCATCGTCGTCATGAACAAGGTCGGGACTTTGCGTGATGGCAGTCGACTTTCTACGGGTGGTGTCGGCAGGCCCGACGTGGAACCGCTTGTTTCCAGGTCTTTTGTACGCCATGGTTCCTCAATCTCACTGGTATGACAGTCACTTGAGAAGACGGGCGATCGAGGTGATTAGGCTTCCGACTTGAATGATCCTCATCGTCTCGTACCGAATCTTACCCTGCTGAAGTTTCTGACCAGAGGTTTGACCCTGGCGAGTAGCGGATCCCGTCACCGAGAAGGTGACTTCCCTCAAGTAGAGCTATATATTTGTGCGTGTGCAGTCTTGCGATGATCTTTGACGACGATCATGCTCTTGAACTAAAGAGATCTTGTTGGATATCAACTGTCGGGTCGACGATCTCCGACCTTCTTCTTCTGAACGAAAATTGGAACGATGATCCTACAGAGAGTGGCATTCCCCTAGAATTTGCTTCCGAACATTCCGATGAACCCGGTCAGACAATCTGAAACGCGTATAAACGTGGCTGGGGCTGATAAGCAGAACGAGATCGGAGATTCATCACACGTCCAAACTATCCTCATATATCATATACAACGGTTCGATAAGACGTAGACTTTTCTCACATGATCAACGGCAAGCACAGGATTTCAACGTGAAAGGATCGATTCCCTCAATCCATCTGCTCCCAACCCATGTCCTGGAGCGACCATTCGAACACCTTTTTGCTTTTCATGACGTCTTCGGGCTGATCGTACTTGAGCAAGTGACGCAACTTGCCAGGCTCGGTATGTACCTTGCTCAGCGCGTCAAAGTCGGCCGTCTCAAGCTCAAAGATCTATAAAATGAAGTTCAGGCTCAGTCTCCAGACCACGAGAATCTGAACGATCACGAAGAACTCACGTCGAGATTCGCCTTCATCCTCTCCGGGTTGGCAGACTTGGGGACCACGCTCCAATTTCCACGCTGAACGAGCCAACTGAGAAGAACAGCTCCAGGGGTCTTGTCGTATTTCTCGCTCAACTTGGTCACCAATGCGTCCGACATCAACGGTGATGGTTTATCGGCGGTGGGACGACCCAGAGCTAGCACGGTATGAACCAATAGAGTAAGCTTGCCGCTCGAATATGCATTTCTAGTCGGATAACCTACGCGAGTAAGCGGTCATGTGAATCCCCTTTTCTCGACAGAGCTTGTCAAGTCCCTGCTGGGGCAAGTACGGATGGGCTTCGACCTGTCAAGCAACATTTCTCAACATCGGTCGATTAGACCTGCGGATATTGAAGACCTTACCTGGTTGACAGCAGGAACGATCTTGGCCTCTGCCAGTAAGGTTTCCAAATTCCTAACCGAAAAGTTGGACACTCTGAAAAAACGACATCGTTCAACGACGCCCTGATCTGTCGGTCCTGTTCTCCCACTCACCCGATCGCTTTGCATCGACCGTCTCCGATCAACTGCTCCATCTGCTTCCAGGTCTCGACGAACGTAGGTGAAGCTCCGAAAGGTACCGTTTTGCCAGTCTCTGGGTCGACGGCTTGGGGCCAGTGCATGAGCTAGAGTGCCGAGATATGTGTATATCAGAAGGCTGAGCGTTCATCGAAAATCGAGACAAAGGATGCTTACGTAGAGATCGATGTATTCGATGTCCAACGCTTTGAGGTTTCGTTCGAATCCCGCTTTGACGTCGCCGTGGTCTAGATTGCTATAAGCGACAAGTCAGGCGGTTCATGAAAACATCTCACCCTTCCCGATCGCTTGCAAGACATACTTGAGCTTGGTCGTAACAAAGATGTCTTTTCGAGGAACACCGCTATCTCTAACGGCTTTCCCGACCGCTTGTTCGTTTCCGTATCCATCGGCCTGAGTGAAGCGAGATTACGAATCAGCACGTTTCACTAGCACTGGAAGGAGTATGCATGGCTTACCGTATCGAGATGTCGGTACCCCACGTCCAAGGCGTCACGGACCATCTGGTACGTGGCAGGATTGTCGGCTTCGACTCGTTTGAGCATCCAGCAGCCGAGCCCGACGAGAGGGATCTCGGCCCCTGTATTAAGGGTCGCAGTCTTGGTAGTCATACTGCAATCGTGGTCGAGGTCAGTGAGCAGGTTGGTGAGGTAAGTGCTAGGTGTGTAGGTCTACAGGTGACTCCTTTGTGCATGCATGATGCTGCAACCAACTCGTGATGCTACTTATATACCCACCTTCTCCACATCACAGATCACAGAACGGCGAACCCCGAAAGATCGGCATGAGCCCCGATCACCCCGGCCCGGGTACGCCGCCCATACGTAAGATCATGACGTTAGTGTAATCACGTGATCGCGCTCGTTTCACCTTGATCGTGTACGGGTGTTTCAGTCCCGGTTGGTGAGGAGTTTGAAGTACGTGAATATCGCGATGATCTCCCCAATTCCGCATCATGGTTTCGACTACCATTTGTAGTCCTAACCATTTGTCGCTCGGCGATCCCTCTGAAATTCCTTTGGCAACTTGTTATCCAAACCGTTCAAAGGCCTTTGTATTCCCTTTCTTTATGGCCAGAGTAGCACGCGATAACATTAGTCTGATCGCTTCCTTGCTTGAAATATACCGAATCATGTTTGCGCCCACGATTTCTATTGCATATATCGGTTGTTCCCTGGTGTTAACGCTGGGCTGGCTCCTGTACGTTATCTATATATTCACGCAGGTCGTGACGCCGTACAATCATGGTCACCTGGGATATCAACCTCAACGACCGCTCGCCCATATTACAATACACGACACAGAATCAGGGGGACGGATGGCAGTCAGCGGTGGAGACTAAAGACAATCGGACCACATCATATCGCTATACTACCGATCTAGGACTCTCGACCGTAGATTTCAACATCACAGGTCCGTGTGCCGATAATGAAAGGCCTCTGCCGAGCCAGACTAACCTTTGTTTTGCCCGAATGGTAGCGACAAGCATCCGTTTTTTACGAGATTCTCCAGACGGATCATGCTCGGCGGTGTATACCGTCAATTCCTCGGCACCTATCCCAGCATGTCCTCGAAATGGCGACGATTACTACACCGTCAACAACCTCTCGTTTGGAGATCGTCATCAGATATCATATACTCCGTTGACCTTGAGGCAGAAAGGGAACGTAGCGCCCCGATTCCTGGGCATTCAGGCGGCTACAGGGATAGAACAGAAAGAAGGGCGAGTACGATCCCGCCATACGATTCTCCCTGAGACTGTAGGCTAAAATGATCAAGGGTGTCATCAGCCAAACCGTCTACAACAACTCGATCGAACCATCTTTCCAACCTGATCCGAACGGCCGACAGCCCTGGACCAAAGTCTCCGTCTCCGATCTGGCGCAAATACATTCATATAATGGTACCGAACCGTTACAGGACTTTGGCTACCTCATTTCGACGACACTAGGCGCCGAAGCGCGATATGTACCGATCAGTAGGTTGACATGGACCCCTTCCGCATAGCATCACAAGATTAAGCTTTATCTCGACAGGTGGTCAAGCATTCTATCTGTATGGAGTGACAGGCCCGTATATGGGACGCCTGGAGATCTCAGTCGAAGACAGGTCAACGACCATAATTGATCTAAACGTAAGTCCATCTTTTGCTATGACGAAGGTGGTGGAACATCTTACGAATGGTCATTTTCACTGTTTAAGACGCCTGTAATGGATTATCACACGTTACTACATTTCGACAGCTTGGCTTCGAACAATCAGTTTCGATCTCTGTCTATTCGCAAGCTAGACTCTCGGGCGACCATCCTATCCAATATGGTCGTCACCCACGCGCAGGTGCCAAAAGGAGGCCAAACAACCGGTTTCGGAGAGAAAAAATTAGTCATAGTGGTAGCTGCAAGCATAGGCGGGACGGTCTTGCTGCTGGTAGGGATTATATTCCTGCTGCTGCGCTCGCGAAGAGCATCACGCAGGACAGCCACTCCGGAAAAGCCCTCGGCGGACCAACGTCTGTCGACTCAGACTGGCAACAAAGTCACATTGTGGTCAAATATATGGAGTACCTTAGGCACCGCTCCACCTCCGTCCAGCGCTGATGGAGCCTTGTTGAAGGTTTCGCCTGACAGCGTCAGAGGCAAATCATTCCTCCGTGTCGACCAAGGTAGATCCGCGCCATTCCGAAACCCCTGGGACTCGCGGGCTCGTCTCTCGAAGCCGTCCGATACCACCCCTTATCCAAAGCTAGAAACAGCGGAATCCTCAGCTGGGCCGAGTGTTTCGAGTCCAGCCGAGGAAAAGAGTCCAGGAAGGGATTACCTTATCCCGTCATATTATCACTCCGCCCCGTCCGATCCCGTTGTGCGACCACCAGTTCCACAACGAAAAGTCTCTCCAAGGGGATCAGTATACAGGGCAGAAGACGCGATTGCCCCTGTTCCCCCTAGCAACGCAAACAGATCGTCATATGGTTTGACATTCTTGCATACACCGCACGAAAGCCGTGAAAAGGCAAGAGAAAGGGCGATTGCCGAGAGTCCTTTGGGGGAAGAAGGAGAGCTGTCTCTATGGCAGACGCGAAGTCCAGCGATCGCCCCGCTCGTCCCCAAGAGGAGCGATCCCGCTCAGACGGTTTCCACGCCGACTCCAGAGCGACCCGCTCGGGCAAGGAAGGAGAGCGTGACCATGCCTCGTAGCATCTTCGTTCAGCCTGAAGCAGAAGCACTTCCTTCCGCCAGGCCACAACGCTTGACAGCGGTCTCCCCTCTTCGCGCTCCAGCGACCCTCTTACGAAGCCTATCCGGTCGATTACCCAGATCCGAGTCGGGAGATACCGATGACCGAGCGACCGTCCGCTGGGTGAGCCCTGACTCGGAAGCCGACGCCCACGAGCGTTCGCCAGAGATCTACTTCGAGATGCGACCGTATTCGCCGACAAGCGCGGGAGCATCGACCCATACCAACCGGACACGTAGGCAGGTGGATGAGCAGCGTCCGCTTCCCGGAGGTCGATTCTAGGATAATGAAGGAGGAACGGACGTTACTGCCATGGTCGAACATGCTGGTATGGTATATGTAATTGAGAAAGTGGAAAGTTTGTACAACCCCTGGAATCCGTCTACAAATGCTTAAGAGACTTGCCTAGTACTATCTAATGTACACTCTGCGCCCTTCCTTGATTTCGCCTCCTGACCTAGTAATCAAGAACGACACCCCGCCACTCGTCTACCCTGAACCCAAACGTCCGCAATATCCCGATCATCGCTGACGAACAAGAACCTCTCAAAGTTTCGCTTGAGCACCTCGACCCTTTCTTGTCTCGATTTGCTACTAGACGTTGTAGTCGTGTCCTCGCCAACGTCCAGGAAGAATCCGGGGCTCGCGCCTGGTATGACACGAAGCGCATCAAACTCTTTGCCCGCTTCAAAGTTCCCGACCTTGTCTTTCAGGTTACATATCGATGCACCGCCAAGGGTAGCCATGTGGAACAAGGCGGGAATGCTCAGAGGCTTGTCCGAGTATTTCCGCTTTTTCGATGGTTCGCTAGTACCGGCGTTGAGCGCGATCATCTTGGAGAGCTTAGAGGCGTCCCTGATCTGGGACAGGATGCCGATAGCGAATCCACCTCCACAGTCACTTCCGAGCCCGACCTCGATACCCTCGTCTAGCATAGCTCCTACTCGAGCTCCTCCGCTCATCAAGTTGAAGTTGCTAGTCGGACAGTGACTGATACCGGCGTGTCGATCGCTGATCACTTTCATCTCGACCGGGGAGAGCCAGACGCAGTGAGCCAGGATGGTCCCCTTGCGCAACATGCCGTACTTGTCGTACACCGCGGTATAGCTCTCGCAACCGGGAAAGAGGCCGAGTGTCTCCTTGATCTCGGCCGTGTTCTCTGAAAGGTGTGTTTGAAGGTGCAGTGAGGGATCCTCCGCGACCAGGTCTCCAAGGGAGGCCATGAGCTCCGACGTGCACGATAGGGCGAACCGGGGTGTGACGCAGGGTTGTACGAGAGGCGCAGTAGATCCACCAGGAGGACAGATGGCGCGGACGTGAGAGATGAGTGCTCTTGTCGCCTCGACCGAGTCCTTGGCAGACGGTTCCCGGTATTCTGGAGGACAATTGCGGTCCATGTTGCACTTGCCAATGAGCGCACGTTGGCCTGCAGATACCAATGGCTCTTTTAGTCAGTATCTTCAATCAGGTTCGACAGAGGGAGAACAGGCTTGACTCACCGGCTCGAAGCGTGGTCTCTGCCAAGATCTTGGAAGCGCTCTCATGCAGACTAGCATAATACGATGCCGTCGTGACCTGGACAGAGGTTGTAATCGGGATGGATTAAGGTCAGAACTGTCTGTAGATTGTAACTTTCTATGGATGAACCTACCCCGACTGCCAGCGTCCGCTTGACGACCTCTTCGTACACGGCCTTTGCGTATGTCGAATCCGAAAACATGGCCTCGCGCGGGAAAGTGACGTTTGATAGCCAGTCCAGGAGCTGGTATTCTTGTCCCAAGCCGAGATTCGGGTACTGGGGTGCGTGCTACGGAGAAGACTATGAAGTCAGACATTTGCCTATCCTATTCAGATAACCGTGCTTACGGTATGGGTATCGATCAGACCGGGACAGAGGAACTCGTGTCCTCCCAGTTGCACGATCTCAACGGCATTGTTTGTCCCATCTAGGATGAGACCGTGAGAGGCAGCTCGATCCTGAACCTCGCTCGTGTCGACATTCCTCTCTATCCAGTTGATGATGCCATCAGGAGATACACAAACGAGAGCGTCGACGGCGTATTCGAGCTCGTCCAGAGACAGCGAGTGGACGATAGGGCCATGGTAGAGCGTGGTTGATGCGTGCATGTCAGGTGGTGTAAGGGTGGGTGGTGGTGAGCAGGTATATTTCCGGGCAGGAAGAGTAGTGTACAACACGGGAGATCAAAGATCAGAGACGATGTCCGAGAAGTGTACAGGGTATATGATCTATGATGTATATGAATGGACGTCGTCACATCTTCCCTATCAACCGGCTCGTTCCCTTTGTACTGAGTAGGTCGTTGTCGACCTCCGATGAGATCGGGATCATCGGCTTGATCCGATAAGACAGGAGGAGGTTCGGCCGGCGATCAGCCGGAAGACGGACATGCAAAGTGAGCCGATGTCCGCTGCCCATCCTGAAATCGAGTTTGTTCATCTTCGACGCTCAGAATGGTCATTTGTGTCACTCGCATGTATGCTCACGACGACGGAAAGCCCATAACCATTCCCATCAGACCAAAAGAGCACAGCTCAAATCCTCACCGTACGAAATGTCAGGCAAAAGCAATATCCTCTTCACCGACAAGTTTCAGGTCAAGGTGAGCTACAAGAGCTACAGGAGTTCCGCTGTGGTCATAGCCTTGAGGATAGCAAACTAAACACACGGCCTACTGCCGCCCCGGTCCGCTTTGTGTAGGAGATCGATAAGGATGGCAAAAAGTTCGACCGAGTCTCTCGTATGACGTCAAATCCGTCGCAACGCGGCCTTTCCCTCACGCTCGACTTTGCCAACGAGTTTATCCAATTCAAGCCACAAGAATATTTCACCATGACACTGGCTACGTCGTTGCATGAAGACGGAGATGACGAGGAGGTCGCGGGTGGATCATCGGGCGCTGCAGGAGGTCCAGACGAGGCTAGCAAAAAGGTCACCAAGCGGGAAATGTGGAGGGGAGGTGACGAGGGTCTCGCCGAGCAGTACGAATATGTGATGCATGGCAAGGTGAGTCTCGACAGCGGCTTACTAAGCGATAGTCGTCGAGTCCTGCTTCTCTGCTGACACTTGATCTCCACATCTTTCGCCCCTGCAGATCTACAAGTTTGACGAGACGAGAAGCGGAGAGAATTCGACGTGAGTAGCCAATGGCCTGGCCTCCAGCGGGCGTCTTTCGAAACAGGCCGAGAGACCCTCGTTAAGACTGCTTCGCTGACCACAGCATCATTCGGATTTTGCAGAACCGCATACCTCTCGTTCGGCGGTCTCCTGATGGCGCTAAGAGGCAGCTACCGACATCTGCAAGAACTGGTCATCGGGGAGAACGTCTACCTCCTCATCAAGCACTAACACAGCGGCCATCAATATCATCCCGGGCCAAGATGGATATCGGCTCGATGATCTATGTACAATACAAAACGCCAACGACACCACCTCAGATAGAGCATACGATATGACATAATGACGATCCACCTTTGGCAACGTGACTGCGTGATGAAACGTCAAACCAAAGGGTACGCTGCCAAATTGCCGGCTCGATCTACCATCTCGGCTAGTCTGTCGTCGAGATCTGGAGCTCAGCTGCACTTCTGGCACTTGGCGGGCCTGCTCCGTCCTGGCAACATAGCCCTATGCATGCAGACAGCCATTGAACCCGGACCAGGGCAGTGATTCGTTGTCGAACGCCCTTGATGTTGAATCGAAAAAGTGCCTATCGACCCCGTCGGAATTGCACTAAGTTTCAGTGTCTCGGGTAGCGAACTCGTTGTTTCCATTGATTGATGTGCCTGAATTATCGCAGTTGAGAAGCGATCTCCTTACCGGAGCCAAGTATGACATGAAGACTACTCTCGACCCTGCTGGCAAGTCGAGGGTGCAAGTGAGATTTTCTTTAAAGCAGGTGGCCCGAGGGATAGCATCCAGATCCTGAAGCTCTCTTCTCATTTTTTCTGACCCGACTTGTGACCAACCACCGCCTGCTTGTCTTTGCTCTCTTTGAAGTTCTGGAAAACAGCAGTTGTCTATATAGGAACTTGTGGTCTTTACTGTCACAATTGCTATCTTGCCTCTAAGACCAGCTTTACAGAGATGTTGCCAAAGAACTTGCCAATGCAGAGACTGTGGGTTGACCACTGAACAACTGCATATCAGTTGGTGTTCTGATTAACCCTGACGTGACTGGCTAGCAGGTGGAGGCTTGGTAGACAATGAAAATGGCTGTTTAAAATGGGTCATGAGCTTTCAGTGATGAAGTCATCAAGATTGCAAACTGACTTCATTTGGGTTGATTTGGGGGTAAAATGGGTTATTAACCACCCTTGGGAGGATCTAGTTGAAACTTCAGGACAATCAGCACCATGAAAGGAGTGGCTACACCATCAGCTTAATGTTGGGTGTCAAGAAGGCTCCAAGGCAGACTGGCTCTATGTATGCCTGTGAGGATACATCCAAGAACAATGCAGAATGTAAGGCTAGGATGTGTCATATATACAATCAAGTATGAAAAAGATAAGTTGTATGAAGACAACCTGTGCACATTGTCTTCTGAGAGGCAAACCAAGTGAGAACACGCTGTGATATAAATGCTGATACAGGTGTTGGTGGCCAGCAATCCAGTACAACTTGGAGGCCAGGAATCCAGTGGCAACTGTGCTGTCTAGATCACCTATGTCACAGGTGAGAGAAGTAATAGATGTGATAGCAGGTGAAGAACTATATACTACAGGAGAATGGAACAGCAATACAACACAATATGCTCCTTGAACAATTGTAGCGGACTTGCTATAACTCAAGGCTTGTGTGAATGTGCATTGCTACAACACTTAGGCTGGTAATGACTTCATTCCTCATCATCCCTACATCCCGCTGGCTTTTCACTCCATCCACCCATATAATTTACAATAGCCTTGATGTCATCAGTCTTGAGGAGAAGGCCTATAGATCATCAAAAGGCAGATATAGAGCTCCTTATGAGGGATATGGCGACGCAAGATAACACACACTGTATGCAAATTCTGCCTCGACAAGCCATGACCTGAAAAGTGGTAACTTGCAATCCCAACACCCTGGACATGTGTCCTAAAATGGCGGCTTGCCGCCCAGACAGGGCTGACGGACAGCACAGCGCTAGCGGGCCGTATCAAGTAGCTTCCGTGCCCTCACACACGCGGTCAGAGTATTTCTCCTGCGCCCCAGGGGCGCAGTCTGCGCCGAGCAAGCACCGGTGTCATGCTAGCGTGGGTACATCAGCAGCGCTTGCATCGTCAAGTCACCTTAGATCACCCCTTGAAATAGTCGAGACAACCAATGCCAGCCGTTCTAGCGGGACGCGGACTTGAAGAACTACAGTCCAGACATTCATGCTGGATTGTTGCAGAAATGCCAGTGTCACCCGTTCGACATGAAATCTGTAATGACATGGACGATGTGCTGGGTTGATGTCCTGGTGTACAATTGCGTAGGTATGTTCTCTTTCTGAGCGGAATGCCTGTGGCCCCAACTGATGACATGCACCATGTAGTGGGGTAATATCCCGGTGTACAACTGCGTCAGTTTCTAATTCCTGGATTCAAACTTGGTGCATAAATCAACTCGGTTCCCTAGATTTGGTTTGGTTGATCTGTTATGGACAGGTCGGGCTTGGTCAGGAGACTCGTTTGTTGCAGCCACAACTACACTCACCCTCAACTGTATCCAGCATCTACTACCCTACAACAACTTCTTCAACAACCCTGTCAACAACGCGACTTGGTTCGCTTTCGATTGACCTGTGAGTGACGGATTGCAATTGGTCAGGCAGATCACTTCTGACAGCCATGTATACAAGCTTGACTCACTCTCAATCATGTTCAGCATCCTCGACCTATTTGCGGCCTCTATCTTTCGGCACTCAATCTCTTGCAATCGCATACTGGTCATTTCCGGGGTGTAGAACTTCTCACGGCAACCTCTTTGTCAGTTTGGGGAGAGGTGCAAAGAGTCAGCATTTCAACCTCAAACCAACATTCTCAATCAATCAAGCCATACCGTCTTGATCCAAAGCTCAGCGTTCCTTCAGCATTGCGGCTGCAAACGCATAGCTCTTTGCCTCATGAAGATTGGTATAGAGGGTTTGTCGGTTGAGAATTTATGAGAGCGCGCATCTGCAAGCTGTCAGTTCCTGCGTGACTTCTCGCAAGCTTCAATTGTGCTACCACTCAGCCTGTCAATTATGGAAGGAAACAAATCGATGACAGATAGTCTCAATACAACAGTCCGTGAAAATCATTGTCATCCCCCCAACTCAGCTCATTTGTGGCCTCCAAAGGGGGAGGCAGCCGAACAGTGGGATTGCTTGAGCGAAATTGCCAGGTCGAAGAAGTGGTCTTGGATGGAAGGTGAGTGTTTCCACTTTCGGTCGACGCCTAATACACGGTTAGGGGTTAGATGAGATCCAGTAGCTGACACCTTTTTGTCTGTTCTATCTTTTCGTTTCTCGTTCTTACCGATTGATAGGATCTTCCTACTAGGTATCAGAGCTGGTTCCTCCCCATCACCGATGTAGTAGTCCAGAAACTTTACCATACAAACTGTGAGTTGATGCAAAACGTTAGGACTGCCACGTGCTTCCACTAAACTGATCGCTTCCAATTTGATATCGCCACTACCTATATCCACTCCATATCAACAACCCTAGACATAGCGCTGCACACATTCATCTCGACAAAGTCTCCCGGACACGTACCGATGCATCGTCATGGAACACGCCGATGGTCTGCTGTATGACCTTGGACCGTACCCCCGCCCCTACAATCGATACTCTTTAGATGGTCTGTCTGTATATCGATTTGCCGGACCTGTGCTGTTGTATAGGACAAGTGTAGTGCACGTCTATCAATTCCTGGTTGCGGTCGTGTTTGTCATGAGTGAAGAAAACACGTCCAGAGGCACGTGAGAGGAATTCATACCCGGGAAAGGGAAATCTCTGTTGTTCGCTTCACCACAAGCCCCCCTCCTATCGATTCGATTTAAACATCTTGGCTTGGACAATTGACTTGGATACAATGACCCCGACCTCATCTGCGGCATCCAAGATGAAGTTGGGCACAAGACTACATCCTCCTCTTGCCTGCTTCATCATGTCCGGATGTTCTTTGTCTGACGGGTATGAGCATAATGATGAGCGTCTCTTGTACGACTCGAACTCGTACAACAACTGTCCCAACTCTCATGATGTAGCACAACGTGTCCATCCGTGTTGTCGATACCCCCTTATGTAAATTATATGCAAGTCGTGCGTGTTCCAAAGCTTAGACACGCATGAGTTCGCATGCCCCCGACATCTTCCTCTGCCCTATGTGATGACAACCACGATGATATAGGTTACCAGCCACGATCAACCCGTTGATCATTAGAGGCGGATACCTCAGCTTGCCTTGGGATTTGAAGTTATATTGAATACCGGGTCAGTTTCATATGCTTGTTATTGTGTAGAACGGTCTACTTACCCTTGATCACGCACGGAAAATGGAATGTTTCCAGAAATGCCTTTCGGAACAGACTATGCCCTCCACATTGACCTGTGGTACGACCGTTCGTTCATAAGCAAAGTTTAGAGTTGGGGTCAATTGTGCGTTCATAAGAGAAGTTCACAGTCCTGTGATTTGTTACTGACCTTCTTGAGAGAACAAATCATGTACGGGCGTTTGTTGGTGGGCCAAGTTGAGGTCATAAGCAAAGTTGAAAATGGGGGTCAGTCGTTTGTTCACGAGCAACGATGCAAGTCCAGAAATTTGATTGGAAACTGACCTTTATGAGAGAACGCATCTGCGAGCTGTCTGTTCCCGTGTGACTTTGACCGGGCTTCAATGGTGCTACCGCTCAACCCATCGATTTTGGAAGGATACAGACCAATAACAAAGGGCGGGGCGATATAATGTCCGTCTTGTCCGTGTTGTGGATCCTTTCCATACCGACCGCCTGATGGGATGAGATCCAGTTTGTCTGGGCACCCTGGACAGACATAGGACTTTGCCTCATGAAGCTCTGTGTAGAGGCTTTGTTGGTCCAGGAACTCGGCCTCTTTGCTTTCGGTCTGCTTTGGCTGTATTCTGTACAGTGAGGTTTGCGTGTAGACGGAACACTTTGTTAGCGATTTGCTAGGGGCGCGTTCCATCCAAGCGTGGACATACCTGTAGGTTTTTGGGATGGACAAAGTTAGGCCCAAAAGGATGATGTGCAGTTCCAGGGTAAAGTCATGGAAGGTCTGATCGTAGAGCTATGTGTGTGATTGATCAGTATGGAAGTTGGTACGAAAGCTAGCAGGGCAGACTTACACCCAGGCGTAGACTCTCCCGGCGGATCTTCTCCAACCCGATCTCCACAAGCAGCTTGCAAACCGTACTGTCCTGATAGACCAAAGGTAGGGCCGCTAGGAACACACACCACCAGATCCGCTCCGCCAGTTCGTCGGGTAGCTGCTTCGTACTACCATCTGCGATGGACAGTGTACCGGTGGTAAGGTGAGTTCCGCAAACAAAACTGTTTCAGGATTATATCATATTATAATTGCTCAATGACTCACCATCACAAGAATCCCTCAGCACCTTGAGCAACTTGCGCACCCGCAAGAGCGATGTGGTTGCGAGCGCAGAGTTCCAGCTACTCTCGAATTTGTCGTAACGCTCTTCTATTTTCAGCGAGCCAAACTCTCTCCATGCGGCGGTATCTTCCTGCGATGCGATGAACTCCTGCAATTTAGACACTGCAGGATTGAATTCACCTAGAACACAAGAATGGGCAATAATGTTAAAGTCATCTGCGACAAACTCCGGCAATTTCGGAGTTGCATACACCTAGATCCGCTTGCATGTCGATATCCAGGTACCTGGCGCCTTGAGCCTTCCTACGTCTCTTGGGAACAACCCATTTTTGCAGCTCATCCGCACTCCAAACGCCTCCGTGAAGCCGGCCATGGAGCTCGGAATCCTCACGGATTTCTTTGGCCTTAGACTACTCAATGGGATGAGATTAAATTCCTCTTGACACCCTGAACACATAGCACTTTGCCTTGAGAAGATTCAAGTAGAAGGTTTGCCAATCTGAGAACTTAGCCTCCTTGTTATCAGCCTGCTTTGGCTGCATTTGGTAGGGTTTCAGAATGGACGTCCTCAGGCTGGAGAGGATAACGTGCAGTTTGAGGGTAAAGTTGTGAAAGACCTGATTGTAGATCTATGTGTGTAATTGATCAGCATGAAAGTTAGCACAAAAGTGGTAACTTGTGATCATATACTGTTATGTATCTCCTGTATTCCATGTCAAGGGATGTCTGCCGCCATCTGAGCTGGTGGTCTCAATTATCACAAAGCGGCTGTGCATTTCAGACTTGAAGCATACTGAGGTTTGGCAAGTACTGGTAGACTCTTGTTTGTTTTGTCGTATCCCATATATTCTTACAATCATGTGATGTAAGGGTGATTTGTTTTTGGATCATGTAGCAAGTCGAACCAATTTTTCATGATTTTGCAGCTCAAAAGGAGATCCAGGAAATCACAAGCGGCACAGGGAAGAGGAATGGTGTTATTGTGCAACAAGAGGTACCATGCTAAACTGGCTCCTGTAAAGGATCAGGGGAACAACTTGTACTTTCTACATAGTTTCACATTCCGTACTTTGTACATTGTACAATGTACAACCACCTCTTATCTTTGTACTCCTAGTCTACTCATGAGTATATATAGCAGGCAGGAGGAAGGGGATCAGGGTACAACACTTTACCTCTTTACTCTTCACTCATCTTACTACCTAGTCACAAGACCCTACCTTAGTGTCTTCCTGCACAACAAAGTCACTTTCACACACAACAACCTTCACCAATCCCTTCAAGGCTTAGCTACCCTTGTTGCTTCTTCCACTGGGTGTTAGAGAGAGTAAGATAATTGTTTGTTAAAGGAGAAGTGTTGAGACAACTGCGAGAACCGGATAAATTAGTTGTGAGAAACCTAGCTTTCCCTTAAAAGAAAGCTTGGTCCATCACAGCTCCCTACATATACTATTCTCATGGTAGTCTTCATGGCTCCACAACCCCTTTGTATTGTGAAGTAGCGACTAGATCCAACAAGGCAGGTTAATTGACATACCTAAGCAATAGTAAGGTGTTTTACTACATGAGAGGGGAAAGAGAAATCCGACCCAAATGGTCTGCTATATATACTTTTCTGGGAAGGGGCAAATGGTGGCAAAAGTGGTGGCAAATGGGTTGAGTCATGACTTTCCCCATGACCAATTGAGAATGTTCACCAGTCGACCGTGATTACGTCTTGAGGCTTGTTGTGATATCAGCCTAAGCTGATGGTGTAGTTGTTCCTTTGATGGTATTGACTGAAGCTAGCTCTTGTGTGAATGACTATGTATCTGGTTGCTTGGTTGCTTGCATAAAAGTAAAGTAGTACATGAGAGGGGAAAGAGAAATCAGACCCAAATGGTCTGCTATATATGCTATTCTGATGAGCATGTCCCCTAGTGAACTTGCGGCTAGAGCAGTCGCATAATTGCGACTCTGGTCGCATATTGCGTCTCCAGTCACGTATTTGTGACTCCAGTCACAAATGACATCACCAATATGCGACTCTAGTCGCATATGTGTGTCTCTGGTCGCATAAGTGTGACTCCAGTCACATTTGTGCGTCTCCAGTCACAACATGTGATCCTGGTCACATGTGGACCCTTTGTGCTTGAGATTGCACCTTTGAGCATCATCAATGATGTCATAGCATGCCAATCTTCAACAAGGCTGATTTGCGATTGGTGGCAATAATCTCTCAAATTTGCCACCCAATGGCAAAAGTCCCTCAGGTTTGCCACCCAATGACATTAAAGCCTCAGTGGCAAGCTCATTCCTTCTAGCATGTTCCGTGCTTTTGCTTCCATCTTGCATCCACTTGGCTTCCACTTTGCTTCCTGCTTTGTGGTTGAGATTGCTTCCACATGCTGATGACTAATCATCACATGCTGATTTGCAACAGATCTCCATCCATGACCTGCAGCTTTGTCTCCAAGATAATCATATCCAGATTCTCATCACCAAGTTGAAGAAACACTCAGATTGTCCTGCAGATCCCATTATCAGTCGTCCCATTGGGCCGCAACTGCTGCGCATGCCGCTGCCGCCGTCCCATCAAGTTTGAAAGGACTGATCGCTCAGGACTACGCTTTTGACTGTAAGGACTATGTTCACAGGGCCGTACAGGTCTCAGCAGGCTAGTCAGAATCATTAAGCCGGGGATGGTGTCAAAGCAGACTAGCAAGGAATGTCAGACAAGTCAAGGGCGATTGTCAGGGGGGTGATTGACACCAAGCAGAAGGAGTTGACAGGCTGATTTAACCAGGAAGGCCGGACAAACACAATGACAAAAAGATTACCAACCAACAGGTCAAATGATTCTGAACAAGATGAAAAGCAAGGCAACAAATCTGGCAACAAATCATGAATCAGAGCATAGGAGATGGGCATGATTCTGTAGCACTAAGCCCATGGGTATATGGACTTAGTCAGCATACATTGTCGCTGACTTGCATGAATCACTAGCCATTCCCACCTTTTGGGTCACCACCAAGTCCGGCGACTTTCCATTAATCTTGTGGATAAGGCCATGGACACAGAAAAGGAGAAGGAAACCCATTGTCCCCAGGCTAGTCTGAGGTATGCCATGGAACAGGATCAAAACAAACAGATTGGTCTTGGCAAATCACTTGCCGCTATCCACCAGAGTAGGGCTGAGGGCTTGATAGGAGTACCAGACCATCTGGAAGCACAGGATTACATGGCCATCATCATCTCTGAGAAGTGGAAAGATCTCATTGATGGAGCAAAACTCCTTGCTCTATACCAATATTCTGACACCAGGCCAGCTGACAGCATGTGGAGTATATCATCAGAAGATTGGGACAGATCTGCCGCTGTGACCTCTCAGAAAGGTAAGGATCCATTCAAACTGATCACCGCACTGAACTGCTAAAAGAAGACTCTCCCCTAGACTCAGAGAACCACCATGATGGAAACTCCAGATCACAAACCTCTTAGCTCCAAGATCAGTGGAGCAATGGAAGGTATGCAAAACAATCAATCCACTCAGTAATGCTATCGAATCATTGTGCAAAGGTTGGATCATCAGTCATGAAAACAAGAAAAACCGTGAAACATATCAGGAATTCTTCAGCCGCACTCAACAACGAGAGGGTCCCAGTGAGCCACCCCGACTCAGGAAAATTCCTGATCCTAAAGAATGTGACACTTGGCACAGCAATCTAGCAGTGGTGCATAGTTGGAAGCACATTGAATATTGAGCTGAGCTCTGCTGTTACACAACATGAATAAGCTAGAGCCAAGTATGGTCCTGACGCTGGGATCCTTCACTTTGTCTATTGGATTGCAAAAGGTCAAGCCAGGCGTGTTCCTATCGTCTCATTGGATAACATCAAAGGGAGCTATGCCAACAGAACTGTCAGAACCTTTTTCAATTGGTTTCCAACCTGTTCAAACTCTTGGATCCGAAGCAATATCAGCTTTGCCGTCAACAGATGGACCGCTTGGCCAACATGCAGGCTGAATTTGCAACCTAATGGCAAGAATTCTCTTGTCCTTTTCTTGGACTGGCCCTGGTCTGCCATCTTTGTGTCCCTCCACCTGTTGACGAGGGAGACGCCAAACAGGGCTATGTCTGCATGACCAACATGGGACAACACTACAAATATGATCTTGTGATAGGAACGGTGTATCAACAGTACAAGCTGGCTTAGGAGCCTGGGTCAATCATCCTCTACTAATAACGCAGATGGTAGGATAGCGTTGATGTTGTACTTGCATGCTGATGTCATGAAGTGGAACCTAGTACCCGCATGAATGACATCGATACCTGTATAATTGTATGATCATATTGATTTATTGTCATGAAGAGGTGCATATCTAGATGGGCACTCTTGATGAGTCGTGATGCATCAATATACGGCAGACGATCCAAAGAGAGAGAGAGAGAGAGAGAGAGAGAGAGAGAGAGAGAGGGAGAAAGGCAAGGAAGGTATCAATCAGAAGTGGCTGCGCCTCCAATGGAGTCACCTACCAACATCTCAATCAGCAACCAGCGAGTCAGCAACCGTCACCAGCCGGCCAGCTCATTGGCATCTTACCAATTTCTTTTCCATGACCCCAAAGTCTGTCTTGCCCCCGCCAAAGGATGGGTCTTGTTCCAGAGGAGGGTCAACGGAGGATGACATCCAGATCCTCCTCTGAGATTGACGCCGTGATCAAGTGGATTGAAGGCATCATTGATTTAAGCTGTGTGAGATCGAGATCCGTCCATACCCTAGCGCCTGTGGCGCAATGCCATACCCAAACCTTATTATTCTCGTGACTGTCATGTACTGCAGCTACGTATCAGAGGGTTCTGTGTACCTTCTTTTGTCATTCTGCCGACCTATCGACACCCGCGCCATCCTGAACCAGCTCAAAAACCACAGTACAGGCACATCACTACCACCTTGTTTTGCAAATAACCTTCTGCGAGTTGCCTTTTCCTGTGAGTTGCCTTTTCCCCATCCATCATTGTGGTCTGTCTACCACCAAGCTTCCAATGGCGGATCACGGGCAGCAGACTGCAGACTAGACTCACCGTATCAACTACGGTACTGACCCTCTCCCTGACATCTGCCATCAGCTGTTGTGATTCGCGTCCCGCCTGATTTCCCGGACTCATAGCTGTTGCACAGTGCTTGTGGTCTAGGGCATCCACCTGCGCCTGGTCCAAAGGTTCAAACGGGGCGGGATGAGACTAACGGGTGGTCCATGTGATCAGGCGCATGGTGGATAGCTGCTCAGACGAAAATACCCACGCAAAAGTACAAATTTAGCCGGTTTCATGCAGGACCGCCTACAAATGCAGCTTTCAAAGGAGGACGCAGGGGGGGGGGGGGGGGACACAATCAAAATCAAACTCACTGCGACTGTGACCCAATTTGTTGGTACCGACAATGATACCACGCTTCCAAGGCCGGGACGAGACGTTCATGCGGTAAAACCCGGAAGAGACTGCGGTCAATAGTGGTTGCAAGTCAGCGATACTACATTGCTCGTATCCTTGCTGAACACAACACATCACGGCACGTATGAATGTACCACAACTTTGTGCTATGGCACATCGTCATCATCCGTCCCTTCTGTTATTCCATATCAGAATCATGCAAGCTGATCCTTCCTTGCGTTTCCTCTTCTGCCATCTCAGATACATCTCTGCTGCGTCGAAACCTTGTCATCCCGTATCACCACCATACCTCACACCTCTCTCTCTCATATTCCATACGTTCACCCCCCTATCATTATCACCATCGTCAATCTCGATTGGCGCAACCGGCAACACCCATGTCCTTGTTACACCCCATGCCCGTACCCACATGCATCTCAAATCCATCATTACCCTATCCCAAAACCCGCTGCAGGCCCGTGGCCAACCTGTAAGGGTCCCCCTCCACTGTTGCCATCTGGTATAGAGCATCTTCATTCTTGCCCGCCTGTTCAATCCCATCCTTGCCCGCCTCTTCGCCATCGTCGCTGCTGGTGTCGACCTCTTGATACTGCCTTTTGGTGGCTGTCCTATGCTGACCCTGACCTCAACCTGTTCCCCTCGGCTTGGCCTTCCCCTTTGCCTTGGCCTTGCCCTTTGCCTTGTCGCCCTTTGCCTTGGTCACCTTCGCCTTCTTACCCTTTGCCTTTGCCTTGCCGTGCTCATTGTCGTCATGATCCGAATCTTCCAGGACCACCACCTCCTGTTCCCAATTAGCTCCACCCGCAATATATCCACTCCCGACTCCTTTGCAGACTCCTGGCTGCAGCAAGGTAGTCTGTCTGCCCACTTCCTTGTGAGCTTCCTTCTGATCCTGCTTTTCCCCCCACGTTGCCCAGTTAAATTTCAGTTTGTCACCCCAGGATGTTGGAGTCGTAGGAATGTTGGCAGCTGGGGCCGGAGCGGTCAGAGCGGTCGGAGCGGCCAAGGCGGGGACCGAGGTAATCGAATCGTCCTTGGCTCTTTGCTTTTGTTTAGGCCTATTCTTCTTGGGCAAGCCATATTCAAACATACCGGCGTGGGTCCAGTAGACACAGCTCACTCGCTTGCCGGTAAACCAGGGCCTCACATAATGTTCCAAGATGGCAGAACACATCAGGATAATGTCGCCCGGTCACATGTTGAATATGAGACCCAGTCCAGGGCAGACCGTCTGACCGCCTTTCTCATTGAAATTGCCAAAGCACTGTACCAGCACCCAGCCGTCCTTCCTGTCAATGCGATTGCCATGCGGCTCGACGTTCAAGTTTGTGATCAAGACCATCAAACACCAGACGGATGAGGGCGATTGGACGTTTCTCAACCCAGCCAAACGACAGATCATTCGTTCATATTCCTTGTAGAGATTGGCATCGATAGCTTTGAAGATGGCAGCGGCACACTCAAAGTTTGGCTCCATGTCCTTGTAGAATTTGCCAACTCTGCTCATACAAAGAAAGGAGATTGACAGCTTGATTGGTGGGAGCAGGGTGGGGTGGTTGGGGTGGTCGGCAATGGGAGCGGCCTGCAGAGAACTGAATCAGCACCTGGTCGCAAACGGAACCCACGCCATACTCACCTTGCCCGACCTTTCCGCCACCCTCTGTGCCTCTTTTTCCGCCTGCACCTGTGTCATCTGTCGAGCACCCTCACCCAAAGTCACCCCGCTCGCACACACCCTGTCGTTATGGCCCTGCTCCTGTTGCATGATCAGGTAGGTGGTACCAAACTCGTTTGCCGGAAAGGCTTCCTTTTGTAGAGCGTGGTGGACGTGTTGGACATCAGATTTGGGTGGAATGGTAGGGATGATTGGATAGGTGTTCTTACGAGTTGAGTCCACCACGTAGAGGGTCTTGGTCAAGGTCTCAAACATCTTGGCCACATTGTCAGCTGCGGTGAGTTTGGCGGGAAGCTTGATCGGGTCTCCCTTCAAGAATACAAGGACAGGAATCGGAATACGATTGGCCAACAACACTACTGCATCCTCATCAACGGTTCTGAAATGCTTCTCCATCTCCCTCAGAGTCTGCTGCTTAATTACAGGGTCAGCATCCTCTCTACTCCCGTGTTGGTCCTGCCATGGTAGGTGGGCAACAAGGTTGTGGGTTTTTGTAGATTGGCGACATGGTAAACGGAACTTCCCGGATCGTAAACAAGAGCGTGGGCGACGTGGTAGCCGAGGTGGTTGACGGGTGGTAGGTAAACGATGGTCTATAGATGGTTGGTACACAAGGATGCGTAGATGGTAGACGAGGGTTTTGTGGGCAAGATATGGGAAGTTTTGTAGACAAGGGTTTCCTAGAAGAGGGTTTTGTAGACCAGACTCCATAGACGGCAAGAGATTCCTCAACTGTGATCCGCATTGAAGAAGTTTGGAGAAGAACCAAATGCTAGGAGATAGGATAGCAAAGTCACATACCTCTGAAGCCAGGGGGTCCCTTCCAGGTGATCTGAGGCTGCTTCTTTCCTCCTCCACATTCCAAACAGGTACATGTCAATACGACTCCTCCAACCTGTGAGCAACATGTAGATGTTACGGGTTTGCACAATAGTTCATGCGAGCAAGAAATGTCAAAGGTGCAATCGTCAGCATATTGCTTCATATACAAAAAATCAAATACAAAGGTGCACCAGAGAAGGATTGCCTATACAATTTGCAAACATGTAGACTCACATGCTTGTATGTATGGTTATAGGGCATGAACGCCTTTATGTCTGCCAGTTGCTCTTCCCACATTTGTCTCAGCTGGGGCTCTTCAAATTTGGCATAACTTGGAAAATGGTGGTTTCTAATGGATATGATGGGAGTTGATAGAGATCGCAGAGCTGGTTCAAGCATCTAATTGCGAAGGTATGAAGGTTATCACTCTGTTCACATCATCAATCGACAAGCAGTAATTAACGGACATGAGGACAGTCTTGCAGCTGAGCCAGGGCATTCTGTGACTTTTGCTATCATAGTACTGTACATGTTGCTAGTATTGAGCTGACTCAAGGTGATGTGTTTGTCTCCCTTTGGAAAATTCAGTAAAGACAAGCTGAGGACTCTTCCCACACCATCAAAAGCTCAGACCTTTCCATAACCAACTAGTCCACTCAAGCTTCAAACCCGCTACACCATCCTTGCCACAGCCAATTAGGGTCAGGCAAGACAACCGTTCTGCAGGAAGTGCTTTACCATATCCTTGAGCACATGTTCTCGGTCAGGGAGACAGATATTTGACCGTGGATATTGTGGACAATCTGGAAAAGGAGTTGATCGCTACTGGAGCGTGGAATTATGTTAGGCATTGAGAAGGCTTCAGGGAAGACCGGCTTGGCATAGACCTGCGAGGACATATCTTGGGGTAATGTAGAATATAGAGCTAGGGTATATAGATGTAATAGCAGATCGAAGACTATATACTACAATGAGACTAGGAGATAATACAATACAATATGCTCATTGAACAGCTCTGCCAGAGTGTTGTGAAGTAACAACTAGATCCACCAAGGTTGGTTACTTGATGTACCTAAGCAATAGTAATGGTGTGTTACTAGTGCTGATCTTGTCTTGTTGTGAAGATGAATCAATGTTGCTTGCATAAACGTAATGTAGTACATGAGAGGGGAAAGAGAAATCAGACCCAAATGGTCTGCTATATATGCTATTCTGATGAGCATGTCCCCTAGTGAACTTGCGGCTAGAGCAGTCGCATAATTGCGACTCTGGTCGCATATTGCGTCTCCAGTCACGTATTTGTGACTCCAGTCACAAATGACATCACCAATATGCGACTCTAGTCGCATATGTGTGTCTCTGGTCGCATAAGTGTGACTCCAGTCACATTTGTGCGTCTCCAGTCACAACATGTGAACCTGGTCACATGTGGACCCTTTGTGCTTGAGATTGCACCTTTGAGCATCATCAATGATGTCATAGCATGCCAATCTTCAACATCTCTAACATTGCATTCCGTTTCTACCTTGCTGTGGCTGAGACCCAGCCGGTATTGTTTCAGATAGATAAGGGAAAGAATTGAGCCAAACGTCTCAATGTCTCAATGTCAAGATTGCCAATGAACCTCCCCAGATCGTTCCAAACTCTTCCCGTTTCATTGACCATGACAACTACAAGAACAACGAGTCAATCTACCACCACAATGGTAATTGTTTGCTCAACAATGTCTCCCATCAGATAGCTGGAACTTCTCGCTTTACCAAAGCGTACATCTAGTGTAAAGGATCAGGGGGTAGGCCATCAAATGGGGCCTACCTTTCAGGTTATCAGTCAACTCTTCAATGCTATTGACAGAACGGCTGATGAAAAATACCGGAGGGTCTAGGCAAGTGTTGACGAACGTGGTTGTACAAGAGCCATCACATCCAGCCAATGGCAAGTCTTTTGTACTATTGCGCTGGTACACAACCTCGCACTTGTACCTCATGTGGACACCGGTGATGTACACGATGGTTGGGTGGCTATGTTCCCCCGAGGCAACTATACAGGCGGAGCACTCGTCTTGCCTGCGTTGGGTATCAAGGTCCCCTATCGACCAGATAAGCACGGAGAACTTCACATCGATGGGTCTCCCATTTACTGACAACTTCGATTGAACAGGCGACCTAGTCTTTCTCAGATTGGCAGAAATTGAACATTACATCAATCAATATGTGGGAGAGCACCCGGGGTAGTCATGTTTACCAAGAAGACAACCATCAAGAAGTGTAAGTTTTGTGTTAACCGACTGCCGTGAAGACAGCTCATTTCACAATATCGCTACTAGCGGGAGATTATAGGAGATATAGTAGACGGCTCGGTTGGTACGAAAGGGATGTCCTTTATATATAAATGTATATATATATCTTTGATCTTTGAAGTATGTACTAGTATGTTGAAGGGATGACCGACAGGTCGTTTGCCATGATGATGCCATTCCACAAAGTTGGGATTAGGCGACGTGCACCGGGTGATTATTTTTGGGGCGCTAAAACACCTCTTAGCGCTCCGCAAATCATCATCCGGTGCACGTCGCCTTGCAATCTTGAGTTCTAACAAGCCTTGCGTCGAAAGTCAGTCGATCTGGACCCATCCCACCGTCCAATATGGCTCGAAGTTGATGAACAAGGCTTCTGAAAGGAGCAGATCGTAGGGCTATCGCATTTACACACACATCGACTCCCAGGGCCATAAGTAAGGGCTAGGTCGTAGGTTTCTAGCACAACCGCACACGCCTTGCATATCGGTAACGTTATCGCAGGTTCTGCTCGAAACTATACAAGCGCACCCGCATCCAGTTGTGCCTTCTTCTTCCCCGCAGTTTGCCTTTTCCCAGCAGATCAGGATGTTTCCGTCAGGGCTGCATCAGGCTTGGTCAGGTCGAACATGCCGAGGATCCATTTGTCATCAATCATGAAGATGCTATATGTTTGTTTGAGCACTTCCAGTCCATAGTAAACCCCCACGGTCATCTCCTGCGTATTAACAAGGGGAGATAAGGACTGAAGTGAGCGGCGAGCTAGGCCCAAAATACATTCACTGATCACCTACCCATTTAGCCTCAACCAATGTCCAGACCGTCATCTCAAAGGTCCCCTCCACTAGCAAGACGGCAATGCGAGCAAGTCGTTCTTGCCCCATCCTAATGGTTTGGCCGATCAGCTGGGTGAGATCCGCGTAGGTCCAGGGCATGTCGACGATGATTGTATAGCTGCAGGGTTGACTGAGCAGTAGGAATACGTGAGCTGAGCTGAGCCATCCGGTCATGTGTCAGGTGCTTCATGGAACTCACAGGTTCAATCCCGCTTTACAGACCGGGATAGATACTAGCACACACAGCGGCTGTTTCGTATTGCCCCGCTTGAGCAGGCCGATTGTGCGCCCTCGATTGTTGCAACTTGTAGGCTCGGCGGTGAGGGTGAGAAAGAAAGCCTTCTCTCCAGGATCAGCTGCGGTCCCGTCAACAAAGCCCTTGGCCTTCAACCAATCTCTGACCAGATTCAGAAAGTCCGGGCCCATCGCAGCAATGAGGACAATATCCCTCTCTTCCGGTGCCTTGCGTAGCTCCGTCCTGAGTTCGTCATTGTCAAATTGCATCTTGACCATGTCCTGCTGGTCACCCCACATTCCGAATAGGGAATTCAGAGCTGACCATGTTTGGCTTCGGAAACCCCAGGTAAGCACCCTTCTCTCCTGAGCTACCGCAGGGTCTTGGGCATGTTGGCCGGTGCGCCAGACATGGGGGCTGTTTAGGGTAGCACGTGAATGATACCTCAAATCACTGTCCTCCGGACATGGTCCCACGGCTCGCGGGCCTTCCATGATGATGGTTGGACAGTATAAAGCTTTACGCAGTCCTGCCATGAGAGCTAGTTGAGGTAGCTTCCGCCTACCCACATCGTTGTCTCCCATCATGTTCCGTCAGGAGTTGTAAGCCCTTTTCATCAACTTTCGGTGGATCTTGTGTTCTAGACCCCCCTTGCGCATTTGTAGCCAAGTGACCCACTCGGCCTGTGGTGTAGAACGGACGAGTTCACTGCCCTCCCAGACGTCCGAAGTACGATAGAGGAAGACGGAAGGATGGAAAACCCCGGAAAGTTTGGCAACCTCAGGGTCAAACCGTTCTTTGTCGACAGACATCTGCCCCCTCAGTTCGGTTGCACCCACCCGAATAGAAGCCCTACATCTGTCGAAGTTGCCTGGCGTGGTCATGCGGAGCATAACCGCTGGCACGAACAGATCGTAGATCGAGTTGCTCAATATTGTAGCTGAAATCAGATGCACCTGTGCATAAAAAGAACCAATAGGTAAGCCTTCCGGTGTGGTATGTATTCTCTGTACACGCTGGCAACCTACCTTTTTGGTAACCCATGCCAACCGCATCAGAGCACGCGCACATTTGTTATTCCGGTTCTTGGCCAGATGCAACTCGTCCAAAATGAGCCAATGAATCTCTCCGTGAGCCCTTTGAGTTTGCCTGGAAGATGTCACCCATTCGTTTGGAAATCAGCGAAAATACCTAGCAAATCACATCTCAGTACGGGAGGACCTACTTGTAGGTGCCATTCTGTTGTATAGCAAACCACATGTGACACGAAGTCCTATCTCGTCCCGTCAACAGCTCCATTACCAATTCTTTGAAGCTGTTGCCATGCCTGGTACCCAGCCTGACACGATGCTGATAGTCACGATAATTACGGACTTCTTTTGATCATAGGCGTTCTGCATCTCCTCGGGATTCGCCACCAGAGCTATGCGCTCCCATGTCCAGCTGGCATAGCCCGCCAATTCCCGCTGCCACTGCACGGCCATGATGACGCTCGGAACCACAAGCACAGTGATTCAATCCTGTGCAGCAGAGTCAGTGATAAAAAGGGAACTTGATGGAACACCTTTGACGTTAGGTTCCGAAGGATATGAAATTGGAGCTGACGTAAGACAATGGCGTAAGGCAATTCGGGCCTCGGTAGGTCGACGTGCGTTTTTCTGAATTGCGCGTCGCGCGTCGTTTTGAGAAACAATACAAAAACGACACGAAAACAATACAAAAACGACACAAAAACAATACAAAAACGACACAAAAACAATACAAAAACGACACGAAAACAATACAAAAATGACACAAAAACAATACAAAAACGACACGAAAACGATACAAAAACGACACAAAAACAATACAAAAATGACACGAAAACGACATGGAAACGATGATGATCGTTGTTGAAAATGACGATGATCTTGCGTCCTGGCGATTGAAAACGATGGCCAAAAACGATCTGGTTGCTGGTTGTTCCTTCTGGACCTGGCAAGGGCGCCACCTAGCCACTAGCTATTTGATATCATGATACCGACTGGGATAAGAATTCATAGGGACGTGACATTTACTCTTACAGACGTGACTTTTGTGGAGTAAGCGGAAGAAAACGTTCTCGAAATCCTCCGACGATAAATTGTCCGGGCAAAGTTTCTCACGCGTAAGAATGATCATTATAACGTAAAGAGACCGTCAAGCCACGACTGTACAACCCTATCGAAATCTATCGACGCTCTACTTAGTCGTCTTCTTTTTCTTCGGCACGGCTCGCTGCTTCCCCTTAGCGTTGGCCTCGGGTTCCTCCTCGACCTCGTCTTCGACCTCGACCTCGCTCTCGTCTTCGTCCTCGTCCTCTTTACCGCCGCAGAGTTTCTTGTCCTCCAATAGCGACGTAAAAAGTTTACGGAAAGCCTCCGAGGGACCGGCGTCGTGGGAGTTGTCGGCGTCGTCGATGGCGACTGACTGGCGCCTGTGGCAGATCTCGTCTCGCAAGATCTTGACGCTCATCGCGAACAACTCTTGACGTTCGGCCTTCTTCGTAGCTTTTCCGCCGACAAATTCCATGAGAATTTTGGCAAGGCGGAGGGAGGGCTCGACTTCCGGATCTTGAGGCGAGAACGTCCATTCGGCGCCGCCGTCGTCCTTGCACGGGTAACCGTGCGGCTTGCATCTCCCGCAGGACGTGAACGCCGAGTCGGGGGAGAGGGGAATTGCCGCTCGACAAATTGCGACGCCGCTGTAGGTAACGCACATCTGCAATTCGCGTTCCTCGATCACCTCGTCGTCGAGACCGTCGGTGAGCGGGATTTGTCGTTCATCGTTGCCGACGCGGTACTCGGGGGGGCCGTTGGCGCCGCTGTATTTCAGCAGGCAAGTAGGACAAGCGACTCGCCAGCCGCCCTGGTAGTTCTTCTGTAATTCGAAAGAAAGTGAGCAAGAGAAGAATTGCGACGGAGAAAATCGAGAGAAATCTGTCGACTCACAAAGAACCCGTTCACCCTCGCCGTGTTCATCTCCCCGGTCGGCGTCAGCTTCGTTGCTCGAAGCCATTCAGCTTGGGGGGGAGGGTAGGGGAGGACCTCGAGATCCTGCTCCTCGACCACCCGTGCGTGAACTATTCAAGAAAAAGAGAACGTCAGTATATTTCGAGAGAAATGTAACGAGGGAAATTTACTTACGAAGTTTATGAACATCATATTTCTTCGTCTTCGTATTCTGGGGGACGAGAAAGAAACATCCCGTCTCGCAACGAATCGCCTTCATGCCCGGGGCGTTGAGATTTGGCGTCGGCCAAGGCTTGTTCGATTTTTTTTTGTTTTTTAACCACGCTTTTTGATCTTTGACGATTTCTCGCCACCACCTTTGCACCGTCGGAAATCGAAAGTCCCACAACAACAGCGTCGGCTCGAAGTTGACGTTGATATTGTCGGCCTTGATGAAATTCTTGGGGAGGAAGGGGGCCGGGGGACGTTCTCGAGCATCAGTATAAAGGTCGCTGTTGTTCGAGGAAAAAGCAGTTGGAAAAAGTTAGCGAGGGAAATTTTCGAAAAAAGAATATCGTTGAACTCACAGCGGAGTGTTCGGCGAGTCGGCCTCCGCTGGTCTCTTCGTCCCGGAGGGACCTGCTTTGGCGTTCCTGCAAATCGAGTTGATACCGAAATTGATCTCGAGAATATTTACGTCGACAAAAAAAAAAAACTCACTCGCTCGCCTTTGTCTGCTCGGTCTCCTTAGCGGCCTTAGCGGCCTCAGCGTCCTTGGCGGCTTGAGCATTGGCGGCGGCTCGGGCCTTGGCGGCGGCGGCGTCGGTGGCCCTGCGAATGAAGTTAACGTCGATGTGAATCTCGAGAAAAGTAACGTCGATAGACTAGAAAGAACGTGAACTTACTCCTGGTTCGGCTGGCCGGCCCCGGCCATGTGGGCGACGACCCGGGCATCGTACTCCTCGTCGGTCTCACCCTCACTAAATACAACGAAAAAACTCAGCCGTCGACAAATATCGAGGGAAATTAAACGATGGTACTTACTTCCGCACCAACTGGTCCCCCTCCTCCTCCCTGTACTCCAAACGCGCCCGACGCTCTTCCTCGGTCTCACTGCAAACACACACGGACGAAATCAAACGACGTTCGATATCGAGAGAATTTAGACGACAACTAAACTCACTCGGCGGTCTGGGTCTGCTTGGCGTTTCGAGTGCTGAAGAACGTTACGTGAAACAGAATCAGATCGAGAACGGTCGAGAAGCATGACCAATGTATTCAAACTTACTGGACCATTGTTCTTGTTACAGTCGGAGTATGTCGGGTGAAGGTTGACGAAGGTGATGTTCGAGAGAGATGTATCTAGGTAATGAAGTGAATGTAGTAAGTATGTTCGAGAGGGGGGGAAAGTAAAATCGAGAGGGGGGGGTGGGGGTATATATGCTTCTCAGTTTGTTAGCGAGGCGTCGACCTCGATTTGACTCGATCGAGAACAAAAGAATCGTCTGTAACTTTAAACTCTGTTCATTTCGCTGCTCATGATGTCATGAGAGACGCAGCGACGCTCGATCTGTTCTTATTGCCAATTCGAGACGTCCGATAAGGTCGAAGCGACGTCAAGAGACGACTGAGAAGGTCGAAACGTTGTCAAGAGAATGAATTGTTATTGTTGTAGCGTCTGAAACGTTCCTGATCGACGATCTGCAAAGAACAAATCGTGAGAAGGTTTGCGACGGAATCAAAGCCCCTGTTACTCACGCCGTAGTATCCACGATATCAAAGAACTCGTCAGACATAAGCGAGAGTGATCAGCGATGACATAGTCACGAGACGATAATAACAATAGTAAAAAAACCCTAGCAGTGGGACCTCGTTTCAAATCTTGCGTAAGCGAAGGGTCCTTTGGCGCCATTGTTCTACATCGGGTGATTGTAGTAACTGCCCTGAGAAGCCGGAGCAATTCCTGAAGACGACGCCTCTGGGATGTAGTTGAAAAAATGTTGCGAGGGAATTTCTCGAGGATGAAATGATGAAAAAGGCATGCCAGGAAAAACAGGCGTCGACGTGGGCAGAGGCAGATAAGTGTGACTTTGAGAGCCATATTGAGGCGCGGTGAGGTGAAAGGGGCCTCGAGTGGGGTTGGAAGCTATATCCTGCTGAACACCTGACGGCGGAGGGTTTCGAGAGGAGTTTGACGCCTGAGTACTCCGAGCCTCGAGGATATCTGCGGCCTGCGACTTCTTGTAGAGACCACAAGTCTTGATTGTATGGCCAACGACTCTGCAGTGGCCACATTTCCTCGCTGCTTTTTTGGCGATTTTCTCCTCTGCGTCCAATCGACGATTGACTGTCTCGTTGCCAGTTTCTAGACGTCCCGACGCTGTCAAATTGGCCACGATATCTTCCGTAGGCCCAAGTCCATTCCGTAGCTGTCCGTAGTCTCGCTTCTTCTGACCTTTGGCCTTTGCTTTCGCCTGCGACCGAACAAATTGGGGACGGCTGAGGGGTTCTTGAATAATAGCGGCGTTGGGAGACATCTCTCGAATTTCTCCGTCGTTGCTGTCGAAATAATCATTTCGAGGAAGAAAGACGTCCTCAGCCTGGAGAGGTGGGAGAATCTCGATATCCCCTTCAGGATAGTGGGTGAAGAATGTTCCCACAGTATGTGTGACGTCGACCCATTCCTTCGCCACAGTCCTGGCTTCTGCTTGCAAGTCTTTTTGTTGACGCAAATGCCAGAATTTATGAATTCTGGCGGGGTCAATTAAAGGATGGGGGTTGTCCGGCGCCAGGATTTCGTCGAAATCGTGCTGACACAGAAGGCCTTGCTGAAGCTTCATGCCTCCACTGCAGGGTTTGAGAGGCGTGGCATTGATACGAGCGGCTTGCTGCAGTCGATAAGCTCCGTGGAACATTAGCTTCAGACCGCGAGAGGCGATCAGTCCGGTAAGCTATGGTTTCGAAGGAGTTGTCAGGGAAATTTCCTAAGGGAATTTTCTGCAGACAACTTACCGACTGCATGCATTGGGGGAAATCTTTTCCAAAACCGATACTGTCAGTTGCGTGCGCCTTGAAGATGGCGCGATGAGTTGCCCTCATGTGGTTGAGCGAGGCATGAACGGCAGTAAACATGTCGGCATTTGCTCCGCCGATGGTGTTCTTCAAAGCACGATGGAAAGACTCTCCTCGAGAAGTTGTAGTTTCTCCGAAATTGAGCGTCGTCAACAATCGATGGGCTAAGAAGTGATCGCCTTCACTGTGTTGGCCAATCACGTAAAGCCAGGCGTCACGAGTCTTGTCGTTCTGCAGGAACTCGTCGCTGTACTCATCAAGGAGTCTTTCGAAAGTAGCCTCCGACTTCTCAAGGCGCAAGAATGTTGCGGCTCGTTTGACTTTCTCGAAATCGTCCTTCGGAACAAGGGGCCGGAAATTTTTGTTGAGGTTTTGTCCGAGATGCCACGCACAAAGCTGCTGCTTCCAGTGCGGGTAGACCAAGGTGAGAGCATTTCTCAACGCATCACATTGGTCTGTCAAGACAACTTGCGTCGGAAGTTCTCGACAGACATGTTTCAACGACTGCAGCGCCCAGACGTATTCGTCTGTGCTCTCGGTGGAGAGAAAACACAGTGCGACTGTAAAGGATTTGTTCGTCGGAGACATGCTGACGACATGTAGCATCGGCATTTGGTATCAGTTGGTCTTGTACGTCGCGTCCATGAAAAGAACGTAGCCGTAATGTTTCGCCAGAACTATAGCGAGGGGATTTGTAAAGAAGAGCGTCTGCAGTTCCCCCATTTCGTTCGATCGATAGCAATGGGGGATTCCTTTCTAAACCATCTCTCGAATGATAGCGTCGGCGGGCGTGCGACCTCCTCTAGCAACGGCCTTGAGGCGGTACTTGAGATTGTAAATCTCCTGGGGAGAGACGTAGCAATCTCTCTTTTCCTCGCTGGCTTTCTTGTGGAGCATTTCGACAATAGCTGGCGCAGAGGTTTTTTTGCTTGTGCTTAGGGCGGTGACGGCCAAGGCGACTTCACTCTCCGTCATGTGACGATGCTGATGGAAGGCGTACGAGCCAGTGAAAGGGTGATTGTGCTGAAGGTTTCTCTCCGAGAATTTCCAAAGACCCAAAGACCATTTATTTCTGGCGAGGTAAAGTTTCCACTGGCAGCCAGTTTTCTTAGTTTTAACGATAGAGTTTTGTCTCATCCGTCCGTTCGCCATATATCGATGGGAATCTTTATGATGTCCGTTCTGGGCACAGACGACGTAAAGGTTGTTTGCCGCAACCGCCTCCCTACTGACTGCAAAGCCTTGCTTTTCAGCGACGGCTTGTATCGCTCGAAATGCATCATCGCGATCATTGTAACCGGGATGATCGAGGATTTCTCGTAGGTATTGGGGGGCAGGGTGAGTGTTGGTATTACTTATGGGAAGAATTTCCGATGGAGCGGGGCTGCTGCGATCGATCTCGAGGTATTCTATGGCTAGAATTTCTGACCAGGGAGGACTTCCCTCGCAAATTGGCGAGGATGACATGATGTATATGTCGGTGATACCATATTCGTAGTTCAGGGGTACATACACATCGACTGGCGGTACTACAAAGTGACCACGTCGTTGACGTGTGCTTGTCGGAGGATATCGGGCTAATTCTGGCGTCGGAGGATTTCGAGAAACTTTTCTTCCGCTTACCCCACAAAAGTCACGTCTGTAAGAAAAAACCTCACGTCCCTATGAATTCTTGACTGGGATCAGTGGGATGACAGACATGCTCGATCCAAGACCCTGCTGCTCCGACCCGCCCCCTCCGCCTATCTGCCAGATCGCTGCTGGATGTAAAAACCCTTGCGCATCCAAGAAGAATGCCCGGGGACACTTCAAGGGCTGTCAAGCATGTCTCGATAGGAGAAACAGCCTCCCTTGTAATCTGAAAAGAAAAGGTATTTCAGGTGAGTAAGAGAGGGTCCGGGCAAGGAGGGAGGAGAGGACAAGGATGAGGGCTTACACGGCAACAAAGGAGGAACAGGACCGTACTGGGCATGATACTTATGCTAGATTCTCCTGTGTTGGGTCGTAGCCGATGAGCATATGACAAAGAAGCAGCGTTGCCTGGCGTCAGACAAGAAAGGGAAGGCAACGCCCGAGAAGAAGGTGATCCTCGGTAGGATAGGATCAGTCGGTATGTTCAGAGCCGGGCGTCTGTGACATATAGGCATTCCTGACTCGGTACTCGTTGGCATTTGCAGATACGGGGGCGAATACCATGCTAGTCAACACCCGTACTCAAGGCAACTGGGAGCTTGCTATTCACAACCACAACGCTGTCGTTGACGAGTTCAACTATCTCGTCGCGGCTGCTTCTACATTCGTTACCAAGCCCCTTTCCACTACTCCACTGGCAGTGCTACGTCCCACCAACAAGGGCCTGGACTTGTTACACAAGACTCCCGCCCTCTATCAACTCGGCATATCCAGACCCATCACTTCCGATGCATCACCGAGCACCATTGCTAAAGGTTTCTTGCCGGAAGGATGGACAGAAGATACCGAGCTAGAAGTTCAGGATATGAGCCAGCTTCCAAAGGCACTTGTCGAGGGCACGAAACCCCCTGAGACAAGGAATATCGCACTTGGAGAGGCTCTTACACAGTTTGACACGTCGGCCAAGGGATACAATTGCCTCGAGATCCCTGGGTCACCTCTCCAGAATGCCCAGGAGTAAGCACTGGTTTCCCGCTCTTCTCTTGTACGTCTGCTGACCTCTGCTCATTATTACCTTGCAGTTGTTTCATGCATGATGTGTTGGCTTACAACATAGGAATGCGGCACATCAAGAAGAATAAGACTTTGTTGAAGAACTAGTACAACGGAAAGCATTCACCAGGACAACAGATAAACAAGTTCGGCTCTTTCAGACTCGCAAGCACTGCAGGCACGATCAAAGGTGATCATGAGGATGGTAGTGGATGTCTCACTATGCTTGAAGTTGATTACGGTCTTAAAGTGAGTGGCGTTTGTTGCAACAGAACCCATCCCACTACTGACAGTAGCTCGATTACAGGTATGGACTATCTTTTGCCCCGATGAAGGCTCTGCGGAACACCTTATCCTTCGGCCCGGAGACTGCCTGTAGATTACAATTTCAGGTTCATCAGAAGGAGAGCGCAACTGACTACAAGCATACAGAATCATGATTTCCAGTACTCCTCACAGTGTCTACACCCCCGAACCGACCCTCTGTTCTGGACAACATTTCCTCCATTACGACTCTCTCAAGGCTATCTACAAGGGAGCGGCCCGCCAGGCAAAGGAGCCCATCAGCAATGAATACATTCCAGCTGTCGGTCTGCTGCTGTGTTTCATGGCTCTAGCACTGGCAGATGATTCTTTTGTTGAACGCCTTCAATTGGGTGAGTACATGCGGAGTCTGTGCGATTCGGGTCATTGATGGATTTCAAGTTGATTGTCAAACAGGTCCCAAACTTGGCCAATATGCGGCTGAGTTGGATACCATGCTGCAATCGTATGACCTGCTATTTCCAGTCCCGCCAGCAACTCAGAAGGAGGACACAAAGCTATATCTGGGGATCAAAGACGCCATTCAGTACACCAAAGACCTCGCCCTCAAGACCTTGGTAGAGATCAAAAGACGTGTTTGGTTGTGTCACGGGGAGGCTAGAATACGTCGACGCGGGAGTTGTTGGGCGTTTCGGGACGTTTCGGTACTATAGCGGCCGTTTCGTTGTGACTTAGTCCACAATACAGAAGGTAACGGTATGATGAACTTTGATATCGTCGCTTAGAACCCAATTCGGTTCTAAGCTCCTCATTCTACTCTACAATAGATCGCCATCCTCTAAACTACGTTGCGGCGGTGTGTTTGACCGGTCGAGAGCGCGTCGTGGGCTTAATCGGGCGGAAAAGCCAAATAAAGGCGCGTTCCGTAGCGCGTCGGGATAAGTCCGAGGTTATGCTGAGCCGACGTTCCGGTTCCGATCGTCACTCGGTCACAGGTTGCGTGATTGAGGTAGTATTCATGAGTTCGACCATATTATTTATGCTGGGACAATTGGGTGTATAAGGAGAATCACATAAAACAGCACTACCTGTACTACCGACTCCTTGTCCCGAATGACGAGGTCCATTCTTTATGTGGGCTGATCGCATAAAACAGCACTACCTGTACTGCCGACTCCTTGTCCCGAATGATGAGGTCCATTCTTTATAACACAGAGTCCCTTCTTGAATGTCTGAGCGGATCTCTTCCAGCCAATCCGATGAATCTATTGGGGAATTTGGCCCTTCCGCAATTGATTTGCGGCCCCCTGTCCCGTCCATGTACACTCGACTCGGTCTCCTGGCCCAAATCGCCATCCTTGAGACAGTATGTCTATGAAGCTATGACAAAGCGTACCCCTACCACTGTATTGTCAAAATGGGTGAAGCTCGAAGTGTCTGGAGCGCCGGTATAATGTGTAATGGAAAGCGCATCGATGTAACGATGGTACATGATTCCCAACATTACAATTGACGTTCCAAACGATCGTCCATGACCGAATCTTCTGGCTTCTTGTCGACTGTGCACGAGTTGTATCAATGCTGCGGTAGCTTTGTTCAATGTAAATATGATTGTTAGATATGTCTGCCATGACAGTTGTTCACTACCGTTGTGTATCATTTGATGTATGTAAACTTTAGAAATGCTTCCTATCAGGTAATGGCGGGATTCGCGATTTGGCTCTCAACGCCGCGTCCACGCACTCGGATTCGTCCTCTTCGTCCCTGCTACCACCGGTTCTCGATTGTATGTCAATCACATCACGACATCGATATATGCGCTGCTTATTTGCACAGCAAGTTGTCGCGGCCTTCGCCAAGTGGTAAAGCATTGAACCATTGAGAATACAAGCTCACATGTTACAGGTCATTTTTGGGCTTGAGGGCTGGATCACATACATTCATAAGTTATATGTCTGTCTTATATCGCCGTTCCTATATTATTGCTTGTCTTATATCGCCGTTACTATATTATCGCCGTTATATCCTGGCGCTTTATGTACACCTCACTCAATTTTTATCAGCGTCTTTCTTGAGTTTTGCGGAGAAACCAGGCGCAACCAATTCCAATAATCCTTTGAAGCGGGAGGCGGCCTTGAGCAAGAAAGCTTTGGTCTCTCTGTCTCGATTGCATTCGCATTCCACGTCATCCCACTGTTGCTGGAGGCAAATGATGTCCTTCTTGAGTGCAGAGTATCCTTGTTTCGCCTGTGATATCCTGCTCATCTGGATCTTTTCCCGTTCAGTTATCAATCCCAATTGAGACGATACCTCCGGGCTTATCTTTGCCGACGCCAGCAGAACACCTTGGCTGGCCAGCCATGCACGTCATTTCTGGCCTAGTTGATCATTACCTCCTAGTTGTCCTAGGCCAGAGTCGCACAGCAACGTTACGAGCTGCGTCCTCTCCATTTCAGATGCTGTGGGAGAAGTCGCCTTGCGAATATCGGCCAGGAAGCGTACCACATTGGCATTGGTGGCAAGCTAAGCTGAGGTCAGGATGGCAGCCTTTCGAGCGCATGTAGCCATACACTCACCTCACGCATGAGCGAAGCTTCGTCACTCGTACCCGTATGATTCTCTCCTGCTCTTTCTTGATGCAGGGCGACGACTGTCTCCTGTAAGAATGTCCGACTCATCATATCAGATCTTCATCAAGTCTGGTCTGCGCACAAGCATAAACTGACTCTGTGTTTCCCCATCCGTATCTCCGCTCGACTCTCCTTGATCGTCTCACATCCAGTCTCGGCCGACTCGTCATCTTGTCTGCAAGTTTCTTGGTCTCCATCAGACACTCCTCCTGTTATAGCCATCCGCGGTACGCCTAGAGTGTACATCCGAACGGGTTCTCCGCCAGCAACTCCGGCGGAGCAGGTACTTATATGGTACGATAGGTAACTTCTAATTACTACGATCACTCTTGTAATATGTAGTTCATCTGCTATCACACTCATTTATCTATCTACTACCCTACACAAGTCCCGGAGAACACACAGGTTGCTGGCTACCTAACATGATCAAACCCTTAGCTGACGATTTGATGGAATTGTCTGGGTGATAACAATGAGCACCCGTCTGGGTGATTAAAGTGTCGGTTCATTGAAGCACAGATATTGATATATACGACCGCATAACTTGTTGTAAGAATGCTGCTACCCACATACGGAATGGAGATATTGCTTCGCCCAATAACATTCAGTTCAGCAAGAACCCCCGTTCTCAATCGAGCCAATTTGACAGCCATCCTGGAGGAGGCCCGCATATTACTATCCCGGACTTGGAGGAGGCCTGCATATTACATGGCTTCGTGGGCATACAGGGAGGGTCTCGCTATTTGTGAGTGAATTGCTGGAGCGCGTGTGTTTCATCTGGGTCGCCGCATACTGTAGTCGACCTGTCGATTTATAACTTCCTCACGATCCATAAAGCAACTGTCACGCATGATTCTAACTCCTTCACATTCCGTGCCAGTCTGCTAAGCTCCGTACTAGTTTGGAGTTATACTGGTATGTGCGACATCAGATCTCAAGCGACAACGCAATAGCTCATAAGCAGCACACCAGGCCAAGAATTGACGGTGTCAGATGGGCGGAGAGGCGTTTTCTAGTACCATCTGAAGGCGGCATGTGCAAAATTTGTGGTCGGGGGCACCTGCACGGGTAAGCAGGTCCAGTCAGCGGTCTGCCGAGTCCAGTCCATACATGTTTTCAAGCCTATTCATTACCTAGCAAAAGATAATTATAGCCGTCCGGATCTGGGATTGTCCAGGCCAAGTGATCCCCAGTATTGAAGATTCTGTTGTTCTGGGGCAAGCGGGAGAAGAGATAGGCGATCCAATTGTCCCTGTTGGAAAAGCGTTGTAATCAGTGACAGTCACAGCGACGTGACTATTGCATCTGATGGACGTAGCTGGTAAATGCAGCCGAGCGATCTTACCAGCTACCGTAACTGTACCGCATTTTAATCAGGAGCAAGTCCCAAAACTTAGGGGTTAGACGTCTCCAAACACATCTCCTAATGAGTCTCTGAGAGGGTCTCCAAATGGACCTCCGTATGAGGTGAAAATCTACACCCCGCATGTGTACAGCATGTGTACCGCGGATGCCTATAGTAGTATGCTGTAGTATTCAGACATCTGTTATTACAGTCATTACCTTGGCCGTACCTTCTAGTCCTGTGTGTTATTATCCAGGCTTGCAGCCTTATGATAGATTCAGGGTGATGTGTGGAGCAGATTGCTGTCCTGGACCAGCTGTTATAGCGGTCACGTGACGCATCGCTACTCCCGCAAGAGACCCCCTCAGAGGTCCCTTCGGAGACACCTCTCGACATCCCCACAGGGGTCTACTTTTACATCTCCCATAGGTGCTTATTATAATAGGCTCATTGTATGTATAAACTTCATCCGTTATTACACCATTACCCTTAGACCTAGCCCCACGTAGACTGTTAGTCCTCCTCTTTAATACCAGCCTGAAGGAGGGCCAAGCTGAGAAGAGGTGGAACATGAGCAGGATTCTGGATCATTGGGTAAGGATGAGGGTCAAAATGATGGTTGGATGGGTTGCTATACATGACACGCATCATAAGGACTTCAGCTGAAAGCTCAGCAGTAATGATATCTTGATCTATTCACTTTCACTGCCTTTGAAGCGGCTGCTTGTCACTGATTTAGGCGGCTTCCGTCTCTGATGGGAAGAAGTTCAGCATAGAGATGCAAAGCTGGAATACGGCTCAAGACCAGAGAGCACGGCAAGCCTACATGAACCTTGAACAGTATAAGGCATCCCATCTGCTGTTTGTGATAGTGATTCTGTACCCACATTATGAGGTTTTAATGTCATCACCTCAGTGGTGTAGTGGTAACATTATTCCTTCCCAAGGAATAGCACTGGGTTCGATTCCCAGCTGTGGTAAAAGTTTTTTACTTTTTCTTACCTGCAGTCGCCCTTTTGCGGGTAAGCGGCGGTATCCTTTTTCCGCAATCGGATCACCATGACTAAAGCGTTTCTCACCATGTTGTCAGGTATTCCGCTGGATGTGCGCCCGGTGTTGTAGGAAAGCAGCAGAGAACTCGCCCATCGATCTCGCGTGTCGTCGAATGGGGACGTGCGTTCACGACTAACAGCCCGATATGACGTGAACAATACTCAGACTGAACCAAGCCCACTTCGGTCATGATGACCCTGAACAAATCTGCAGTTCCGGCCAATCTCTGTTTTTTTATTAGTTACAGTCGTTCCACGCAATGTCATAATGATGATTTCCCGTCAATGATCAGTGCTAGGCGTATGTTATAGTTGCATGTACAAAGCTCAACACCCTCTGGAGCAGTACCCGCCATGACCTAGATTACAACCCCAACAGCTGGCTGCGCCCTGACCGCTACCTGCAAGGCCTAGACCTACGATACTGATGACACCCTCGCCAAGCACCAGGCCGCTGGCCGCGACGATGACAATCAGCGGCGTTTCTCCGTTGCGTCTTGTCCGCAGGGCGACAATGCCACCGATGAGCCTAGCGAGAGAGAAGCTCGGTACGTTCAGGAATCCGATCGCTAGAAGACCGTAGAGATGAGTAAACACCACTCGCGATACGGCCGTACGGTCTTACCAAATGCGATCCCAGACGGCAGGTAGGCCACAAACCTCGGCGTCGCTCGTTTTGTGAAGAGCGGCAATATATATCTTAAGCTGGATATTACCGCAAAGAGAAGCCCAAATGCGATCATGAATTCGGCAGATTTTGGAGGGAGATGTCCAGTATTCAGCAATCGAGCGAGATTCAGCCTAAAGTAGTACAGGCAGGTATCAGTGGCCAGAAGCGACATTCAAGGAGGACAAACTATATGTCTCACCAGATCGCAGCGGTTGGCACTTGGAATTCCGGCCCAGGAATCTAAACGCGAAGGCATAAATTGCAAGTTCGACTTCCTTACTCAAGCCATTCGAGCCCGATAATCTGATGATCGACTGACCTCGTAGATGCTCGTATATAGCTTGTAAGCTCCGACAGAAACGAAGACGCTCGCAAAGCTTCCGATCATTTGACCGTAAAACTGGGATCGCGGGGAGGCTTTCAACAATGATCCCGTCTTGAGATCCTGCATGAGATCGCCAGCTCTTTGTTCCAGATGACTTCCAGTTAGCCGCAGCAATGGAGGTTTCGCATGCCGCTCTACCTACTGTTGAGCCCCTGCCTTTTTAACGAAGATTCCCATAGGATCAGCTGAGAACATACTGCTGGGTATGGTGAGAGACCTACCTCTGCGACACCACCAGCGATGATGTTGGCAACCACATTTCCTGGCTGCAAGACGGCGAATAGTAGCTGACTGATCTTGCCAATACCGGAGACTGGGTTCAGGTCTGTCTCTCCCAAGGCTCTAACCCCCAAAAGGCTAAGGATCGATGCTAAGACCAAGCCCACTGCAGTCGCCCAAGGACTGATACCGTCGGCGCCAAAGATCCACCATACCAGAAAGATTCCCAAGATTGCGCTGCAGCCTAGCCCAATAACTACCCAGCTGTCCGGAACTAGTCGATGTGGCGGTTCGGGGTCTAGCTCTTCCTCTTCTTCCATGGTGTCGAGACTCAACGATGCCACGAAGCCATCCTGAGACGTTCCCTTGCGCTTCAAGCCGGCGCGGGTGCCATAGCGTGAATGTAAATCCCGGGTAAAGTTCACGATCACCGGTATCAGGGAGATTATAGACTCCGAGATCATTATGGCAAGCGATACCCATAGCTAAGTGTGGTTAAGTCGTTCAGGCGCTTTTACACTCGTGCTCGCGGGCAAATTTGACTCACAATCCACCCCCGAGCCCCATTTGTTGACGATGATACAGGTCCAGGGGCCCAACCATTGAGCTTGGCTAAAGGAGACAAGATCGCCCATCCCGTGATCATCCCAAGGTTCATGAATAGCGTCGTCTCGAAGTTCATGATGATACCTTGTCCGACATATGAGAGCGAGGGCGTAAACCTGACCGCGGTGGAATTCAGCTGCGACTTGTCGAATTGTTCTCGAACCTCGCCTCACCACCACAACCATGTCGACGCCAGACTAGTATTGAAAATCGCTCCAACAAGGTCGAAAATGGGAATCGCAAAGACGACTGGGAACCAAAAGCTCAATAGCTAGATTGGCGTAAAAATTCGGTCAGCAGTCTGCTTCTATCTGGATACTTCGACGATGTCGCTTACGGTAACAAAGGCGCTCGCTGCGAAGCAAGATCCAAGGACATACCAGCCCTTTCTTCCCATCTCCTCCCTCTCCGCGGACTGCTTCCGTAGACCGTTCAAGGGAATTTGCGGATGTACATCATCTTCACGATCAGCGTCTAGCGACAGCGAGCGGTCTCGAACATGTTCAGCGGAAGTCGGCAGTGGTTGATAGTCCGTTGAATGAGAAGTGGCGATTTGAGTCGCTCTAGGCACAGGAACTTTGGGGGGTGGCATCTTGAATAAGAGCGCAATGAGTTGCTATAAATTGTTAAGAGTCAAAATATGATTTGAGCACCGTGGACATTCCAAAGCAGAAGGAAATGATGCCTTACTGCGGTAGCAGCTATACACCGTAGCGACTGGAAGCATAAGCTGGGATACGTCGGATGTTAACGAAAACATATCTTACTGCCGGAGGGAAACACGAGCTTTTCCTTGACAATCTGTTTGAGGCGGTAGGACGGCATTCAGACCCAACGTGCAGCGAAATATCCATTGTCAAGCGACTCGACTGACCACTTGTTTGCGCAGAGGAACAGCGAGAAAGACACTAAGAGGGGGAGGTTCCCCGCTTCAGCGACAAAGAACGGCAGCTGGAACGCTAGCTCTCCACGCACCCGAAGAAGCATATCCCGATGCTCCAGCCTATGAGCTGCCAGAAGGACAACCTCATCGGGCCTACACCGTCCAGAGTAAGGTCTAGCTGTTCCAAGGCCGGGATAATGCCTACGAGTCCAGCTGCTAAGGGCAGGGTCCCGGTGGCGACCGCTGTTGTCTGTACAACCACGTTCTCTTGAGCAGTAAACGGTCTGTCCGGCGGTGAGAGAAATCTCGGCAACGGCAGCTTAAAGATGGCGAATCCAAGCAATGACGACTGAAGCGACATCATCGAAATCCATCCCGATTGAAGACCCTGCACCGAGAGGATCCGGTTAGCCAGACTGGCGAAGACTTCCGGAACAAGAACGCACAAAGTATAGGTTGGTGAATGCTAGTCTAGAATTTACAAGCAATTTAGCTGATTTCCTGCTGAGAATAGTTCAAAGTTCGTGAACGCACAATACTCCTACCAAGAGTCCGACCACGACGGCTCGCAACTAATAACGGCCAGCGATGTCAAGCAGTAGGACATACATGTATAAAATCCAATGAGACCTACCGTAAAGTCGCCCTCATACTCGACTTCATCATGTTCGTCATGTCCGGCAGTGACTTCTTGGTCTTCTCGGTCCAGTAGGGGTTGGCGAAGCCTGTCCGCCTGGGTCATGGTGGGGTCGATCCACAGGGACTCGCAGTTCTGTAACGTCAAGGAGGTCCAAGATTTCGAAGTGATTCTGAAATCAGCCGTGGGGTTGCTTTACCTTGCAATGATCAGAGTGGGTATGTTTTTGCAAAGATATGCTGGCCATATGCTCGTGCTGCTCACATGCTGCCGAGGCCCGGTCAAATCCGGTACTCGCTCACTCGAAGTCGATCGATCGGATGAGTCATGCACTCATGCGAACAGCGAACAGGGTCTGAGCAATCTTGCCTAGGTTCTCTTGAAACATCTATCTTGGGTCATGGATGAAACGTCCGTGTCAACTCGTGAATACGGATACTACATGCTGGTCGTGCTTTGTGGCTAATCAATGAAGGTGAAAGAGTCGTCTAGATGGCTCCGCTGAAGGGTACTGAAGAGGGCGTTAGGTCGAGGACGTGACGGAAAATGAGGGGCAACACGATCAGGGCGATGAAGATTCCCTGAATGAGAGCGTAGACGATCGAGTCTGAGAAAGTGGGCAGAGAACGGGTCAGCGCGAGGACTTGCGCCGGAAGCTACTTCATTGATGGACTCACATTTGGCTACGATCTTTCGACGTTGGCTTCGCTGACGGAACGAATAGATCGGAGGACGGATCTGTCGACTCGCTGCAAATTACGAGGTAAAAAAAACGGTCAGCTGAGTGGATCTCAAACGAGATGGCAAACGAAGCAAGCGACACCTACGTCGAAGCCAGAAGAGCATGGTCGAGTGCAACCGGTCCGAGTAGGGGATCAAGACTGGAATAGTCAACACCAGGAGAAGGGCTGAACGATCGAAGGGAGATTTGGTTAGTCGCAGGTATCAGGACGTCTCTCGCTGGCAGCCCAAAACGTACCGTGACAGCTCAAAAAGTCCGCAGAGTATAGACCCATCTCGATAACCTTGACGATGAATTCTCGAGCGGGTTGACTGAGAACATGCTTGCCAAGACCTCGGTTGAACCAAACACCCTACATTCCGCCATCGTGAATATTCAGCAATTTGCGCATCATCTCGGGCAAACTTCGACGACTCACAGTCCACCACGCTCGGTTGGTCTCGTCGTGCTTGAACTCTCGAGAGAGGAACACAGCGATCAAAATCTTAAAGATGCATCGCTGCACCATAATGACAGCGATCACTCCAAGTACGGCGTGCGACGTGTTCCACAACTCGAGGAACCACTGAGAGAAGCCACTGGACGTCAGATCCGAGTGCATCGTTCATCATAGATTGAACAAGCACTTACGAGGAACTCGAAGAAGGCACAGAGCCCCACAACAGCACCGAAATGAGCAATGGCGGCCATGACGGCTCCGAACTGGTTGGTATAACCGTTAAGCTATAGATGACCGCAAAAGGGTTAGCTCTAGGATGTAAACCGAGATCCGAACCTGGCAGTAACAACTCACGCAAGGTCCCAAGAACAGACTGATCAGGAAGAGAACGATCAACAACGCCATGTTGAAGACGATCGGTCCCAAACTGATGACAGCGATCCGCAGCAAACCGGGCTGATAGGAGCCTTCGACCGGGAATGACTTGACAAAGAGGTAGGCGACGACAAAGATAATCGCCAAGGCCAGAGGAGCCAGGATCTCGGACAGCACGATTGCCCTCCAAGGCGCACGGGGCACATCGCTCGATAGCTTCTCCGAAGGCAGTCCGAGACGCTTCCTCTTGAATCCGGTGATACGGGTTCGCGAGAGACGGCAGTAGCCGACCCAAGAGTTGGCATGGGTGCGCGAGTTTCCTCGAGACATCCATCGAAGCAGCTCTCGGTAGTCGATGACGAAGTCGCTGAAGGAGAATTGGTGCGGGTTGAAGAGGAACGGCGCGATGGCGAGCGACAATACGGTGATCCAGAAGTAGATCAAGTACGGCGTCCATATGGTCAAGGTGATGTAGAGCAAGAGGATGAGGGTACGAAGACCAAGGTAGATCGACGGTCCAGCGAATCGCGAGTACAGGATACTGAACGAGATTCGTGTGGTGGCAAATCCTCGTCCGGTCGCAATGTATCGAGCACCTCCAAAGTTCAAGTCGTTCAAAATCGAGTGGGTGTAGATCTGGGTGGAGAACACCTCGAAGATGGGAGAGAGCGACATGAAGTGCTTGGCCAGCCGGATGATCGCGCGTCCCGCTCCACGTTCCGTCAACTCTTGCAAGAAGAGCGGCAGGAAGGCGATAAAGAAGACGATGAAGACGGCAATGATGCATCGCTCGATCCACTGGTAGACGGGGACCAAGTTGTAACAACCGGATTGGCCGGGTCGGATCTCGCCGTTCGAGTTGTATCGACAGATGAACAGCTCCTTGTTCATGGTACCCAAAAAGGTCAAGACGACCATGAACACCTGGACCGACAGAATGACCAAGATGTTATTGATGTGGAAACCGGGATGTCCATAGTAGAAAGTGAGGAACCTGTCGATAGGTAGCTGCGTTCCGAGGTAGTAGTACTCTCGGCTGAGCATCTGCTCTCCCATACCGGTTCCGATCTTGGTCTGGAAATTGAGAATAGTGCCGAAACCCAGGTCACGACCTTTTCCACATTGGTAGTACTCGGAATGCTTGATCCTTCCGCCTCGTCCGAATGCGTTCATACCGGCGTAGATATCTTCGTTCAGGTGCAGACCCTTTTGTGCCTTGGAGACACCACCTCGAGTGTTCATGTAGATGGCATTCAAGAAATCCGGATGACCGTAATGCAACTTTCCGCCGATCCAAGAGAGCGAACGGGCAGCCAAGGTACCAAATGTCTGTTCCTTTCCAGCGGCGATGTCTCCAAGAATACCGATGTTCTCCGAAAAGATGTACTCCCTAGCTCCCAAGATGGCAACGGGCGGTTTCGAGAAGGCGGCACTACCCCACTGAGTGTAGGGACTTTGGCTAGAGACATTGAACTCCTCAAACTCGGCGAGCACGTTACGGATCTTGAGACACTCCTCCAAATAGTTGTCCTGGTTCGCGTCGATGAGCTGGAGGTATTCTCCACGGTAAAAGACGATGGCGTGGTTCTGATTGTCCGATTTACCGTCTCCCAAGATAGGGTTTCCGGGCAATTCGATCCTAAACTTGGGTCGCCTTCGGCCGTTGGGCAAAACCTCGGAGTGACCATCGATAAGAGCAGAGAAGATTCGGGGCTCGCCACCCTCCTTGCGAGGAGGCTCCTCGTCAAGGTAGGCGATTTGCAAATCGGGATAGGCGCGCAAGAGGAATTCGGCGTTCTCGTGTTCCTCCTTGTTGAACTTGGAGTAACGTTGCATAGAGACGACAAACTTGAACTTTCGGCGGGACATCCTCTCGAGCTCTCGCTCCAGCTTGTCCGTGTTGCCGCCAAAGAGCTGAACGACTTCCGGGTTCTCGACACGGTACAAGAGCTTGATCGCCTTGGAGTAGTTCATGAAACCAGAGACCGTACGGTAGAGGGTCTGCGCACGCAAAGACGCCCAGATCCGGGTTCGCAGGGTGTATTCGGGCGCGGCAGACTTGAAACCGACAGTGTAGAAGGGAATGTCGTCCGTCTTTTTCGAATCGCCCTTTTCATCCGAGCCACCACCGAAGGGGTTCTGCCCAGAGAACATGGTCGATTCCTCAGCCAGAATCTTGGTGTCCTTGACAAAGTTCTCCCACTCGATGGGGTGAAGCTGCTTGAGGTATTCCAACAGGGTAACACGCGTGTTCTGATCCTCCTCTCGGATAATCTCCCTGAGAGACAGCAGGATCTTTTCAGAGTAGTGAGGCACCAGGACCGTAAAGGTAGGCATAGCGTCGATAGGCAGGGGCTCGGGCAGGGCGGTCGTGAGCGATTGCGAAAAGAAAGAGATTCGCCTCTCCGCTTCGCTTCCGTGCGGGAAGAATTCGATGTTGGACGCGCTCTTCTCTCCTTGAGCGATGAAGAAGGCGGGCGCGCGAAGGGTCCTCTTGCCCTCGTTGTCCGAGGGAACCTGGTGGTAAAGCAGCTTCTGAACATGGTCGATCGAAAGCAAATGCTCTCGGTACATCGAGATGATGATGGCGTTCCAGACCTGGGATACCAAGACCTTGGGCTTGTACTTGACCTCCATGTCGTTGGTGGCCAAGAGCTTGGCGTAGATTCGCTTAGGCAACCTCATGAAGATGTCTTTCCAAGGCGTCCAAATGCTCATGCCGAGGGCAAACGACCGAGCGATACTGAAGACCGTGTTCCAGATGACGTACCAGAGGAAAGTGTCCAGGAAGAAGAGGATGAGATCCATTACGAACATGATCGCGAGCGTAAACGCGGGCTGGTTGCGGCAGAGACCGGCACCAAACGCCTTGTCGTTACAGTTCTGCACCTTCATACCGACCATGACCCTAATGGGATCACGGAAAGACAAGGTCAAGAAGAAGTAACTCTCGGTGAGCTTGAGACCGAAAACGAGGACCCAGAGCATGATAGATGCGACCCGCGAGCTCCTCTCCAATTTGGGGTAAGAGGCGGTAAAGGTCTGGTTGGCCAAGTACTTTCGGTTCTTGCCGGCGACTCGATCTCCGAACATCCGGCCCGAGGGAATGACGGTGAACATGACGACCGAGGCGATGGCGAGACCGAATTGAACGATACTGATGATGAGCGAGACTTGCGAGCTCTGGTCGAAGAAGGCAATGTAGATCGAGGGTCCACCGGTGATGGCCAGGATGATCAACAGGAAGATCAATCGCCTCGTTAGATGCGAGGTGTTGTTCCAGGTGGTCGGGATGTACGAGAATTCGGCAAGTGTGGCGGCAATCATGATCAATGAGGCGACGGCTCCACCCAATGCCGTCATCGAGAATGACATGGGCTTGGTGGCGGTGGTGGAGTTTCGAGGCGAGTAGACGGTAGGAGCGTTCCAGGCACTGCAAATGCGTCACGAACGGTCAGATGGTCTGCGCGGGAATTTCGAGTAAAGACAGGGGGAAAGACTTACGTGTAGAACCAAAAGGTCGAGATGTGCAACACCCAGATTCGGTTAAAGTTGACGAGGAGATGAACGGCGCTTCGCTTCTCCAAATAGGTCTTGAAGAAGGCTTTGCTCCAGTCGACTTTGTCGAGCTTCATGAACCTCTGAGCGGGCGGGATGTCGATCAGACGGGTCTACGAGGGCGAAGGGAGAGGTAAGCGCTACGCTCGAACGATAAACGATGATGAAAAACCAAAACTTGCCTTGTCCGCGAGCTGGATCCTGGCGATACCCTCGGGGTACCAGAACAGCTGGTTGACATCGTCGTAACCGATAATCTCATGGTGGTCTCGCTCCCTCCTCAGGAACTTGCCGTCGACGACCTCGTACCCTTGGTCTCGAAGGAACCTGTACAGGGGCTTGACAACGCTCCTCAGGTAGAGACCTTCGGGAACGGGCTCGATCCTGTTCTGGCATTCGGGGCTTCGATAGTAGTCGTCGGCGCACTTGAAGATGAAGCACAGACATTCAGGGGTGAACCTGACCTGGGCGGCTTCACCCCAGCACAAGAGGAACAAGGCGACCTGCCTCAACCTGTCGTACTGGGACATGTTGTTCATGGCGGTCCTCCACCTCGAGACGGCCGAGTCGAGCGATTTGGCCGAAGCCGTGATGGGCTTCTTCTTGCTTCGGACCGACTTGACACGAGCGAGACCAGGGTTCTGGGCGGCACCGATGGCGTCGTCGAGATCGAGCTGAGCGGCAAAGTACCACTTTCGGTAGTTGGCGTGCTCTCCTCCGATGTAGTCGGCGTGGAGGGTCAGGAGCGCTTGGTCGGGGGACATTCGAGAGGCTCGCGAGTCGAGCTGGATCATCAAAAAGTCGAAGATGTTTCGCGACGAGTCTAGCAAATCGTGAGGGATGTAGCGGGCTCAGCGACGGATCACCGGCACGGCAGCGGTGAGTGTGCCTCGACGCACCCTTTTGAAATCCAAACTTGTTGGCCAGATCGATCAAGACGTCTTCGATCTCCTCCTTGGACAAGGGAATGTTGGCCTCCTGAGTCCAGGCCGGCTGTCAAATGGGCGACGTCACAAGTCATTAGTGATCAGATTTTAGTGAGAGGCGGGTATGTCTGAGCACTCACGTAAGGCTCTCGTCCACGGTGGCCACCGTTGCTACCCTCGGTATAGGTAGGGGTGCTGGAACGAGACGGGTAGTAGTTGGCCTGAGCACCGGGTTGTTGGTCTATATACGAGGTACCACGACAATAAGATTAGACCTCTCGCAAGACAGGTTCCACAGCTCGAGAATCCTTCACGTACACTCGCCACTGTATCCGCTCTCGCTTGCCCAAGTCTCTCTGCCGACACCACCGCCTTCGTATCGTTCCCTCATCTCACGATCGGCATCATAGTATCCTCCTTGTTGAGGATCAGCAGGAATCGGCTGAGACGGCAGTCCGCCGGGACCGGGCTGGGGTTGGTTGTGGTAAGGGTAGTTGCCCCCCGCACCAGGGTTTTGGAAAGGGTTCTGTTGGGACATCTGGAGACGGCGGGAATGAAGTTATGATATTATAGTCAGCAATCGAGAACGATTGACATCGGACTTGCATGGACTAGCACAGCTGGCATGCCGTGTAACTTGATACGTGATGCTAGCCAGCGACGCCACGACCTTCTGAAAGACTCACATTTGATGCCCTCTCGGATCGATCAAGTCGTCAAGTCGTAAACGGTAAAAGTGTTCCGGCGAGACGTCTATTCGTGATTGTGGTAGTAGAATTCCTCTCGGATCGTGTGGGTAGAAATATCGCAAGAGAGGTGAAGGTAGTGGAGAGCAAAGGTCGTGAAAAAAGGGGGTGAAAAGGTGTAACCGGTATGAAGCGAGAGTGAGGGCTGCGTTCCCTTGTAGTGCGAGTTTGTCGTGCTGGTGAGCGGCGGAAATGAACTAGTCGTGGGCGAGTCAGGTCGTAGAGTCAAAGTAAGTCTCTAGATGGCGAAAGAGACGGAGATGAGTCGGCAGAGTGTGTGATTCGTCTCTACCGGCGAGGTGATGGTCGTGATCAAGGCCGTTTGTCGAGAGACGCGGTCGAAGGGCGATTCGTGTTGTCGTCCTTTGTCGTCTGCGTCGTCCGGGGGAGGCCTACTACTGCTACCTCTTTACACTCACGTCTGCACTTCTACTTTACGTCGAGAGAGTGCGAGAGAGTGAACAGTCGGTGGTGGAGGAGAGAAGGATGTCGATGAAAGTCTAGCTAGAGGTCGAGGCAAAAGGAATTCGTTGTGATCAAAGAGATGGTGGGTGTCGTCGATTGCCCTTGGGAGAGGCGGTGTGTGTGGGTGCACAGCCAACACCAGGCAGCCAGCTAGCAGCAGCAGCGCGGCCGTGTGATTCGCGATCTTTACCAAAACTCAAAACAAATCGCCCTGTGCCGCCGTTCCCTGTGTCCTCCACCCACCCAACCCCTTGTTTTGGCGCGCGCGCGGAACGCATTCCCACCCTTCCCTTCCCACGCCGTGCATCACATTTTTCCCATCAGATCGAAGGCTTGGCTCTCCTCTCCTCGCCGACGCGCTCTCTTCCCCGGCTGCGGTGGAACAAACAAACCCCCATACAATCACGTAAGAGGCTTGCGGGTTGTTTATCATCGAGGGGCTGTGCTATTCCGACGTCACAGCAGTGGACACTTGGCATATGAAACGTGTTTCAGTACCACATTGGAGTGATCCCGATCGTTGATGGTCGGTGCTCTGAGTGGCAGGGTCGGAATCCTCAACTGTATGCCACCTGAAGGCGCAAGCTCGATCAACCAATCCATTAGAACTGACTTGGAAGTGTAGAAGAGCCTATCTCCTGACTGCAATGATATGCATCTGCAGATAGAGGTCGGCGCGACTAAGGGACTAATGACTAAAGTCATGACTATAGTCATTAGTCTGTAATATGACTGACTACTGACTATGGGTTGTTTGTGCATGACTACGGTGACTGACTAGTCATTCTCAGTCATAAGCAAATAGGAAGCAAATTTGCTTCCTCTGCCCGAGATTCACGTCTGCCCGAGATTGATCCTCTGCCCGAGATTTGCGTCTGCCCGCTGCCCGAGATTCACGTCTGCCCGAGATTCACGTCTGCCCGAGATTGATCCTCTGCCCAAGATTCGCGTCTGCCCGAGATTGAATCTCGGGCAGACGCGAATCTCGGGCACACTTTGACATGGAATATCTCCTGAACCACTGGACCAGATGAGATAGGAAAAAAATTGGCTTAGTGGATGTTGGGTCTGCCATTCCAGTGGTGTTTTCAGATTTGCTGTAGCATAAAAATCAAGCAAGATAGCATTTCCAGGACGAGTCCGTCTGCCATGTCATGCAGCAGGCAGCCATAGGACAAGAGTACGATAACAACTACATGGCACATGACAGCCATACCATAACACATAGCAAGCTCCACGCTCGCAACTACAAATTCCTCTCATGCAACACCCCACAGCAACCTTGTCTCAAAGTTTGACGTGCTGCACAAGATTTTGCCCAAAGGATGTTGAGTCTGCCCGATATGGGTGATCAATCTGACCTGATATGATCAAAGAAACTAACTGCAACAAAAAAGTCTTGTTGGTGCAGTGGTCTTCTCGTCAGACTGGTGTGTCTCCTTGGGAATATTGATGGTCTTCCGTTCGAGTCCCACAGGAGGCACCTAGCATTTTGCCCTTTGTGTCAACATTATTTTAAGAAAGATTTATCGATCTATATGATAACTTCTGAGTGAAGCAAGTCCCCGTTCAGGATCGGAAAGGGTTTCCCAGGTGGGTGCTCGGCTTGCGTCGTTTATCTTTCTTTTTGATATTTATTGTTGAAGACAAAGCTAGTCCGAGTGATAATAAAGTAACAGGACGTCTACTTTGTATAGAAACTATAAGGTTCGCCAGCAAACCTGAATAGTAACACACGGGACTAGAAGGTACGGGTAGGGTAATGAATGTAATAACGGATGTCTAACTACTACAAGGTGCTAGTTAGACATCTTCGAACACATCTCCTAATAGGTCTCCGAGAGAGTCTCCGAGAGAGTCTCCGAACGGACCTCCGTACGAGGTGAAAACCTACATCCCGCGTGTGTACGACATGCGTACCGCGGATGCCTATAATAGGATCCCCCCCTTAGGGCGAGATTCCAGATTGCCCAAAGTAGTCGAGTAGTCCGAGGCTAGAGTAGACGTTTCATCTTGAAGTTCTTTGTTCCCTCGAAACGTCCAGTGTCTGTACCCCCGCGACTCTCCTCGTGCCTCCGCTCTATTGTCTCCGAAGAGATCGTCTAGAGCCTTCGATTTGTACGCCCAGGTACACTGGTTCTTTCTGAAACACTGCTCGGCGCCCGTGGGTGCTGCAATGAAGAACCTATTGTCTATCGGTGTCGTCGACCCGTCTGAAACGCCTAGCCGACAACGATGACGCGTCGCGCGTCTATCTTCTATTGTCTTCCCCGCGGACATTGCAACATGGTCCTGTCCGCGGTATTGTTCGTTGATGTAAACAAAGGTGATGTCGTATGTATCGACGTCCTTTCTAACCGATATCGCTGTATTCTCTTTGTCGTGTTCGAAGTAACGACTTCTTGCTTTGTCCTAGTAGCTGCTACCTAGGTCTCTTTTGTCTTGTTCTCGAAATGTGAAAGGTATAAGACCCCCGAGGGGGTTTGTCGACTTGATGTTTTTCGACGTACGTATCCTCTCTCCTTTAGCAAACCTATAGCTTACTATCTTCCGTATCTTTTCCTTCCTTTCTTTCGTACAATGCCTCCTTCTGCTCCCCCTACTCCCTCGAGACCCCGCAAACGCAAGGCCGCCACGGACTGGGTAAACGACGCCGTGTATGGCTACATACGCGGTAACAACTGGGAAGGCTTCGAGATCAACGAGGTCAACGCCTTACAGAAGGCGAAAGAACGATTCCGAGGAACCGTCCCGCCGGAGGTAATCTCCGCTTGGATGAGAGGGGATGTGGATGGCGTGAATGGGTTGCTGGTAAGCCTTTGATATTCTTTTGTTTTCGTGTCTCCGATAGGGTCTCCGAGAGGGTCTCCGACTGACCCTCCTTTGATATCTGATTTTTGATCTTCAGGCCCAATTCTCCGGTGGTTGGCAATGGTGTTGCCAACGTTGCTTCGACGGTGGCAAGTTCAAGAGCGTCACTCCCGCCGACTTTGTGACGTACAACCCGGAAGACGGCACGTGGTGGGACGTGATCAGCGTCGAGGGTCTCTTTTTCTGCCGCCATCTCATCCACCCGCCGCACACCGCCGGCAACGTCACCAGGTCCTGCGGTCGGTGCGCCCCGAAGAAGCTCGGTTGTGCCCCCGTTCCCCGAGAGATGGTTGTCGTCTTCGACGACGATGAGGATACCGAGACCCGAGTTCGAGCGGGGTTGGTCTTGTTGCGCGCCGACAAGATGGCCTTGGGGACTCGGGATGAGGTCGCGACCGAGATCGAGAGGCTCCTCGATACGGTTGTGAGTTTGTTTTCTTCTATTCTTTTTCTTTTCTTCTTCTTCCACTGACTCCTCTTGCACGCTATCCGACATCCAGATTGTACCTCAACTCAACCGTCGGTCCGGGGTCTCCGTCATGAGCGAACGCGGGGCTCTCTACAAGGCCATCGCCGACAACAAGGAGGAGTGGGACCACCTGGACCCCAACACCCGTCGCGGTTGGGAAGGGTTCGAAGAGGCCCGCAAGATCACCTTCGATTTCGCCGAGGGTCAGTACAAGCCTCTCCCCGTGTGGCCCGGCGAGGAGGACGCCATGGATGTGGACGAGGAGGAGACCGAGGTCCAGATCGTTAGTACTCTCTTTCTACGTTTGCGTTTTGAGCTAACCCAAGTTCTCCTAGGCTGCGCGGGAACGAGACGCTCGTCTCGCGGCCGAGAAGGCCGACGAAGAGGCCCGCCAGAAGCGGCTTGACGCCGAGGCCGCCAGCAAGGTCGCTGAGGACGCTCGTTTGGAGTACGAACGGGCCCGGGACCGCCTCGCCGCCGTCAACCCCCTTCGGTTCCGTACTCCCCCCGCCGACCCGCCCCCCGCCAAGGACGCCGCTCCCCCTCCCGCCCAGGACAAGCAGCCCTCGCAACGAGGTAGCAGGGCCAGGTCCCAGCGCAAGGGGACCGCGACCGAGCACACCGCGGACCGCAACGAGGGTGATGGTGGCGATGGGGGCGGCGATGGCGGTGGCGATGGCGGTGGTGACGGTGGTGGCGACGGTGGTGGAGCGTGATCTTTGTTTGTGTTTGTAACGTCTCGTTTGGTCGCCGTTCGGGGGTCGGCTCCCTTTTTATTTTTATGCTATTTTCTTGTTGCGATTCATTTCTCCAGCAAAGTCTCCGAACGTGTCTCCGAACGAGTCTCCGATTGAGCCTCCAAGCGAGTCGTGGTACTTCATTGTTTTCGTAAGACGAACTTGATTGTCGTTGGCTCGTTAAGTTCGTAAAAAAAGGAATGGTGATAAACATCTTCGTCGGTCCTGCCGACGAAGGTACAACAATGAGTAATGACAAACACGAAAACCCTAAGCACCCGGAGTCCACAGCAACGGCTCGTCCCCGTTCTGCTTGGCAAACTCCTCATCCCAATACGCCTGGTGGTTCTGGGCGGGAGGTTGCATGTACGTCGCGGCCACCTGCATTCGACCAGCCTGTTGCCGAGCCTGCCACCAAGCAGGTGGAGACCTCTTGGCGTTGCTGCACTGGGCACTCCTGTGGCCGGGCTGCCAGCAGTTGTAGCAGGGTTTCCCGCCGGGCATCCTCGCAGCGTCCACCTCCATGGGCGTAGCACCCGACGTGGCGGCCACCGCAGGAGGGGCAACAGTGGTGTTAAC